GATTGTAACACAAAAGCAGCCACACATGGCACGGGAGTGACTGTGCATGGCTGTGTTCCCTTAGTGTGTGTCATTAGTGGTAAAGGCATTTTCAGATAGTTCAGTGCTGAGAATTTATTTCATCTTTAATCTTAAACAGTAGTTGAACTGGGCATAAAATCTAACTTGAGAATTATTTTCTCCTAACACTTTAAAGATTTATTCCTCTGTCACTGCTGGTGGGAGACAGATTATCTTCTTGTTCCTTGAAGCATCACCCCTCTTCCATCCTCTTTGGTGGCTTTTAGAACCTTTCGCTTTGGTTTTTCTGCGATTCCACTTGGATGTATCTTGAGATGGGTATATTATACGATTTTGGACACCTCGTGCTTCTTGAATCTGAGGAGTCCCATCTCTCAAATGTCTTTATCTTCTCATTCTTGAATTTCTATTAACACATTGGGCTCTCTCATTTCACCTTCCCTCTTTTATATGTTCCAGTTCATTAATTTTCTCTTCTGCCGTTGAATCTGTTTTAAATTTCAGTGAATGTTTTTCATTTCTGGAAATGCGTTTTGGGATTATGCTCATCATTTTTCAGTTTATTCTTTCATGTCTTTCATCATCTCTAATTCTAGCATCTGGGGGTCTTAGAGAAAGCTTTCTCAGAACTGTCTTCTCAGCCAGGCCCTGACTTTCGGGCTTCCGTGCTCGTGTCCACATTGTCCAATTTTAGAGGAACCCTGTTGAGTCAGTTTGGCTAGAGTTCCTCTCCTCCATCACGGACGACCTCAGCATCTGACAGGGCTCCGCACCTGCTGGTGTCTGAGCACCTGGACCACCTCTAGCGAGAATCCTGCCAGGTTGGTTTAGCCGGAATCCCCCCGGCCCCTGCCCTGCTCCTGGGCTGTAAATGCCCACTTGTCCTCACCGTATCCAGAGTTGAGCCCAATCTCTCTCCCCTCCTGGGGCAGTGGTCCCTGCCCCTATTGCCATAATCCCCCTGAATGAGGCCCGCCTCACTGTGTCGTGAACAGTGTCACAGGGGCCCCCTCCTGGCACTCTTGGCCATCGCTGACTTCTGTGTGTGGTGGGGCTTCAGCCCTGGGAATCACACGCAACCTGACTGCACGTGTGCCCCAGGGGTCTCTGGACATTGTAGGAGTGTGCATGCAACCCCTGATGTTAGACATTCTCAGGAGGTGACTCTACAGCTGCCTGACCTCCCAAAGCTACTGTCTCCTGTGCCAGAGGTCAAAAGGCTTGCAAGACCTGGCTTGGTGGGGGGGGGGTCTTTGGGCCTCTTTTTTTCTTTTTTTCTTTTGGTGAGGAAGAGTGGCCCTGAGCTAACATCTGTTGCCAATCTTCCTCTTTTTGTTTGAGGAGGATTGTTGCTGAACTAACATCTGTGCCCATCTTCTTCTATTTTGTATGTGGGATGCCACCACAGCATGGCTTGATGAGCAGTGTGTAGATCCGTGCCTGGGATCTGAGCCCGTGAATCCTGGGCCGCCGAAGCAGAACGCACGAACTTAACCACTACGCCACCGGGCTGGCCCCTCTCTTTCTTAGTAAGTACCCCTTTGCGCATAACTTTGACTCGCAGCTCATTGCTCGTGACAAGTGGGTGCTCGTCCCCTGGGTAGAGCTAAGGGACAGGAAGTGGTCTGGAAGGCAGAGGTCACCCGGGGAGGGGGGACAGAGTGCCTGCTGGCTGGGGCAGCTTACCACACTGAGGAAGCGGGGCGAGGTGCACAAAGGCCCGGGCACACAGGTGGATGTAGGCGGCCGCCAGGGTGCAGGCGGGCTGGAGATCCTGGGTGCCGCAGGCGTCCCGGATGCACAGGCTGAGGAATGGTGTGGGGTCCACCTGAAACCCAGCGCCACAGTCACTGGACCCTGGGGCCCAGCCTGGAGGAGGGGCGCAGGCTAGATGGGGACAAGGGCTTCCTTTAGTCCCCGGGTCCGTCTGCTGAGTGGCCTCCATGGGGGTCCAGCCCTGCCCCACACTCACCACCCTGAAGCAGTCCCCCAGGCTGGAGCCTGGGTCCTGGAAGAAGGCCAGGCAGGGGGCACTCTGTCCGGGGCAAGCCTGCTGAGTCTTCTCCACGGTCCTGCAGTTGCCCCCCACCTGGCGGGACAAGCACAGGACTCAGGCCTCCCACCCGGACCTCTTTTCTTTCAGCAGCTCAGCCTCAGGAGGAGGCGACCAGCCCCTTGGCCTGAGTTCTCTGCAGCAGCAGAGCGTGCTGGCCGGGAAGTGCAGCTAAGGTCCACGGCCAGCCCACACGGACGCTTCCCTCCCCGGGGCACACCCGGACCACTCCTGTTTCCATCCTCCACCCCAAGCACAGAGCCTAGGGATGCACAGGCCGACGGCTCACCTGCCAGGCGAGCGTGAACTCCTCCAGGCTGCCGGCCACCGTGCCGTCGGGCAGCATCAGCTCATTGCCGGCCTCGTTATCGTTGGTTCCCAGGAGGCCGGCGGACACGCCTGTGGGGCAGGGGAGGCAGGCCACGCCGTGAGAGCCTGTCTCCCACCTGCCCGCTGGCCAGGGTTGGGGGAGATGGCTGAACCCCGTCCCTCCACGCCTGACCCCGTAACACCAGCCCTGGTGCTAAACCCTCATCAGAGGGAGAGGAGACAGAAAGGGACTAAGGAAGGCCTTTGTGCCTCCCCCTGTCCACAGTGGTCGGGGTCAAGTGCATGACGGGAGAGCCATTCTGGGGCTGCCTGACCAGAACAAGGGCAGGGGGGCAGCAGGAGAGTGGCCTTCACACTTGAGCAGCATGTCCCAGGGAGGGGGCAGAGCACAGGGCCAGAGAGCCCTGGGCTCAAGTCCTGGGAGCACCAGCCAGTCACTCGCCCTCCGTCAGGTCCTCTGTGCCACAGCCGACAGGTAGCATCGCGTGAGAAGCAGCAGCCCATGTGTATTACACCGTTAGAACCAGCGGTCAACAAGCGGAGCTGGATGGAGCTGCGCTGCCCCGGGAGTGGGGCCAGGCCAGCACTGGACATGACCAAAGCGGGGACAGATGGCCTTTGACCTCCTCCCCACTCTGAACCATTCTGGCTGTTCTCCTCGCGCCCGCTGAGGTCGTGAGCCCCCAGGGAGCAGCAGCGGCCGAGGGAGTCCCTCCCACCACAGCCGGGGCTCTCGCGAGGACACTGGGGTGCTGCTCATGGCAGACCCGTCGGCCTCAGCCCTGGGAGCTGACCGTGGTGCAGCCCGGAGAGGCCCTTCCAGGCGAGGCCCACCCCACCGGGGCGGAGGCTGCCAGGCCGGGGCCCAGACCCACCGTGCTGCCAGAGGCCCAGAGTCAGGCTGCAGAGGCCGGCTCGGACGTCACAGGCGACAGAGACGCCATCCTCACTGGTCAGCTCGATCCTGGGGACGTCCCTCCTCATCTTGGCAGGAGGCAGATCAAGGTTGGGACAATTCTCCCCAGGCAGCGAGGAGTCGTACAGCCTGTAGGTCTGTGGGCCAGACAGGGGCTGAGCAGGACGGGGACAGGCTCCGTGGGACACCAGGTGGGAGGGGTCTGCGGCCCAGGGCACAGGGACACGGACAGGACACGAGGCAGGAAAGTGTCGTCCCTCTGGGCCACCTGCCCCCTTGGTGGCTGGGCTCCCCCCATGCACACTCACCTTCAGGTGCGGGTAGAGAACGAGGGTCGTGTGGTTTAGCCTCACGGACAGGGACATGAGCCCCGAGCCCGCCCGGCTCAGCGTCAGTGAGAACGTGTTCCGAGCAAAGTCCTTGGCCAGCAGCAGGCCACCGCAGGGGGCGCCGAGACCCCACACCCGGCCATCGAAGGTCACCATGTACCTGGCCCCGGCCACCACAGCGTGGTCTGGGGAGAAGAGGCCGGAAGACGGAGTGAGCAGGGCCAGCTCTGCCCGCTGCAGTGGGGGCCCCTGAGCCCACAGGGCACCCCAGGATGGCCAGGGCCTGCTCAGCCTGCTCTGGGGCCTCTGTCCTCATGGGCAGCCCAGGGGGAGACGGGGTCTACCCACAGCTCCTCCTCCCTGGCCCAGCAGCCAGCTCCCCGGGGACCCCAGGCTTCAGGACGACTGGAGCTCTGGGGGTGCCCCGAGGGGAGCAGTCTATACCAGTCAGCAACAAAAGGAAGCAAGGACTGAAACAGGCACGCACCTCGAAAACCTTCTGCTGGGTTAAAAGCTGCCACAAGGGACCACACGATTCTGTTTATACAGAGTGTCCGGGATAGGCAAACCCATAGCGGCAGAAAGTAGACTGGGGGTCGTCAAGGGTCGGGGGATACAGATGGCTGAGAGATTCAAGGCGCCTCCTTGGGGTCGTGAAAATGTTCTAAAACTGCCTGTGGTGGGGGGTGCACCCCTCCGTGCACAGACTCAAAGGCACTGAATCAGACACTTTAAAGGAGAGAACTGTGTGGTATGTGAATCATATCTCCGTGGAGCTATTAAAGAGTGTGGCCAAAGGCTCCATCCACGGGGCCTCGCTCTGCCCTCCTCACCGTGGGCAGAGGACAGCCTGAGAAGGGGACGGTTCTGACCCATCAGGCCAGTGCTGTCCCTGAGCAGCGGCTTGAGGGGTGGGTACGGGGCATCCGTGGGCCTGGGCTGGGGGAAGAGAAGCTAGGGGTACTATGAGCTGAAGGTCACAGGCCAGCCCAAGGTCATATACGCATGGGATGCAGACCAGGCCGTTCCTACACCACCCCGCCGCCTGGATGCGAAAGTACCACTGACTCTTGGGGGGGGGGCACCCCCTGCCTGAGCCTCCGCGGGTCCCCGTGTGGTCAGAGGAACCCGACTCTGACGTGCCTGTCCTGGCCAAGCCCAGGGGGCCACGCCTGCTCACTAGCTCAAGGCCCTCCTCGGCCCCAAGGAACTGGCTGCTAACAGTCTCATGCTTATTCCCCGTATGAATAAGGCTCCTTGCTGCCTCTGCGTTTCAGAGGGGAAACCAAGGCCCAGAGAGGTGACAAGCCTCGCCAGGGTCACACTTGGGTGTGAGCCACATGCAGACTCCCCAGGGGCTCCCGCCCCTGGAGCTACGTGTGGTCCTGGCGCAGCCCGCCCTGCCGCCCTGCCCGACCCAGAGTCTGGACTCAATTAGCGGCCTTCCGGCTACAACCAGAGGTCACCTTTTGCTTCTCTAGCAAGGTTTCCAGGAAGGGAGCTGGCCTGGATTCCTCAGTCACTTGCCACACCCCAGGCTCAGGCCCTTTTTTTCCGGACAGAAGCCCAGAGCTGCGGCCCAGCCCTCGTCCTCCGTGACCTTGGGCAACCAGTCACCTCTGGGCTCAGCCTGGGACCAGATGGGCCAGCACGGCGATGCTAGGGCTCCCCGTGCCTCTCGGGAGCAGGTCCACTCTCCATCTGCCCTTGCAAGGTCCTGCTGTCACATCCCAAGGGCAAAGGGGTCCCCGGGGAGGAGCGTGGCGCAGGACTCACATCCAGGGGGGCCGTCCAGCAGGCGGCCTTGGAGCCGGTAGTACTCGGCCAGCACGTTGACCTGGTACAGCTCTCGGAGCGGCCGCAGCAGCTTCTCCTCCACCAGGTAGCTGGTCACTCGGGCCACGTCCAGGGGCTCGTCCCCTGCGGGCAGCAGCGGCAGGGTCACCACCAGCGAGTGGTTCCTGGAGGGAGGGAGGGAGCTGGTTTTGTTTGGGGAGATGGCAGGATGAGGCGGGGGAGCAGAGGGCCGGCAGGGAGGCCGGGGGTGGGAGCAGCTGTCATGTGTGAAGGACGCAGGTTCAGGTTCCGATCTCGAGCCAGGGGCCTGGGACCAGGATGGGGGTGGGGCCCACACGGGGCCTCCAGGAGGTGGGACTGTCAGGGCGGTCAGAGTGTCGGCCAAAACGGGAGGTCAGAGCCAAAGAGAACGTGGAGCGGGAGGTCTGGGGAGTTCTCCCCTTGGTGGACTCCTGAACTTCCCCGGGATGGAGGACGGGGGTCAAGTCAACCTCGTGGGATCTGAGGGAGCCGAGAACTCAGGCCATCCTGGGGTTGTAGGGGGACAGGAAATACTCATATCTTCCGTGTCGGTGGGCTGGTGGGGGAGGCCCGGAGACTCCTGCCCCCAAGAAGCCCAGGGCACCTGTAGTTTGGGGCAGGAAATGGCCTGAGTACCTTTCATGGCACCAGCATCCAGGGGCGCCCCTTTGCTGAGACATCCGGGTGATGGGATCCCACACTGTCACCCCTTCCCTCTTCAACCAGCCCTGACTGGCATGCCACTCTCCATCCGAGCCAAAGCCTGCCCGGTCTACAGCTACCCTCGTCAGCCTGTGTTCTGACAGCACCCAAAGCCCTGCCAGCGTGAGCCCCCACCGCTTGGCAGAAACGCCACACGTCACCTCTCACCTAGCAGGAGGGAAACCGAGGCACAGAGAGCCGAGCCAGGGTGGCCCTAGACAGAGTTGGCTTCAAGCCCCAGCTTCCCCCGGCCCGATGCTCTGTGAGGCTGCCGGCTGAGGGAGGAGGGAACCCCCCACTCCAAGCCACTGTCCCTAGAGGGCCTCCTGCCTGTGAGGGGAAGGGGGGCGAGTGCCCCAGGCCCCGGGCCTGTCGCTGAGGCTGGCGCTGCCGCTCCTTCAGGGCCCGAGACTTCTCTGACAACTCGCAGGCTGCCCTACAGCTCAGCCTCAGAATGTTACCTGCCTCACGGCATCTTCAGCCAGGTGTTCCGATGGCTTCGTGAGCTCAACGTGTCCAGAAAGGATCGCCTGTCCGCCCCTACGCCCACCACGCTAGGCTGGATAACAGCCCCCAAAGACATCCCGGTCCCTGGAACGGACGCCTTCCTTCCCTTATACGGCCAAAGGGACTTTGCAGGTGTGACTAAGCTAAGGATTTGGAGATGGATTATCTGAGGGCCAATTAGTCACAAGGGACCTTAGGAGAGGGAGGCAGGAGGCTCAGAGTTGAGACAGAAGCAACAAGGACAAAAGTCAGAGAAGAGAGGATGCTATGCTGCTGGCTGTGCAGACGGAGGAAGGGGCCACGAGCCGAGGGATGCGGGCAGCTTCTAGCAGCTGGAAAAGGCCAGGAGAGGGATTCTCCCCAGAACCTCCAGGGGACACCAGCCCTGCCCACACCATGACTTTGGCCCACTGAGACCCGTTTCTGACCTCCAGAGCTACAGGAAAATAAATCTGCGTTGTTTGAAGCCACTGAATTTGTGGTAATTTGCTTCAGCAGCAACAGGGAGCTAACAAAGCCCCAATGCCCCCCACCCCGGCCATCCCCCATCACTCCATAAACAGACCCTCTGTCCGTCCTTCCAGTTGTCAAGGCCAAAAAACTTGGTGTCATCCCCAGTTCCTCTCTGTCACCACCTACATAATCCATCAGTAAATCCTACAGCCTTGAGCTTGACCCATCCAGAATCTGACACCTCGCAACCCCTCCACGGCCACCGCTGCTCCGTGGAGCCCCACTCCCAGCTTGCCTGGACCTCCCTGCCTCTCTCCACTGCCCCAAGTCTATTCTCAACACCAGGGCCAGAGGGATATTTTTAGATGAAACGTAGGCCACGTCGTTCCTCAGCTCAAAACCTGTGTGTTCCCATTTCAGAGTAGAAGCCAAAGTCCTCACAAGGCACCCCCGGCCACCTGGAACCCCATAACCTCTCAGACACCGCCACCTTCCTCTTGTTCCCTCCAAGCCGGCCAGGCGCATTCCACCCCCGGGCCTTTGCACCAGCTGTGCCCTCCGTCTGGAACTCTCCTCCCATGGGGTCCACACTGTTCGCTCCCGCCCCTCCTTCCAGCCCGTGCTCACAGGCTACCTTCCCGTGGAAGCCGACCGGGGCTGCGGTGTTTAAAATGCCCCCTCAGCCCACTTGTCCCCCTTTATTTTTTTCTGTAGGCTTTGCCACCTAACGTACCAGATGAAAAGTTGGTAAACTATGGTCTGCGGGCCAACTCCGGCCTGTGTCCTGTTTTGGGACGTCCTGCAAGCTTAGAATGGCTCTTGCACGTTGAAGGGAGTATTAAGGAACCAAACCGGAGAATACGTGTGAGACCGCCGGGTCTACGAAGCCTGAACGCTACCCCCAGCCCTTTACAGAAAGGTCTGCCCACCGCCGGTGTGGATAACCTAGTTAGTGTGATTAGTGCCCGTCCCCACGTAAACGGTGGCCTGCATGGGGGCAAGGCTCTGTGTCATTCACAGCTGCACCTAAACCGGCGCCTGCTCAGAGAAAGTGCTTGTAACATATCTGTGCAGAGAAGAATGAGCCTCAGTTTCTTCATCTGTAAAAGGGAGATTGAAACGTCCGCGTGGCGGGGTTCTTGTAAGGAGTCAATGAGATGGTGGGGGGGGAAACGCATCCAGCCTGGTTCCCGGCCTGGGGCAGGGACACGGGGGGCCCCGAGCTACCTGGCTGAGAAGCTGTACAGGTCCAGCAAGGGTCTGCAGAGCCTCCTCAGGGACCGGGACAAGGTGGCTTCGGCCCATGACTGCATCTGGTGGGCGGCCTGGAGAGGGACGAGGCGGTGAGTGCCCTCGGGGCCATCCCTGCCTCCGGGGGCCTCCGTCCCCCCCCCTCGCTCCCCCCTCACCAGCTCCAGGGCGCCCCTCGTGGCCTCCAGGGCTGCCTCGCTGGGTCTCAGCCGCCAGGCCCCCGGCATCGCGGACACCCAGGCCCACAGCCGCCGCCCCGCCTCCTCGGCCCGCTCCCGCCACACCTCGTCCAGGGGCCGCAGCGTCACTTCCAGGTAGGCGTCCTTCAGTGTGGCCAGGGGCCCTGCAACAGGCAGCCACCCCCGACTCTGAGGCCTCCAGGATCCCGGCTGCAGGCAGGAGGCCACTGCCCACATCCCAGGCCCCCCGCTGACCGAGGGCTCCAGGAAACAGGGCCACTACCCAGAAGGAGGAGACGGCCCCACAGACCGTGCAGCAGAGTCAGCCCGGCCTGCGGGGCTGCGACCCACCCTCTGCAAGGACACAGGCCGGCCCTTGGCTGGTGTCTGGGAGCAGGATTTCAAGAGGGTTCCCAGCGCTCCCAGACCTGATGCGGGGGCCTCGCTGCGCCCAGACTGCACGAACAGTGCCGTTTATGCTGTGCCCCCCTCCTTCTGGGGTCTGGAAGGTTGTGTGCACCAGGCAGAGGCTGCCTACGAGACCAGCCCCCCAGAAGACCCTGGAGTCGGGGTCTCTGAAGAGCCCCCTGGTAGACTACACTTAACACGTGTGGTCACAATTCGAAGCTGGGGGGTGGAGGGCGTGCGTGTGCCCCGGCTCGGGGAGGACTGAGCTTGTGCTGGTCTCCCTCCGCCTCCCCCGGCCCCTCCCCTCGGCTGACCCTGCTCTCTCCCTTCGCTGTGACAAAGCACAGCGATGAGCATGGCACGTGCTGAGGCCGTCAGTCCTAGCGAGTCGCTGGACCTGGGGTGGCCCAGGGGGCTCGGACGCAGGGACATCAGCAGGGGTGACAGAACACAGCCAGTCAGAGGGATGCCCGGCCTGGTGCCGGGCTGGCTGTCAGCCCTGCGCTCCTGGAGTGGGGAGGCCAGAGGTCCCGGCACCGCCAGGCGGGCGCTGGGGGCGGCGGCAGCTCTTCAGTCACCAGGACGGAAGTAACTCATAAGTGCGCAAGTGGCACGGACACACGGGTGCTTGTCACAGAACCACAAACAGGCCCTGGAGTCCTACAGCAGCGGGCCTCACAGCAATAAAGCTGTATCCCCAACAGAAATCAGGCGGGGACTGAAGGAACTGGGGCAGCAGTCTCCAAAGAAATAAGGCAACAGGCATAAGGGACATCAGCTTGGAGACCTGCGAAATTGGAGACAGCCGACCGAAAGACTATGAAGGCTGTGGGTCCATGAGAAATAAGGCGGGGGGTCTAAATGAAGTTGGGCTGCAGACCACGGGAGAGCAGGTGGCCTTTCTGACTGAGACAGCACCCAGGCCAGCGTGAGGGCCCGGGTTTGGTGGCCCCAGGGTCAGGCGTGGGTCTGGGCACAGGGTGGCGCCCCGGCTCCTGCACTCACGTTCCAGCTCCTCCCGCAGCTGGTCCAGCGCTGCCTGTGGCCTCTGCAGGTGCAGCAGCACGTTGGGCACCAGCGCCCTGGCCCGGCTCCGGCCCCACAGCGCGGCCACCGCCCAGCCACTCGCCTGCATGGCCCCCAGCCCCGCTTGTGACAGCTGCAGGAGGGGGCCTGCCACACCATCCAGGGCGCCCGCCGGCTGCACCTGGCAGGGGAGTGAGGCGGGATCAGTGGGGGTCTAGGGCACAGAGCAGGCCCTCCTGCCTGGTGAGCATGGCGCCAGGATGGGCCAGAGGGGCATCCCCGCCCAGAGCCCCCTTCCTCCCTCCGGTCCCCCAAGCACCCCTGACACCCCAACACAGTCTACCCACCAGGTGCTGGAACCTTCTCACATAGGCATCCAAGCCTCGCAGCTTCTCCTCCAGCTGGGCTTGCAGGTGGGACCCCACAGCTGCAACCCTGGACTGTGGACACAGAGGGACAGGCCGGGGCTCCAGTGGGGCCTCGCAGGAATGACGCGGGTGGAAGGTTCTGGATGCCAGCAGCAGGGCCCAAGGACGTGCCTGCCACGCCGGGGGCTGCCTGCCGCTGGGTTTCGGGGCACTGCTAGGCCCAAAGGGTTCAGGGCTCCTGGTGCTGGGGCCTTGGCCCAGAGAGAAGGGTAGCCCCCTACCCCAGCCCGCTCACCTCCACGCGGCCCAGCAGGGTCCCCGGGCAGCCGCGTGCACTCAAGCGCAGGCTCTGGTTGGCGGCCTGCAGGCTCAGGTGTCCCAGGGGCTGGCTGGGCTGCCCACTGGCCTGGGTCAGGGCCTCCGCCTCAGCCGTCCGCCTGTGGGCACACGCCCGCAGCACCACGCTCTCTTCTTGGCTCCCTGGGGCCAGGAGGGGACCTGCTGTTGCACCCAGGACTCGTCCACATGCTCCCCGCTGCTCCCACTCCTCCACTCCACAGCCTTCTGTAGCTCCCTATTGCCCACAGGCCACAGCATTGGAGGGCCTCCAACTAGGCTGCCAAGTCCTGACCCCCGAAGCCTGGTTTCTTCTCCATCCCCCACCTCCGGTCTGCCCACTTGGACTCTTCCCGCAGCCTCTCCTGACGTCACAGTCAGTACAGGTGGCCACAGGGAGCTCACTGTCACTTCCAAGGTGAGGGGGCCACAGAGCCCTCACAGGGTTAGGCCTCGACACCCTGATCTCTGTCCCCTCTTGGGCCACCTTGGGGCCCTGCCCAGCCCGCGAGCCACACCCGCTGCCTCCACTCACCTTCCTCATGCGCCACAGAGGCCTGGAGACAGGTGCGGGCCCGGGACAGCGACAGCCTCACTCTCTCGTCCCCGTCGCCCGCATTTCCCTCCAGCTGGAGCAAGCTCTGAGAAGCCGATGTGGAGACCCGGGCCCCCAGGCCGAGCCGCTGAGCCTCGGGGCCGAGGAGCTGCCAGGGGCCGGCAGAGGCCTGAGTGCAGCCTGGCCGCTGCCCCTGCTCTGTCCCCTGCCAGCCCCAGGCCCAGGGAGGGAAAGGCAACATCCGCCCCCACCCCACGTCTCCGGGGGGCACTGGGACCCCCGACCTCGCACCCCCGTCCCAGGGCTCAGAATCCTGACCCACTGCAGAAAGTGCTGATTAAAATCACAGCTGGGGCCCAACGACCCAGTGGCACCGCCATCTGAGTGGCCCAGGCCTCAGCCCAGAGATTCTGACTGAGGGGCCCCGGGGCCCGGGCATCAGCATTTTCACATCCCCAGGGCTCAGGCGTGTCCACCTGCAGAACAGGTTTCCTGTGTTTGCACGAGGACCCCTGCCGTGTTTCAGCAAGTTCAAGGAGACAGTGTGGGTGGCGCCTGGCAGAAAGCCCAGTCACTGAGCGGTTTATCTCAGTCCCTGCAGGCACTCGGCCTTGGGGGGGGCGGGGAGCGGGGGGACACAGGACAGGTGGGGCAAAGGCAGGAAAGGCCTCACAGGCCCTAAGAGAAGGAACCTGGAGAGACCCTGCAGGAAGGAGGCCACTGGGCTGACGGAGAAGCAGCGGGAGGTGGGGGAGCCACCTCCAGCCAGGACTCGGCCGCCCTGTATTCTAGGCCAGACACTGTGACTAACGAGCTGTGCAATCTTGAATAAGTGTGTTACCCTCTCTGGGCCTCAGTTTCAAAATCTATAAAATGATGTAGAATGGGGTTCTCAAAATTTACCAGGAATCAGAATACCTGTGTGTGTGTGTGTGTGTGTGTGTGTGTATGTGTAGGAGGTGTGTTATGGGTTAAATTGTGTTCCTCAAAAAGACATGATAAAGCTTTAACCCTTGGTACCTGTGAATGGGACCTTAATTGGAAACAGGGTCTTTGCAGGTGTAATAAAGGTAAGATGAGGTCATCCTGGATTAGCGTGGGCCTCAATCCAATGATAATGTCCTTATCAGACGGCCACGTGAAGATGGCAGGGGCAGAGACTCGAATGATGCAGCCACAAGCCAGGGAATGCCAGGGTGCAGCGGCAGCCACCAGAAACTAGAATGGGCAGGGAGGGGCTTTGCCCCGGAGCTCCTGGAGGAGCGCGGCCCTGCTGACACGGGGGTTTTAGACTTCCAGGCTCCAGACCATGAAGGAAGAAACTTCTGGGGTGTTGAGCCCTGAGTTGGGGGTAATTAGTTACGGCTGCCCTAGGATGTAAACAGGTGCTCACTCCCGGGCGGGTTCCAGAATCTCCCTCCCGAGCTTTCCCCGTGGGTGGGCGGGGTGGAGCCCAGGAACCCGTAGGAGATTTCACAGCGCCCGCGGGAGCCAGATGGGGGCGTCTGCAGACCACGCTTGAGGTCTCTGCCCTGTGTGCCAGCTGCACCCTAAGTCACCGAATGGCGAGGGCCCCGCTGGCCGGCCGCAGGGGGAGTCCCTGACCTCCTCGAACCTGTCCCTCCTCTGCCCAGGGGCCACTGGGTTGGCATGAGGACCAAACGGGGCTGGACAGGCCCCTGTCCACTCCACGGACCCCAAAATGGGGCAAGCGGTGGGGGGTGGGTGAGCGAGAAGGGGTCGGACCGGCCGCCGGCACACTGGAGATGGCAGCAGGAGACAAGCTGGGCCCCACGGGGCTCGCTCCACGGCCTCCGATTCTGGGGAGACAGGCCTGGGGGCACTGGGGGCACAGAGGTGGGGGTGGCTGGGGCCTGGCTGGCAAACGGGGGAGAGGAGGCTGTGCCCTGAGAACCTGGGGAGGAAAAGCTCTTTCAAAACTGCCGAGGCCACTGGGCCGGGAAACGGGCTGAGCGAGCGCCAGACGCTGGACGGGATCACCCATCCCGTGAGCGCCTACTGTGTGCGTGTGCTGTGCGAACCTGTCTCTTTTTCCTCTCGACAACTCTGCACAGGAGGTGGAGTTTGTTCCCACTTGACGGGAAGAGAAGACTGAGGCTTGGAGGAGGGCCACAAGGTCAAGGTCAAGGTCAAGGTCACCCAGCCAGGGAGACAGGCGGGTGGACGCAACACTGATGGACACCTACTGCGTACCCATGCTGTGCGGGCAGAGGTGCCCAGAGCCCCACCAACCACCTTCTGAATACAGCTGATCCCCACTTACAGATGAGGAAACTGAGGCACAGGGAGGCAAAGCAAGCTGCCAGCTAGGAAGAGGCTGGGCTGGGATTCAAACCCGGGCAGTCCAGCCGCTGCCTCTGGGTTATAGGAAGGGCTGGATGTTAGGGCAGCAGAGGAGGGGCTTTATCTCGGGGCTGGGCCAGGCCCACGGGGGGTCCCACCCACAGGCCAGCTCTTGTCCCCACCCAGTGCCAGCCTGCAGTTCTGAAAGTGGCCACTAGATGGCGGGGCCGCCCAGGGGGTGAGGGCGCACTGGCCAGAGAAAGACAGACGGATGGATGTCAGGGCATTTTCCCACGGGGCGTGCAACCCCGACCCGACCACCCACCTCCAGCTCCCCGGAGAAGCCGGGCATCCCGGGCCTGCTGTGGTTGCGGAGGGTCAGACTGAGGTGCAGGCCGTGGGCGGGGTCCGGAGCGAGGCCCAGCTGGCAGTGGGAATGCAGCAGGAGCCCACTGCTGCCCAGGGTGTGCTCCCCGGAGACCGAGAGGGCCTGGGACGAGAGGGCGGGGTGTCAGCGGTCAGGGAGGCACAGGGGCACGGCTTCCTCCCCCACCACCCTGGTCCAGGCCGCCAGGACTGTTGCACTAGCCTATGGGTGGGTCTCCCAGCCTCCACTCCTGCCCCAGCATCCTGCCCTCCTCCACTTGGCAACAAGGTTGACCTTTAAAAAATGCAAATCAGACATGATCCCCCCGCTCCAAGCCCTCTGCCTTCCCATTTCACTTAGAGGAGAAGCTGCTCTCCTCGGCATGACCTATAGGTCTGCGTTATCTTCCTAACCTCACCTCCTTGCACCCGCTGTAAGGTCTGCCCTATGTTCCTCAAATACCCTAAGCATACTCGTGCCCCATGGCCTTTGCACTGGCTGTTCCTGCTGCAGAGCTTGCCCTAGTCAGTGAAGCCCCCTGCAGCCCCCTGACCCCTCTCCTTGCTTCATTCCTTCACAGCATTCACCACGCCTGACCACATATACGCATCTTGTTTCTCTTCCTCCACCCACTGGAATGTGAGCTCCAGGAGGACAGGCACCCGTCTGTCCCCTTCACCATCCTTGTCCCTGAACCTAGAACAGGGCCTGGCTTTAGTAAACCCCACACATGTTTTCATGAATGGATGAACAGACTGGTGGTTGGCAAACCGTGGCTCATGGGCCAAATCTGGCTTGTAAATAACCACCTGTTCTTGTAAGTAAATTTCTATTGGAACATGACCACAGCCATGCATTTACATATCATCTATGGGGGCTTTCACGGCACAATGGCAGGGTTGAGTAGCTGTAACAGAGACTGTTACAAGTCTAAAATATTTACTCTCTGGCCCTTCACAGAAAAAGTTTTTGACTCCTGGGATGGATGGATGGATGGATGGGAACGTAGATGGATGGATGCGAATGTGGATGGATGGATGGCAGGATGGATGGATGCATGGGAGAATGGATGAATGGGAAGGTGGATGGGTGGATGGCAGGATGGAAGGGAGGATGGATGGATGGATGGATGGATGGGTAGATGGATGGATGGATGGATGGATGGATGGATGAGTAGATGGATGGATGGATGGGAGGATGGATGGATGGATGAGTAGATGGATGGATGGATGGGAGGATGGATGGAAGGGAGGATGGATGGATGGATGGATGGGTAGATGGATGGATGGATGGGAGGATGGATGGATGGATGGATGGATGGGAGGATGGATGCATGGATGGATGGATGATTGGATGATTGGATGCATGGATGGATGGATGGATGGATGGGTGGTGGATAGATGGATGGATGGATGATTGGATGATTGGATGGATGGATGGATGGATGGATGGATGGGTGGTGGATGCGTCAGTGGGAGGGAGGGGAAGAGGGAGGAAGGAGCAATCAATCGGATAACAAATCCAGGAGGGGAGGAACTTTGGGGGGAAAGGGGTCCTAATCCTTCACCTCTAACCGTGATGATGACAGCAGCCTTGGTTTATGTCTTAAACACTCTTCCTGTGTCACATCTCCTGAATCGCACAGTCACCCTACGTCCTGGAACCTACTGCTTCCTCCGTCCTCGGATGAGACACTGGGCGTTCAGGGAGGAGACGAGTCCTGCCAAAGTCACCCAGCCGGCAAATGCAGAGCCAGGGTCTTAGCATCTGGCTGCCTGGCTCATGCCACTGAGCTCGGCAGGTGTCCTCCTCTCTCCTCACCTTCCCCCGACCCAAGGGTCCCTGGGCCCCTCCTCAGGACAGACTGACCCTGGGCAGGCCGCAGAGCCCCAGGCGCAGGGAATGGCGCAGCCTGTGGGCATAGTCGGTCTCCACTGTCCCCCAGAAGTTCTGCGTGGTGCAGGGGGCCGTGAGGACGTGCTCCAAGGTGGCCTCCGCACGGATCTTGTCTGGCCGGGATGGCTGAAGCCTCTGGAAGAACAGGGCACCGTGGAGTGGGGCTCATCTCGTAAGCAGGGAAGCCGCCCCGGGAAGTCTTCCAGACTAAGCATCCCCATTACCCCGTGCCCCGGGCCCTGCAGAACAGCGCTCAGCCCCATCAGGAGCCCCCGGCTGGTGGCGATGCTGGGGGGACCCTGCCTGTGACACCCATGGGAACCTGAGCCCCGGACCTCCCCTCACCCCCAGCAGCCCACTGGTGTCACCAGCTCCTTCACCATCGGCTCCTGAGTGCTCCCCTCATGCTGGGCACCTTGCTGTCCTCCACTCCAGTCAGGGAAGGACAACTGCACCCATTTTGCAGATGAGAAAACCAAGGCTCAGGGCGGAGAAACGTGTCTCCTAGCTAGCACCTGCACCCAGGACCATGTGGCCCCCGAAGCAGGCCCTTTCTGCAGCCGGTGGGGCTGCCCCGTGGGTCGCCTGTCTGGGACCCGGCTCCCCAGGCCCCCCTCACCTCGTACGTCAGGTTCTGCTGCACCCGGCGATGGTCCCAGGACAGATCAAGCTGCTCACTGAACACGGCTGGGGTCTGTGTTAAGGCCCCACAGGCCCTGAGGGCGCCCAGGCCCCAGGCTTCCCGGAGCTGACAAAGAGGATGGGCTGCGTGACGTGGGGGCCCAGTCCTGGCCCGGAGGAAGGGGGGGCCCTGTGCCGGCCGTGCGTACCTGCCCCGGGGAGGCCGCCAGACAGCCTTCCCAGGAGGTGCTGTGCTCGGAGGACCCATTGGCCCACGTGAGATGCAAGGTCACGGGCGGCCCTCTGTTCCAGGCAAGCTCCACCTGCATTGAGGTGGAGGGGGAAGAGGAGAGGCTGACGCCCCCTGTTTGCAGAGTGGAAAGGCTGGCGGGGGGCGGGAGGGGGGGAGAAGCTGGGGGCCCCCTGCCCACCCCGGTGGGGGATCCGGGGGGCAGGGGGAGAGGACACACCGCCCCCCTCCCTGTCCACGTCTGCAGGAGCTCAGAGCCATGTCTGGACTGGGAGGCTGAAAGGTTTAGACGGAAAACGTCCCATTTTCAACACCCAGATGTGTCATTTCCAAAACCAGAACGAACTCTAAGCATCTCGCTGGGCCCCGGGGCTGCTCCAGGCTGCACTGTGTCCCCCAGACTCATATGGTAGAGCCTGACCCCCGGGGGACAGTCTGAGGACGCAGGGCCCTGGGAGGTGGCTGGGTTTAGATGAGGCCACGAGGGCCCCTCACAGGCAATTCGTGTCCTGACGAGAAGGGCCCCCAACCCTCGAGGACACAGCAGAAAGGCTGCAGGCCAGGAGGAGAGCTCCCCCCGGAACCTGACCCTGCTGCCACCTTGATCTTGGACTCCCAGCCTCTGGAAGGGTGAGAAATAAATTCCGGCTGTTGAAGCCCCCCAGCTTTGGGCAGCCCAAGCAGACTGAGACAGGAGCCCTGCCCGGTCTGTCCCTCCCCTAACTCATCTCCCCCGTCCCTTACTCTCCTCCAGTCTTAACTGCCTCCAGCTCTTCCTGAAGTGCTCCCGCCTGTTCCTGCCTCAGGACCTTTGCACTTGCTGTTCCTTCCCCCCAGAATGCTGCTGTTCCTCCTACCTGTCACAAGCTGGCTCCTTCTCATCTGTGGCCCTCCACTGACAAGCCACCTCCCCCAGTAGGCCCCCCTGACTCCCCCATCTAGAAAGTCCTCTTTTCAATTCTTCTCTGTCTCAGCATCATCTTTCCTTTCTTCACAGTGCCTATCACAACTCTTACTTTTTCATTCACTCATTGGCTTGAAGTCTGGACGGGGTCTTTCTCCTGCTCTGACTGGCACACACTGGCCTACGGTCTCCCATTTCACAGATGAAAACACTGAGGCTTAGAGAGGGGACGTGAACTGCCCAAAGCCACCCAGCTTGGCAGGGAGTCCAGCCCCTTGCTCCTTTACCCGTCACTGACTGACTAAACGATTGTACAAACGATGAATCAGAGACGCTTGTCAACTGTTTCCTCCATTAAAATGTGAGCTCTCTCAATACAGGGGCCATGTCTGTGCCTTGAACACCACCTGGCATACAGTAGGTGCTTAATAAGGTACCGATGAAGGAGTGAAGGACCCCGTGGGGTCCCAGCTGTCCTGACTGTGGGCTCAGTGCTCATCTCCCCAGAGCCCGCATGGGCCCCGCGGATGCGCCCGCTCACATGCTGCCCCCTGCCTCGGCGAGTCCCTGGGAGAAGCTGAAGTGGGGAGCGAGGGCCAGGCGTGCAGCCAGCTCGCCCCTCCCCAGCCACAGAGGAGAGGACACCGGCACCTGGCAGGGGGGACAGGTGAGCCAGAGGCCTCCTCCCCACTCAGCGCCGACCACCTTCTCCATCAGGGTCAAGGGGGAGAGGGCGGCCGGCTCTGCGCACAAAATCCCAGCCGTGGGGGACTTTCCCAGCCTGGCAGAGCTTCAGCCCATTGTGCAGAGGAGCAAGTCGAGGCTCGGAGAGGCGCAGACAGGGACAGCGTACAACAGAGACGGGACGGGGGTGGTCCACGTGGTGGCTGAGGCCAGAGGCACTGGAGGCATTCACGGGTTGGAATCCCAGCCCTGCCTTCCACGAGCTCTGTGACTCCGGGCGAGTCACTGTACCTCTCTGAGCTTCAGTCTCATCATCTGGAAAGGGGGCTGCTGTGCCTGGCACACGACAGGCCTTCAGGATGTGTGAGCCGCGGGAACTCCTGCTGCTGTTCAGGTGCTGCCCCCACCCGGGGTCTTCCCCATGCTCCCTTGGGGACCGGGCCCTGCCAGGTGGCCATGGTAAGGCTCCTCGGGCAGGGCAGGGCCCCAAGTGTCCCCCTCGGGCTGCAGAGTGGGGCTCGCGGGGTCTCCTTCCAGCCCTGACGCCTACCTGGTCCTTGCCATCCCAGCCCGCGAGCAGGTCCTCCCGGTGGCCGCGTCGCGAGCGCTCGGAGGACAGGTGGAGGCGGCAGTGTCGCGGCAGGGGCAGCGGCATCAGGTGGGTGAGCTCCACTGGGCGGGGCACAGGGAGGGGTGGGCGCGTGAGCCGCGGGGGCCCGGGGGCCTCAGCTGACACGGCCACCAATGCGGCAGGGGGCCACTCGGGGCCACAGGCTCAGACAATCCGCACAAAATCCAGAGGCCACCCCTCGGTGAGGCACCACTGTGCTCAGGCACTTCCTTACGTGTCTCCGTGAGAGCCCCAAACAGCCACTCCTCCCTTTGCAAGGAAGCCTGCAGCCCCCCCATCCCAGGCGGGATCTGTCTCGCGGCCCTGAACCCGGGCTGCCCTGGGACTTGCTGACGGGATCTGGGGAGGATGACATTGCCTTAACAGGCCTCGGTTCCTGCTCGCTCTCTGGGAGCCCTGCCTGGCCGCCATGAGAGCAGAGCCAGGCCGGCCTGCCGGATGGTGACACCCCATAGAGAAGAGCCCCGATGTCTCAGCCAAGGTGATCCTGGATCAGCTGACAGCCAGCCAGCCCCCAAACAAGTTAGAGAGCCCAGCCCAGATCAGCAGGGCCACCTGCCCAACCCGGGGCTCACCCTGGTGGCCGAGGACGACCAGAACTGGCCAGCTGGCCACAGGCTCAGGAGCAATGACGAAAGCTTAGGGCTGTAAGCCACTGAGCCTCTGACCATCGGTTACACGGCAGACGCTGACTGATACACCCCCTACCCAACAGGCTGTATCACAGTCTGGTCCCTCATGCTCGCGGGTTACCCAGGCCCCTCTGAATGCCCCACACCCACCTGGCCACAGTCAGCTGTCCTGTGTTCTCATTCCGTCTTGGGGTGTGACACGGGGGCACCCCCACAGCTGAGGCCCCTTGCCCTGGATCTTCCTCCTTCACCCCTAGGCTGAGTCCAGCGGCCTTGACCTCCTGCATCCCGTGACCCCATCTTGTGAGGCCACCAATTGGTCCTGCCTTCCCAGACCCCCGGAGCAGGGGACCACCTGAGATCTCCTTGCAGACCATGGCCACCCCGGTGACTTCTGAGCTCTCAGGAAGGGGACCCACCTGTCCCTATACAGGCACCTGGGGGCTGTGCCCAGAGACAGTGGCACTAACTGGCCCTCGATGCATCGTCCGGTCATCAGTCCGGGGCACACTGACCACATTCGTGTGCCCTGCACTCAGAGCCGGAACCCCTCGTTCCTGCCACCTCTCACCCGCCAACTCCACGCTCTGCAGCCTCACAGCAGTGTCCTTGGGCTGCGCAGCCCCACAGGCCCCCTGAGTGTGCACATACACACGCACGCACACGTGCACCCTGCCTTAGCGTGCTGAGGATCATACATTTCCTCTGCCTCTCGGGGCACACGTGCGGCCACCGTGACCCTGGGAGAGTTCCATCGGGCCACTCAGCAAGCCATGCCCTGGGGCCGGACACAGAGACAGACAGTCTGTGAGGGTGCACAGCCCCCTCCAGGGGGCCTGTTTCTTGGAGCACCTTGGGGGTCACAGGTGCCATCACTGAGCTGCTGTGGGAGGCCCTGTGGGATGGCACTCCCCGCCGCTGCCACCCACCAGTTGGTCAGCCTCCGCTCCAAAACCCCCCGGGGAGTTGCCACACCTTCCCCACCCTGCCCCTTCTTCCTGTCTCATCACACTCAGGGTAGAACCCCAGCTTCTGGTTGGGGGTGCGACCCTGCGTGACCTGGATCCCTAACCTCATCACCTCATCTCCTTCCCCCTGCTCCTCCCTTCACGCCACTCCAGCCATGCTGGCCTTGTTGCTGCCACTCCAGCACAACAAGCTTATTCCCACCCACCCCAGGGCCTTTGCACCCGCGGTTCCTCCCGCCTGCAACGCCTCTCCCCAGACCTTCATCATGGCCAGCTCCTTCTTGTCACTCATGGCTCAGCTTGGATGTCACCTCCTCAGACAAGCCCTCCTAGACCCCCCCATCTAAAGGAGCCCGGCACCCCCAGATCAAACCCTGCTCGTCTTCACAGCCCTTCTCACTATTTAGTTCACATACGCATCCCTGCTCACTGCCTGTGTCCCTGAGGGCATGGACCTGGGCTGTCTTATTTCCCTATGGCTCCCCAGGGCCTGGAACAGCGGCTGGATAAGCAGTAGCTCGGTGATGGTTCACTGAGTGAGGGAGTGAATGGGCCCCTGCCAGGGCCTCTGGGACACTCACCCTGCAGGCCGAGGCTCCCGGTGGGCTCGGGGAAGGACCCCGAGAGGCTCCCGTTGAGGGCTGCCTCCTGGCCGTCCCACAGCACCGTCTGGTGCAGGACGCGGGTGCCACGGGTGCGCTCGCACAAGGTCTGCAGGACCAGTGCCCCAGGCAGGGCGCTGAGCTGGAAGAGAAGACAGAGCCGGGTCACTGGGGAGCGGCCCATGCGCCTGCCCAGGGGAGGAAGGGAGAGAAGCTTCCAGGACGAGAGAGACGAGGAAAGCTGTGGAGCGCCACCAGTCACCAGGCTGTGACACACATCGGGGGTCAGAAGTCCAGACGCTTCCTGGGGATAGATAGAGGACACGGCGCAGGGGGTGCAGGAGGGGAGGGCGATAGACCCTGGGTGCCCCGTAAAGACGACAGCCCCCTCGGCTCCTCTTCCAAGCTCTGTGGCCTTGGGCCAGTTTCCTAACCTCTCTGAGCCTCAGCTTCCTCATTTGTAAAATGTGGCAGCATGATAGCACCCGCCTCTGCGAGATCATGCGAGCCCTGGGCTCAGCCAGGCCAGACCCTGGGTGGTGCCGGGCCAGGCGGGAGCCACCTCGGTGGAGGGTGGGGTTTCCCAAACTCTAGTGAGCGGGTCTCATGGCACAGACCTGGTGCCGAGTGTTGGGGCACAAGATGACCAAGGCTGGCCTGGCCTTTGGGGCTGCCCAGATAGTGGGGAGACAGTCACAGAGACAGAAAATGATGGCGCCAGGTAACAGGGTAGCCACGGAAGATACTCAAGGGACGAAGGAACGCAGAGGAAGAAGTCGGTGGACAAGGCAGGGAAGGGCACTCTAGGAAGAGGGAACAGCCTGTGCAAAGGCTCAGCGAGGGGCACTCTCCCTGCTGGTGGTGCCACCACCAGAGGGTGGCTCAAGGGCACAGCAAGGGGACCTCTGGGACAAGGAGCGGAGTTTACCCTGAAACGTCTCTAAACCTCATCACCACAGCGGCTTCTTTGCTGTGTCTCTGCTGCCCCCTGTCGGTCCCTCCCCACAGCAGCCCGGGGAGCAGAAATCACCCTTTGGATCATGTGCCCAAAGGCTTCCAATTTCAGAGAGAATAAAATCCAAGCTCCTCCCTGTGGCCTGCCCTGCACGAGATCAGGACCCACCCCCCTCCCCGCCCCACCGCCTACTGTTACCCCCTCACCCACTCTGCTCCAGCCCAGGGGCCAAGCCTCCAACATGCCAAACTCATCCTGCCCCAGGCCCTTTGCACGGGTTGTTCTCTCTGCCTGGACTGCCCTTCTACCAGATTTTCAAATGGCTGACACTTGCTTGTCAGCTGGGGTTAGCTCAGATGTCACCTCCTTAATGGGGCCTTTCCTGGCCACCTAATCTAAATGGCTCCTCTGTCACTCTTACTCACATGGCCTCATTTTGTTTTCTCTGTAGGATGTACCACCATCTGGTATATTTTCTTATTTATTTACATGATTTGTTGTTGTTGCTGTCAATCTCTTCACTGGCGTGTACACTTGGTGGGAACAAGGACTATCAACCCTGTTCTGGGCAATATCCTAGCTGCTGGAATGGCGCCTGGTGTGGCCCCTAGACGCTCAATAAATAAAGGAAGGAAGGACAGCAAGGCCAGCTGAGAAGCCATTCTGGCAACTTTTGCCCACTTCCCAGCCCTCCTGCTCTGGGTCCCCCTGGGAGCCAGGACAACTCCTCTTTTCTCAGAGGGCTGCCCCAGGAGCCTCCCGGGCTGCCCCGGCCCCGGCCGTCCTCCACACACCTGGGGGAAGTTCTGTTCCATCTTGACGGTGTTGGTGAGCCTGGCCTCAGCAGGCACCAACCTGGTGCTGATGCGGAAGTGATGCTCCTCCACCGCCAAGACAAATGCGCTCTCGGCCTCCCCCTCAGAGGACCGCAGCTGGGTTAGAGGAAAAGCAAGTGAGACATCTCTCCATCCAGGCTCGGATGGAATATTCAGGAAGATGCTGGCTCCAGGCTGCAGGCTCTGCCTCCCAAAGCCCCAGGCCCAAGAGACCCACTGCTTCCTGGACTGGATGAACTCTGATGAAGGGAGGGTCCCGAGCCTCCGTTTAGGCCACTGGGCACTGCCTTGACAGCAGTCGCCCATGCCCTTCGGGCCGTAACACTGACTTGAAGACGGCTACTGGCCTGGGGCCGGCGGGTGAGAAGTCGAGCTGTTACACTGTAGCCAGCAGGGCCGCTTAGCACAGAGGACGCCGCCCAGGCGCTGTCTCCAGCAGACCAGGGCTCCCGTCCTGCTCTGCCACGCAGGGGCGGGCGACCCCCACTGGTTCCTTAGCCTCCAAGCCTCGGCTTTCCAACCCGATAAACGGGAACAATGACACCCACTTTATTAACGTGTTGATATGAAAACTGTGTGACCAGCCGAACAGCAGAATGACTTCGGGTACTTGTTAAAAATAGAGATTCTGGGCCCCCACCTGAGATCTGTAAAAACAGAACCTCGGGGAACAGGGTCAAGAATTGTTTTTTTTTTTTTCTTTTCTTTTGGAGGAAGATTAGCCCTGAGCTAACTGCTGCCCATCCTCCTCTTTTTGCTGAGGAAGACTGGCCCTGAGCGAACATCCATGCCCATCTTCCTCTACTTTATATGTGGGACGCCTGCCACAGCATGGTGTGCCAAGCAGTGCCATGCCTGCACCCGGGATCCGAACTGGCAAGCCCCGGGCCGCCGAAGCTGAACATTCGCGCTTAACTGCTGCACCACCGGGCCGGCCCCAAAAATTGGTATTTTTAAGAGCTCCTCAGAAGCCTCGTTACCTTCGTGGTATCCCTGTCAAAAATCAACCTGAATTCCATCTCACACAAACCATCTGATCCATTGAAAGAGAGGATTTTTACGAAACTGCCTGGACACTGCAAAATTGTCAAGGCAGGAGTTTCTCTCTAAGGCGGTTGATGACAATGCAAGATTTAGGGGGAAATACGTCAATACCTGTAACTGACTTTGAAATGCATCAAAAATTAAGACGGATGGAGAGTTAGGCGACAAAGCAAGAGGGGGTGAAATACGAATGAGAAAATCCCGGCGGCGGGCATGTGGGTGTTCGCTATAAAATTGTCTTAATAAAGTTTTATTAGCACACAGCCGCGCCCATGTATTCACATATTGGCTAAGGCTGTTTTTCTTGTTACGAGGGGAGAGTTGAGTCACGCAGCAGAGAGGGTATTGGGTGTAAAGGCTGAGATCTTCATTATCTGGCTCCTTACAGTGAAAGTTTGCAGACGTCTGTTTTAGATTAAAAAGCTAGAGACTTGGCTGCAAGGTGCCCAGGGTGACCATGGAGCGCATCCCGGATTCACAGCAAACACAACGAAACAGCTCGAAAGAGCATCATTGGGACAACTGGGAAATTTTATTAAGGACCGTATATTAGATAATAGTATTATGTCACATGCTCCATTTCCTGAATTCTGTAAGGATATTGTGTTATATAAGAAAATCTCCTTGTTATAGGAAACACTAAAGAATTTAGGAGTAAAGAGATCTCACGTCTCCAGTAAACGTCTCTCCACCAACTCTCGATGAGGAAGAAAAAAGCGCCTGTGACAGTACAAATGTATCTAACACATCTGAGTATCGACAGAAAGATGTGGCAAGATGCTAACAGTGTGGGGATGTTCGCCGTCCTACAATAACTTATCTACGGGTTGGAAATGATTCAAAATAAAGATTAGAGGGAAACAGAGTAGTTCCCTGAGTGACCGTGCAGTCGCTAGGGGCTCGGGGAGCAGGGCAATGGTGTGTGAATGGGTCGATGCAGGGCCTGGCGCACAGTAGGGTTCTGTAAATGGAGGTGGCCTGGGCAGGGGTAGAGAGGGCGCTTAACAAAACTGGGTGGCTGGTGGGACAATGAAGTGACCCGCGGACAGGTGTGGTCACGCCCTCACACAGTCACTCGTTCATTCTTTCACTGAGGCCCTACTGTGTGCTGGGCTTCTGTGCCAGGAGCGGCTGATTTGGGGAAGAGGGGCAGACAGGGAGACAGACAATAGAAGCTCAGAGGGTGGGGGACCCCATCCTGGGTCTCACGGGCCCTCCTGTCGACCGCAGGACCCCCAGATGCCACACGCGGGGCAGACACACGACAGACGGATGTCCTGGGGGCTCACAGGCCGGGGGGGAATGGGGTTTGTGGACAAGGGCGGGAAGACATACAGGGGCCCGAGCCGTGGCAGGCAGATGGCACCCCTGGGAGGTGGTGCTGGCTCAGCTCCAAGGGCTGTGTCACCCGATCCAGCTGCTGGGAGCGAGCCAGGTAGGGGGTACATGGCGCCAGGCCCAGGGCGGGCCGGCCTGGCCTGGCTCCCGAGGGTCTCATGGGCCCGGCTAGGGGCTGTGGGGCCGGCCCAGGAATGTAACCCTGGGCATGTTTGGGAAAGCTGGAGCCAGGGGGTCTCCCAGGGTGGCCCACCGCGGCCTGCTGCAGGCCCGCACGCCGACAGATGTGGACGTGGTGGCGGCCCCGCCTGCCTCGGCCGGGGCATCTGGAAACAGTTAGGGCTCGGGCTGGGGCAGCTGTGCTTACCTTGGCTGCGGCCGAGGCTCTGCTGGGGCAGCGGCCCCGGAGGGCAGGGAGGCGATGCCGGCCCCACAGCTGCAGCTCTTTGCTGGAAGGGAGGAAAGAGCGTGCCCGAGGCCTGGCACTAGGGCGCCCTGGGCAGGGACCCCGGAGACGGGCTGGGACCAAGCCGACCTCCCCAGCAGAGGGATCCACAGCCCTGCGAAGGGCCATTCCTACGCCCCGAGCCTGAGGATCATGCGGTGTAGGGGTTAGGGCTGGACTCCGGCCCCGGGTGACCTGTGTTTGAATCTCAGCTCAGCCTCTGCCTTAGTCCTGGCATGCTGGGCGAGCTCCTGAGTTGCCCTCTCGGAGCCTCAGTTTCCCCATCAGTACAGGGCTACAGTGGTACAGGGCTTGCGTCTCCTATGGGCGCCTCCCGGGGGCCCTGTCCACACAGTGCGCCCCTCTCCGCTCCCCCCAGGCTGGACTGCTAGCTCCCCACTGCTGCCAGCCCTGGGGAGGACCCCATCCTGGGGGCTTCTCTACCCCAGGCTGGCTCAACTGCAACACCGCCGACCTCTGAGGCCACATAACCCCTTGCTGGGGGCTTACCTGTGCCCTCCAGGAGGTTGAGTAGCATCTCGGGCCTCCGCCCTCTAGAAGCCAGCACCTCGCCCCTCCCCCAGTTGTAACAACTAGAAATTCCCCCAGATGTGGCCCACTGTCGCTGGGTGGGCAAACTCGCCCCCAGGTGAGACCCATGGGTCTACACCGTGAACAAGCACCTTACTCATCTCCCTCAGTGACTGGGTGTCAGTGCTGGAGCCTGGCTGGTGGTCCCCCTGACTTCACATATGTGTAAGACCACCGAGTTCTGTGCCAGGCACCCAGTAGGTCTGCAGACTGAAGAGCTGGAATGGTTAGTCATATGTATTTGAGGCCTGGGGTGGATGCATTCAGTTTGTGAGACCAAGAACTCCTCATCCATGTCCTGCCTCCAAAGCTCAAGGTTATTTTATTAGCTGTGTGACCTTGGGCAAGTCACTTTGCCTCTCTGAGCCTCTCTTTCCACATCTGTGCAGTGGGGCCATGGGGAGGATTCAAGGAGGTGCTGGGGGGCAGGGGTTGGGTGTCGGCACACAGTAGGTACAAAGCTGGTGGCTCCCTCACGCATTCCTCTCCTCTCAGGGGCCCCCAGAGGCACAGACAACCCCTCACCTGAGTGCCCGGTTGTGGCCACGGACGTCAAGGACCAGGCTGGCTTGAGAATCGCAGGTCAGCTGCAGGAAGGAGCTCATTTCTTCCTCTGCCCAGAGCCCCCGGACCACGAGCTGAGGAGGGAGCAGGAGGGGGAGCAGGCTGGGAGGTGGGAGCAGGGCAGGGGCCTGAGGACATCCCCACCCCCCTGCCCGGCCCCTCTCACACCCCTGTGGACGTGGGGACCTTTGGGCGGGGCCCAGGCCTGCTCCCTCCTGGCAGCCCAGGTTGGCCGTGCCCCCCGTGGGCCCCCAATGCAGACCTGCAGCCCAGACACCAGCCAAGAACAAGCTCCATAGAGCTCTGCCACCCGCGGCCCAGGAAAGGGGCTGACACGAAGTCGGGGAGAAGGGAATCCGGCCACTCAGTGGCGGGTGGAGAGACACAGACGCGCCACACGGGGCTCTAGAAAGCAGCTTTGACGCTGGGTCCGGAACGTGTTCTGCGACTTGTGGCAGGTGGGAGGGCCTGGCCAGGCAAGATGAGGGGCACCAAGTGTCGGGGGCCAGGGCGCAGCCCCGTGCAGTGGGGGCCACAGCGGTTTCCCTTCTCAGAGGTGGGAGGGCATTGCGGGGAAGGGCCCGGGGCCAAGGCCGAGTCCCTGTTTTGCTGCCTGCTTGCTATGCGACCTTGGGCAGGTCACCTGCACTGTCACGTGTGACCCAGAGGTGATGAGGATGATGGGAACGCCGATCATGACCACTGTCATTGTCATCACAGCAGCACCTCTTTCTAAGCATCCGCTCCACCAGGCACTGTCCGAGGTGCGGCGCTGGTATCAACTCATTGCATTCCCAGACACACACGTTCCCGGTGCAATCGTTAACCCCTGCTCCCAGGTGAGGAGACCGAGGGCACAGAGAGGCTAAGGAATCTGCCCAAGGCCACACAGCCAGCACGTGGCAGAGTCGGGATGGAATTTGTAAGAACCCGACCGCCCTGCCTCTCCCTGGGATGTTAGGAGGAGGAAAGGAATCAGCGCAGAGAAAACTCTCAGAAGGGTGCTGAGCACGCAGCAGGCGCTCCACTGATGGAAGCCGCACTTTGATTCTGATCAAAGAACGGAAGGCAAAAAGGACGCAGGACCAAGAGCCAAACATGGGGCTGCGCGAGGCCAGTCCACACCAGCCACATGGCTGGGAACACGGAGGTTGCTCAGCGGGTGCTGGTCATCACTGTTAGTATTATTGATAAAGCCTTTACAAACTGTAAAGTTCTGGAGAAACAAACTGTAAAGTGCAAGGCAAGAGTGTCCCTGTCAATTATGCACACAGTGGGTCCTCTGCACGCCAGGAGCGGGCGGGAGTGGCCCCTGCCCGGGCTGGCCCGTCCATCCTCACCTGGCTGGTGAAGGGCAGGCCCAGCCTCCGGAGAGCGAGCGCCGAGTGGCTGACGTTCACCACCAGCTCCAGAGTGCCGTTCAGCGGCCGGGCCACCAGGGCTGCCACGTCCACACTCACCCCGCTGTCCCCATGGAGGGCCACACCAGCGCGGGTCTGGGTCTCTAGAGGCAGGAAACAACACTGGCTGCTGAGGACTCGAGGTCACCTCCCTTCCCAGCTCAGGGATGCACAGAGACTGCGGAAGGGGCCACGCCCTGAGGACACTAGTGGGATGGAGCCTGGGCAAGCCCTTCACCTCTCTGAGCCGCAGTGACATCCTCAGTCATGAGGCGTCTCCCCATCTTGGCCTGGCCGGCTCCTTCTCTCATTGGGGTCACCGCTGAAGTGACACCTCCTCCGAGAATCCCCCCCCCCCGATTGCCCATCTAAAGTCCCAACCCTTCCTGCTCCCTCCCCTGCCAGAACATCCGCCTGGTGGGGACAGGGCCTTTAGTCAGGTTTGTTCCCTGCAATGTCCCCAGAGCGTAGCACAGCTCCCAACACACAGCAGGTGCCCCGTCCTTGCTGACGGAATGAACGAATGAATGAAGGCTTCTCTCAAGGGTGAATCAAACACCAAATTGATGTCAAATGACACTGACCCATAGCTCACCCACCCCGCGTGGGGGCGTCCCTTCCAGGGCCCTGACCCCAGGCTGGACAAGCCTCATCTCGGCCAGCAGTGAAAACCCCCCAGAAAGGAGAGTCCAGGGCCCGGAACCTCACAGTCGGGGGTTGAGTCTTACGATTCTTTGACTTCAACTCCTCCTGCCACAGTTACAAAAGGGTTCCCGGGAGGGAGGAGGTGAGGCCGAGCCTGCGGCAGAGGCTGGCTCCCAGGGGCAGCTCGCTCCTCCGGCCCCGGCCCCTGGCATCAGGGCCGGGCAGGGGGGCAGTGCTCCTGGGCCGATGGGGACAAGCCTGCAGCTCTGGGCCTCGATTTCCTCACCTATGAAGTGGGCACAGCCCGCCCACGCCAACAAGGTTGACTGGGACATCACACCTGCCCGTGGGCACACAGTGGGTCTCAGGAATGCTTGTGCCCTTCCTTCATTATTCGACCTTCAACCCTGTGCACCTACTATGCGTGGGGCAGGACCGGGGAGGGGACATGGTCCCCAGGCCTAGGGGCTTCCTGACTGTCAGGGACACCAGGATGCTAATGCCAGGCCGAAGGGGTCCCCTGAGGGGTTGGGATAGCAATGGGGGAAGTGAGAGGTCACCCTGGCTGGAGGTGACCACACCAGGCCCCCCGGGGGTCAGGGGCAGAGTGGTCAAGGCCCTCCCTGGGACGACCGTCCCATCCCTTACCCGCCATGTCCCCAACAGACCCTTCCTCAGAGCAGTCCACGAGGTCAGCCCACAGTGACACAGTTCCTATCTGATGCAGGTCCCCGCTCAGCCCACAGCAGGTGGAGGGCCAACGTGGAAAAGTTTGGGGCCAGGAGAAGATGACCCGAGGGACCGGGGCAGCCCCCAGGGGTCCTGATCTCTGCAAGCTCCTTCGGGGTCAGAGGGCAGCCCTGGACTCGCCCTGCCTGGGTTCAAGACCTGACTTCATCCTCAACCAGCTGTGTGTCCTGGAACAAGTGACTCAACCTCTCGGAGCTTCCATTCCTCCTCTGCAGAATGGGGTGGTGTTACCAAGCCCTACTTCATACGCTCATGCATTCATTCAACAGACATTTAATTGAACACCTACTCTGTGTCACACTGTAAAACAGACCAAAGTCCCCCCCTGTCCCGGTGGAGCATATATTCTAGCATGGGGAGGGGAGAAGACAGGCATCGAGAAATGCAGGTACCGGATAAGTCAGTTACACAGGGCGTTAGAATGACAGAGCCAGAAAGAGGGATGGGAGAGCTAGAGTGAGGTGGGGGGCAAATAAGTAGCTTAGGTAGGAAAGGTCTCACTGAGGAGCTGACATTGGAAAAACGCTGGAAGGTGGTGAGGGAGTGAGCCAAGCAGATGTGTAGGGGAAGAGCATTCCAGGCAGTGGGAACAGCCTGTGCAAAGGTCCTGAGGCAGGAGCAAGGCCAATGTGTTTGAAGAATAGCAAGGAGTGGAAGGAGCGGGGGCCCGAAGATGAGGTCAGAGAGGTGAGGGTGAGGCTCCTGAGGGCTCAGAGGCCCCGCTACGGGCGTTGACTTTCCCTGGGTGTGAACGGGACAGTTGAGCTGATTCATGGAGCTCCCGTGTATAGACATCTTGTCTGGTATGTATGCAGTAAGCGCTCAATCAATGCTGGCTCTTATTACTCTTCTCTTCCCTTCCCCCTCCATGATGGGTTACATCGCTTCCCCCTAAAGCCCTAATGGCCCCCACAGCTGTGCAGGGGACCTTATTTGGAAAGAGGGTCTTTGCAGAGGTGATCAAGCTGGAGGAGGCCGTGCCGGGAGAGGAAGGGCCCTGATTCACCGACGGGTGACCTCGAAGGAGAAGAGGCGCAGACACAGGCAGAGATGGAGCGAAGCTGCCACCAGCCCAGGAACCCCGGGGCCCCCGGAGCTGGAAGAGGCAGGAAGAATGGTCCCCTAGAGCCTTCGGGGGGAGCCTGGCCCCGACGACACCTGATTTCTGACTTCCGGCCTCAGAGCCGCGTGAGGATAAACTCCTGGTGCTTGAAGCCCCCAGTTCGCGGGACTTTGTTTTGGCAGCCGGAGGAAACGCATCCACGCGCCCTTGGGAATCAGGCCCTGGAAGGGCAGGGGGTCCAGTGCGTGCTGGAGCCCAGGGCCACGCCAGGCCTTGACGGGGGTCTCGGTGCGCCGGGGTCCAGGTGTGAGGCCGGTGGGCAGGCTCCCAGCGGGGGAAGCCGCTCTCGGTCCCGGTGTAGTGCGCTGGGGGTCTTACCGTGCGTCTGCAGCTCGGCGCTGAGGCGGGCCTCGCCCGGGAACCCCGCCCGCCGCAGGGCGCCGCTGTCGTGCTGGCTGCGGCCGGAGAGCTCCAGGCACCCGGCACGGTGACAGCCGCTCACGGAGTAGTTCAGAGAAGCGGGCCCGGCCCAGATGCGCCCGGAATGCTCAAAGCAGGAGCCGCCGTCAGGAACATCCACGGAGAGCTGGAACGACACAACACAGAGCTGGAACGACATCGAGGGGATGCCGGGCCACCCCGGGGAAGGGAGTCACCCCGCCCGGCTGGCCCCGGCTCACGCAGACCCACATCTCTGTGCGGGAGGGACTGAGACCCCCTCGGGGGACCAGCCCTGGGCAACAGCTGGGTCCCCCCTCGGCTGACCGCACACGTGCTGTTTTGCTGGGCGGACCGTTCTGGCCGAGAAGAGACTGCTAACAGGTACGGGGTTTCCATTTGGGGTGGTGAAAAACTTCTGGAACTAGAAAGTGGTTGTACAATGTTGTGAACGTACTAATGCTCCCGAATTGTACACTTGAAAACAGTTAAAATGTAAACATTATACGTATTTTCCCCCCATAAAGGAAATTTTTAAAATATGCATAACTTGGATAACTTGGAAGATTTCAGACAGGGCCTGAGCTCTCTCCAGCCGCACACCGCCCACCAGACACAGTTTCGTTCTCCTCCGGCCCCCGAGGGTGGAGTTTGCAATCTCTGCACCACAGGCTCGTAAGCGAATGACAGAAGCCACAGCAGCAGCAGGGCACGAAGCACGTGGCCGCAGGGGGCGGGGCCCCTCGCCGCTCTATGTCACCCGCTTTATAAGGCAGGGGTTCACATCGACTGCGCTCCTTCTGGGTGCCGAGCCCCGATCCACATGCGGGGAGGGCCGCCCACGGAACACAGAAACGCCTGACCCCGAGGGGCTGAAGCGCCAGGGGTGGGAGACAGCTCAGGACGAGGTGACAGCATCGCAGGCATCAGGTGACGGGAAGATGATGGAAAAGAGAAAGCTGGGACGAGAGGGAGGCGTGAAGGAAGGAATGAATGAAGTATCTGTACACCTGTCTCTGCCCCCAGACCACTCATATTTGGTGTTTGACCCCGGTTCCTGACATAGAGCTTCTAACCCTGCAAATTCTTGAGTGATGGGGAGATAAGAGCATCTGACACCCCGAGCTCCTAAATTCCTCGGAACTGCCTGGGTGAGAGAAGTGTCTTTGGATCTCGTGAGGTGACTCTTGGTGGCTCCTAGATGAGGGGGGTCACCAGAAAGACCGAGTGGTGATCAGAAGCTTAGAACTGCCAACCCCACTCCCAACCTCGGTGGAGGGGAGAGGGGCTGGAGATTAAGTCAATGATCCATCACGCCTACGTGATGAAGCCCCCACAAAAATCCCTAAACCATGGGGTTCAGGGGGCTTGTGGCTTGGTGAACACATCCATATGCCGGGGGGGGCGCTGTACCCCAACTCCATGGGGACAGAACTCCAGACCCCCGCCCGTGTCCCTCTTCATCTGCGTCCTTTATCACGTAATAGACCAGCGAGCGTAAGCAGGGGTTTCTGAGGGCTGTGAGCTGGCCTAGCAAATGACCGGGCCCCAGGAGGGGTCATGGGAACTCCGATTTCTAGTGGGTCAGCAGTGCAGGTGACAAGTTGGGACCTGCGGTTGGCATCTGAGGTGGGGGCAGCCTCGAGCCCTTCACCTGTGGGGTCTGTGGTAACTCCAGTGTCAGAAGTGAACTGAACTGTAGGACACCCAGCTGGCATGGGGCACCCCACACATCTGGTCACAGACGTGTCCTGAGTGAGGAGTAGAGAAACGAGAGGTTTTTCTTTTACACAGGGTCAGGGCCGGGGTGACATTCACCAGGTGGCCAGGGAAGGCCTGAGAAAGGACGCACGTGCAAAGGCCCGGGGGAGGCCAGGAGTGGGCTGCAGGCATCAAAGGGAAACAGCGTCGGCCTCAGGCAGAGGTGCGCCGGGTGAGTCTGAAGAAAGGGCTGGAAGGTGAACGTGGCCGGAGGAAGGTCGGCGAGGGGAGCTGTGGGGGGCGAGCTCAGAGAGGAGGTGGGCAGATCCCGGCCAGAGGCTCTGTGACGCTGGGCTGGCCTCTGAGTGAGCGACTCAAATGGACTTGGGGGTGCTGCTGGGTGGGGACGATACCAGAGGGGACGAGGGTGGGCGCAGGGAGCCCAGAGCGCACACGGCCTGGACACAGGTGGGACCTGAGGAGGCTCGGAGCAGGAGATGAAGCTGGAGGGGGTCAGAAGGGGTCGAGTTCTGGGTATGCTCAGCATTTCCTGAGGGTGGGATTCTGCGTGAGCGAAGACGAGAGGTCGAGGATGACTCTGAGGGTTTGGACTGCATGGCTGGAAGGACATGGGCGGTGCCATCCCCAAGATGGGGAAACCGGCAGGAGAATGAGGCTCAGAGGGAAGTCTGAACTTTGTCTACCATCTCCCGTGTCCTCAATGTTTTCAAGGTTTGTTGAGTGAATGAATGATCGCTGGCTGCATGCATTTCCATCATCACTGGCGCTCGCCAAGGCTGACCTGCAGGCCCATCCTGTCCTCCACGGGGAGCGCCCGCAGCGTGGGGACGTTGTGCTGGAGAGCGTAGCTCAGGGAGACGTGCTCCGGCCGCCGAGTGAAGGTCAGCTCCTCGGACACCTGTCGGGGCGGAGGACCGTGGGACCTGGGCCACCGGGCTGGGCTGTCCCCACAGCCCCCCAGCTCCCCGAGGCCCCGCCGGCAGAGCCCCACACCTGTGTGCCATCCACTCCGACCCGCAGGATGCATCTGTAGCTGGGCCCGCGCCTCTCGGTGGCCAGGTCCAGCAGGACCCGGGCTGGGAGGGCCCAGCGGCTGGACTGGGGCAGGCTGTGTGTGAGCAACAGGTCCACCTCCTGCTGGGTCTACAACGGAGCGAGAGAAACAGAGACTCACGTGCCTGGGAGGCGGCAAGATCCTCCCAGAGAGAGAAAAGCAGACCACTCACAGACAGGAAATCGAGCCTCTTTTCTTCCCTTCCCCATTGGCCATTCCATCGTGTAAAAACAATTCGGTAGATTTTCAAAAAATGTGATGAATGCATTTGGGGGGTCTGCTCTAAGGTAAGTGGCATGTACAGAATTCACTGGGGAGGTGCCCAGGGGAGGAACCTCAGAGAAGAAGCCTTCAGTGAGGTCCAGGGAGGGACCCACAGAACGTTTGGGAAGCACATGCCGTACTGGTTGGTTGAGATGCAGGGGACACGGGAGACCATCAGTGGCCCAAATGAAAAGTCATGAGAAGTTCAGAATGAGGCTCAGGATGACCCACGATGGGCCTGCTTCTCACGCGGGCGGCTCTATGTCCCAGGCCCACAGCTCTCTGTCACGTAAGTGATGCAATGCTTAGGGAATTTCCCAGGGAGCTCTGGGAAGGCCAGCCGGTTCAAACGAAAACTGAGGAAGTGAAGCTGGACCTGCACAGCCCGTGACCCAGCGATTCCACTGCTCGCCTCGGTCCACTGAAGGTCGTGCGCAAGAGGGGTGGAAGCAGCACGAGTCATCAGAGGCAGAAACTGGACACACAATCAAGAAGAACTGAAAGCAGGGTCCGGAGCAGACATGTGCACACCCACCATTCACAGCAGCCAAGGGGTGGAAGCGGCCCAGTGCCCATCGACAGACAACGGGATAAACAGGTGGGCCATCCATACAACGCAATGTTACTGAGCCTTACAAACGAAGGGGATTCTGAGCCGCGCGACAACACGGAAGAACCCTGAGGACATCACGCTAAGTGAAATGAGCCAGGCACAAAAAGACACAGTCATGCGCCCATAATGACATTTTGGTTAACAATGGACCGCATATGCGACGCTGGTCCCGTAATATGAGTACCACAGGGCCCAGGTGTGCAGTGGGCTGTGCCGTCTAGGTTTGTGTAAGTGCGCTCTGTGATGCTCACACAACGATGAGATCGCCTAAAAATGCGTTTCTCAGAACGTGTCCCCGTTGTTAAGCGACGCGTGACTGTGCCGTATGGTTCCCTTTATCTGAGGTACCTAGATTAGTCATACTCCTAGAGACAGAAAGCAGAAGGGTGGTCGCCAGGAGCTGGGCGGCGAGGGGAAGGAGAAGTTACTGTTTAACGGATACAGAGTTTCAGTTTTGCAAGAGGAAAAGAGTCTGGAGATGGATGGTGGTGATGGTTGCACAACGATGTGAATGTTCTCAATGCCACTGAGCTGTACACTTAAAAAAAATTAGGATGGTAAAGTTTACATTCATCTGCATTTTATAATAAGATATTTTAAAAATAAAATAGAAACATGTACTGGATTAATGAATGAAATAATATACAATAAAAAACTGGCACTACTCCAATGCTTCTTGATAGACGAATTGGGATAGAGCCACACCATGGAATACTATACAGCAGTGAAAAAGGACAAGCAACAACAACACACAGCATGGGTGACTCCCACAAACACAATGTTGAACAAAAGAACGCAGACCCGAGAGGGAGCATGCTGTGTGATCCTACATGCATGCCATTCAAGGGGTCGGATGGATGGGGACTCACGGGGTAGTTGGTAAATGGAAGGGGACCAAGGGAGCTTCTGGGGTTCTGGTCACATTCTGCCCCTTGAGAGAGGTGGTAAGTTCATGAAAATTCACCAAGCTGTGCATTTTTCCCTCTGCCCGTTTCTACAGTTATATAAATAAAACATTCTTTAAAAAGCAAACAAACAGGAGGAAAGTGGGGCCCGCAGGGCGGGGCAGTTGAGGAGTTTCTCCTTGGAAGCCTCACTCCTCTACTGTGGGTCCTGACACCCTCCTCTCCTGGGTCCTCTTTGGAGTCAGGAACGAGTCCGAATGCTTCTCCTCGGGCCCATGAGCACGTGGCCCGGGTACCCCGCCCAGGCCACCCCGGGCAGCCCGCCCCTCCACACCCTCACCTCGCTGGTCCTGAGGACGAGCAGCCCCTGCAGTGTGCTGGCGTCCACGGTGACCAGGCCCTGGGCATCCAGAGCCCCAGAGTCCACCACGACGTAGCCGGAGCCCTCGACTCGGCCCGGGACCCCCAGGGCCTAGAGGGGTTTACAGACACAGGAGAGTAGAGCTTCCTAAGCAGGGCGCGGTCCAAAGTGGGCATCAGGGGTCCTAAAGGCCCTCTTGAACTGGCTGCAAAATGGGGCGTGAGTGTGCACAAGCGTGCGTCTCTCCAGCAGAGGGTCTGTGACCACGACAGGTTCTCAGAGCGCCTGAGGGTCCCGCATGGGCAGCTCTGCCCTCGCAGCGAGCTCCTCCCTCCCCCTCACACCCCCCCCACCCCGGACCACGAGTTCTCGAGGTTTTGCAGCAAGAGAACCAAGGCTGTGACACCAACCTGGCCGAGACTCTTGCACCCACTGGCAGCCACGGACCTCGCCTCTCCCACATCTTCCCGCTTCCCTCTCCTCCTCCCCAGGTGCACACAACGTCCACTCTCCACAGGCAGACAGACAGACAGACAGGAGCCCGTCCATCCCGGAAACAGGCTGCTGACGGGCGCCCTGAGCATCTCTGGGCTCCTCCCGCCAGCATGCCACCTTAGCGCACGGAGGGGAAAGACGCCGCCCTTCGCCGCACGCCTGGTGTGCACGGGGCACTGCGGGGCGCGGGGCGTCTAACGTTTCACTGACTCCTGATGCTGGAGGAGGTGGTCGCACCCCATTTTATGATGATGAAACTGAAGCCCAGAGAACAGCGACTTGCTCCAGGTCACCCAGAGACCAGGGGCAGAGCCGCAAGGCACAGCCTGGCGTTTCCTGGCTGCCAAGGTGGGCTCCCCAGCCTGGGCCTTCCTGAGACCCCCATGAGGCTGCTGCCTGGCCCGCCACCTGCCCAACATGGTGCTCCCCCCCCCTACCCCTCCCTCCACTTAGGATGCCTGCCCCCCGCCTCCGGGACCCCTTCTCCCTCCGGGTTCCTCCTCCTGCCTGCTCGTCCTTCCCGTCCCTGCAGCTTTGCAGCCTGGGTGCCCTGGCTCAGTCTGCGCCCTGCCCACGGCCATCACAGCCAGTCTCGTGGCCTTAAAAGGTGACCCCTGGAGGCCGAGGGCCCCCAGTCCAGAACATGGCTGACCCCCCAACATCTCTTCTTGGGCATTCAACAGTCCCATCAAATTTAACACAATAGGACTCATGAGTCAGTGACACCGCCCTCTCCCCGTCCTCTCCCTCTGGCCGTGCTCCCATCACTGGGAACGGCAACCCCGGCCCTCTGGTCCCGCAGGACAAAAGCAGGGGCACCATCCTGGCTCCCCTCTTTCCTTCACAGCCACGTCCAAACATCCCCCTGCTCCTCTCCCTCAGCCTCTGCAACGCATCCTGAATCTTAGCCCTCTCCCACGTCACATGCTGTTTACAAAACGGGACTCCGCAACCTACGGCCCCCGGGCCACATCCAGCCCACCATCTGCTGTTGTAAATAAAGTTTTATTGGCACATGGTCCAGCCCATTCATTTACACAACATCTGTGGTATTTTGTGCTACAAGGGCAGCATGGGGTGCTTACAACAGAGGCTGCACGGCCTGCAAAGCTGAAGATGTTCACCGTCTGGACTTTTACAGAAATGGTCTGATCCTGGTCCTAGAGAATGCCCTTCCTTGTGTAGTGCTGCCTCAGGGCCTTTGCACTGGCCATGCCTAGAATACTCTTTCCCCAGATATCTGCATGACTCCTCTCTTCTCTCCTTCAAGTCTGGGCTCAAGTGTCCTCCTGTCTTTGGGCCGACCTTGACCGACTTATATAAAATTGCAATAGCCGCCCTTTCACTCTCCCCATTCTCACTTCCCATCTCTCCTTAGTCATCAGCACCAGCAAATTCACTGATCTATCCTGGGGATCGCCTGTCTCCCCGAGGCAGGCGTTTGTCTCTGCCTTGCTCACGGCTTTATCTCCAGGACACAGACGAGGTCCCCAATAAGTAATGATGAGTCCATCCTCTGGGGGCCGCCCCACCTCTCTGGTTTGCCAGTGGTCGGGAAACAGACCCCTGTCCTGCCCCCCGGAGACCCTGTGCCTACCCCTCACATGCCCCCTGGCTCCACCTACCTGCAGGGCCTCACAGGAGCTCTCAACCAGCACCCGCCCCTGCAGCCTGCCGTCCAGCCGCAGCTCGCCGCCGCCCCGCAGCTCACAGGCCCCCGCCCGCAGCTGCAGACCCAGCCGGTGCCCGGCCCCCCACCCGAGCCGGCCGGTCAGCGAGGTCTCTGCAGGGACGGCCCACAGCACGGGCAGCGTGTGCCTCAGCTTCGCTCGGAGCGTGGCCTCAGCCTGGAGGACGGCCGTCACCAAGGTCAGGGAGGCGGTCTGGCCAGCCACCGCAAGGGCCCCGGACACCTCTGCTTCCCCACCGGCGGCCTGCAGAGAGCCACTGAGCTGCGTCCCTGCGGCGAGGCCCAGGCCCTGCTGGACCACAGAGAGAGGGGTCAGAGGGGGGTCGCATGTCAGGAGTGAGCCTGATTCTCCATCCTCCACCCTCTTCCCCTCCAGCCCACCAATCCGTGCTCCCCCCATCACGGTGACAACAAAATAGCACCAATCAGAATAAACACAAGTACCCATCACAGAACCCTCGCTGCCCGCACAGCCTCAGGCTGAGAGCTTTACAAGGACGCTCTCTTCCCATCCTATCTGACAGCTCTGAGATGGGTGCTTCCCCACCTCACAGCTGGGGAAACTGAGGCCCAAAGGGGGGGGGAGCAAATCGCCCAGGGTCATACAGCCAACAGCAGAGCTTAGGTCTGAACCGGATCTGTCTTCAGTCCGTGCTTCAAATCTGTGCTGTCCAATGGGAGAGTCACCAACCACATGGGGCTGTTTCAATTCAAATTAAAATGAAGTAAAAGGAAAACTTCATTTTCTCGGTCACGCTAGTGAGCACGTTTTAAGTACTCTGTAGCTACACGTGGCTGGAGACTGCTGGCCCGGACAGCAAAGAACAGGACATTTCCACCATCATAGAAGCTTCTAGCGGGAGGCCTGCTTCCTCCCTTGATGCTTTACTCTCTCTCGTGGCTCAGCCGCGTGCCAACTCGATTAATACTGACAGAACATCTGCGCGGGCCGGGCCCTGTGCTCGGGGAAGCCGAGTGGACCAGCCCACGTGTCCCTGTCCCCAGGGAGCTCCATCAGGGGAGGAGACAGACAAGGAGACAGGCAGAGCGGCTGGTGCCACTCAGACGTGGACACTGGTCCTGTCTGCTCACCCGGGACTCCAGCATCCCCCCGTTCTGAGAGTCACAGTTTCCTCTCCCCCAAATACCACCGGACGATTCTCAGACAGTCTCCCAGCACAGATCAAACGCAGCCGGGGGTTTCTAAAGGGTTATGAAACCGACACGTGACTGTCCCCACGGTCAGCTGAGGCCAGCTCCCCTCATTTCCTTCCTGCGCTCAGAATTTTATAGAAAGACAAACTCTTAGCAATTCCGAGTCTGTGGTCCTTCCGTTTCACAGCGTTGCGTGAGTCTAACCTCTCCCAGCCTCAGTGTCCTCATCTGCCAAATGGGACACGGCATTGGAGACAAGAGGAGCCAAATGGCCGAGAGGGCGTTCGGGAAACAGTAGCTGGGGGCCTCGGGGAGCCCCTGGAGGGAGGTGCCGGCCAGGCTCACACCAGCAGGGGCCCTTTTTGCTGTAAGCCGCCTCACTGCTCGCCTCGCTGGCCTGCCACACGTACCTCCAGCAGCGGGCAGCCCGGCTCCGTGGCCAGTGTCCATGTGCTTCGGTCCCCAGCATGCTGCTCCAGCGCGCCCTGCAGCTGGCACGGCCCCATCTGGAGGGCCAGGGAGCGGTGGGCCTCGGGGCCAGCCCGGGCGGTGAGGTTAATGGCACTGCCAGACGGCAGGCCCAGGCGGCCCAGCAGGGGCAGCGAGTGGCTCAGGCGCCCGAGGACCGAGATCTGGGGCCCGCAGGGGCGGGTCAGCTGCAGGTGGGCGTCTCCACGGTCACTGTGGAGGCCCGTGGCCAGCGTGAACTCACAGGGGCCCCAGCTCAGGATGCCCTCAGAGCGCAGGGCCCGCGGGATGCTGGCTGCCTGGAATATGGGGAAAGTGGTGGGGTTTCAGGGTGGCTTCAAAAGCCAAGGTGGGGGGGCTGGAGATGGGCCTGGGTGGGAAGAGGGCAGCGTGGGTCCCATGGCCTCGACTCTGTTGGGACCTCTCTCTGCAAAGTGACCAATCGCACGGGTACCCCAGCGACAGCCGTGGGCTCGAGTTCTGGCTCCACCACTGTCTTTCCAAACTAGTGACCTCAGTTTACCCACCTCTAAAATGGGAGTTGACCACAGCATCATAAGTTGCTGGGAGACGTAAATGGGTTAACACTTGTGACTTGCTAGCCCCAGGCCAGGCGCCCAGAAAGCACTGGCTATTGGGAATCCATCATTAACCTCAATGATCCTTGGCTGGAGGGCAGAGATCCTAAGTAACTGGCTCCATGGGGGCCCACAGTGCACCCACCCGAGGCGGGGGCGATGGAGCTCACCCTGCTCAGGTCTCCCAACCTCTCTGCCTCAGTGCATCCCCTGGGACTAAGGACACGCAGCCCCTTCCTAACGGGGCTGAGAACTTAAGGAGTGAGGCGCACGGTGCTCAGTAAACATGAGCTGTTACTCTCTACTGTTCCCACTGTTCCTCCTGGAGCCTTGACCCCCCGAGTAGGATAGGCGAGACCGTGAGAAAAGAATCCGCCTGAGCCCCAGAAAGGAGGGGATCAGCATCTCAGTAGGGCCCTTGGTGAAAGGGGAGGAGATGCAGTTCAGGTCCCGTTTTTGGCTCAAAGCTTTGTGGTTGATAAGGCCCCAAATTCAAGGGACTAGGGTAAAAAAAGAAGTTTCTCGTGCTCAGGGCAGAGCTGGGCATACAGTAGGCAGGTAATAATTTGTGGAGGGCAGTAGGGTCCCTGCCAGGACTCTGCGCTCACCGGTGGGGAAGGAGCTTACCTCCAGAGGGGGGCAGCCATTCTCCAGAGACAGGGTCCAGTTGGCGTGTGTGGCCTCAGTCCTGACGTCCCCCCAGGCATTCAGGGTGCATGGGCCCAGGGCCAGCTCCAGCTGGGCCCTGAGGGGTTTATCTCCCCCCACGGACACTCGGATGTGGTTGTCGGGGGCAACCCCCAGAGCCTGAAGCGGAGGCCACACATGCCGGAGGCTGGCGTCCAGGTGGGCACTGTGGCCGCGGGATGTGTGGACGTGCGCCCGGGCGAATGAGTCCGCGGAAGATACCTGAGCCGCCAGGCTGGCCGCGGAGGCGTGGACCAGGAAGGAGCCATTCAAGGACAGCACCGCCGGATTCTGTCCCCAAGAAAGGCAGGCTGAGGCCGAGCAGGGGTCCCTACAACACGCCACCAAGCGGCAGTCCACCCTCTGTTTGGCCACGTCAGTCGAGGGAGCCCCAGCCCCCCGGGCCCTCCGCATCCCCCATTAACATGGGGACTTTGCTCCTGCAGAGGGCTTCTCTGTGAAGAGCTGAAACCGGCCACCCGGGTCACCAAGTTCGACCTTTCAGAGCATCTCAGGGCCCCCGACGTCCCCTCCCATGACGCACAGGCCGGACACTGTGTCCTCCTCCGGACTCTCCTCCCATTTCACAACAGAGGCTCAGGTCGCTCGACCTCTCTCACGCGGCTTGTCTGGCCACGGCCTCTCTCAGTGACCCCAGGGAAAGTCACCAATCCTTGAGGAGGCGTGTTCTCAGGCCCTGGGGGCCCAGCCTGGGGACCTGGGGGGCGTCTGCACCCCCAAGAGAGAACCAGGAGCTGCTCACAGCCTCTTCCTGTCACCCAGAGCTCATCTGGCTGTCTGCGGTGGGGACAGCGCCACCAATGACGGGGCAGACGCACACAGCCAGCCCCACCACAGCCAAAGGGAGACCACAGAGGAGCCACGTCGCTCCGGGGTGTCCCGCCTGGATGCTGCTGACCTGCTCTAGAACGGACGAATGCCTTGATCTCTAGCCTTTCCCCGGGTTTCCAGACCACGGCTGTCGCAGGGGAGGGCCATCCACTCGCCACCCATCCTCCCCCCCGACCACAGTTAGTCCTCCCAGAACCGCCCCTCCCCGAGCCTCTCTCATACAGGGAGCTGCCAACCCCACACGGCCCCCTGCTCTTAAATTTCATCCGTGGGGAGCCAGCCCATCCGTCCAGCCTGTTAACACCCTCTAAATCCTGATCCTTAATTCTCTTAGTTAACCCTCCCACCATTCAGGCCACTGTGTGACGTTGGGAGAGTGACTTTGCCTCTCTGAGCCTCTGTTTCCACATCTGTAAAATGGGCTTATGATTCCCGGTAGCTGGGTAAAACAGAGGACATCATGTTGAGATGGCCACTCGACACGTGTCGGCTCACTTCATGCTCGACACCATAATGCAGGGGTTGTCATCTGCAGTTTACAGATGACGAGGCTGAGGCTCAGAGAGGTTAAGGCCTTGCTAAAAGTCACACAGCAGGTGAGTGGCAGGGCTGGGCAGGAAGCCGCGTTGGCCTGATTCTCTGGCGTTTGTGTCTTTCTGTGTTGGGTGGAGCCACTACCACTGGCTAAGCTGGATTCATGAAAGGACTGCATTGTTCATGCTCACACAGACATGAAGCTGGCAGAAACAGTGCTCCCCGAGGAGGCCATGTTCCGTCTCCCTGGACGGCCAGGCAGCGAGCCCACGGTGCCACCTCCCAGAACCCCTGGGCAGTGCCCCAGGCCGGACACCCTGCAGGACTGGGTCAGCACCTCCAGGCTCACATCTCCCCACTTCCTCCAGGAGACGCAGCACGCAGCCAGGCCAGGACGGTGTGCCTCAAGAGCAGAAACACCTCTGTCCTCCTCCTCCAGGCAGTCCTCAGGTCTATGCTCACTGGCCGGTGCCCCACGGCCAGCCAGGCAGCAGAGCTCAGCCAGGCCAGGCCTGCAAACAGCTGCCCACTAAGCTGACAAGGTCCGCAGGTGGCCCCAGTGGTCGCCCCACGTCCAGTTCCCCTACAGCCACAGGGCCCTGCTGGAGCTCTGGGAGTCCAGGCCCTGTGCTCAGGCCTCTCCACTGCCCTTTGCCTGTGAGGGAGAGGGCCCACTGCCCACCTGCACCCTGGCCTGGAGGGCCCAGAGATACCTACGCTGGCTGGGCTGCGTCCCAGCCCTGGCAACACGTGCCAGCTGTGAGCCCCACGGTCTGTCTGCCTCGAAACGCCTACATGCGCCTGTCACCCGCCCAGCCACCCGTGGCACAGGCTGTCTTGAAACACTCAGATTCTGGGTCGATGTCTAAGTGTGCTTGCAGAAGGGACTGCCTATCTGCTGTGAGGCTGGGCCGGGTCCCACTCGGAGCTGGGAGCCCAGGTGCGCATCACTGGGGACGTGAAGGGCTCGGAGGTGGGGACCGTGTGTGTGGGTCAGCCTGGCAGTGGCCACAGGCCCCAGTCCGTGCTGCAGGCAGCCCCCTGTGCTCAGGCTCTGCCAGCACCCCCCACCCCCGGAGGTGGACTGCCATGTGCCACCACTGCCCTGCCAGTGACAGAGACCCTTGTACCTCAAGAGGCCACCACCCGTCGACGTGTCCCCAGCACAGTCCTGACAGCTGGGCAGGCAAGGCGTCTCCACTGCAGTTGACCTGCGGAGACCAGCGGGGTGGGTAGGGGGCATGCCGACAGACATCACTGGGAAGACGGCAGAGGGAGGCCTCGACCCCCGACCTTGACCCCAGACGGAGCACCGAGATCCAGCTCGACCCCATCTCCCTTTCTGAAGCCCCCCTGGGACAATCACCCCTAAAGAGAGGTTTGTGCAGAGACCGGAGGGCTAACCCACAGCATCGTCACAAAGCGGGTCACCAGAGCCCGCGTCCTCACAGGGCCTGTGTGTGCCGGGCTCTACCCGGTTCCTCATCTGACCCTAAGGCAACCTCAGGGGGCAGGGATTGCCAATAGGCCCTATTTGCAGACGGGGGCACTGAGGCACAGAGGGAGCACCAGGTGAGTGAGGAAGCAGCCTGGCTTCAGACCCTGATCACTCGCCCCGCCTCCCACACCCTTCCGATGGGTCACCGGCCCTGGGACGACACGGAGGTTCCTGCTTTCCCTTCTTGAGAAGGATGCAAGAGACGGCCGTGTGCCCGCTTCCTCATCCAGCCCTCAAGCTTCCTCCAGGGGAGGTACCAGAAGACGAGCGATGGCCCAGGGTCGCGGCAGTTTCAATTTTATTAGATAGGACCAGAGTCCTCCATAGTGGCTGCCTCAGTTACACTTCCAGATATGGGTGTGTGTGGCGGGGGGTGGGGGGGGAGTTGACAGGAGGACGGTGGATGAGAGGACAAGAGGACAGAGCAGATGAAAATGATGAAGAGTAGAAGGCAGGGTAGGGAGGATGGAAGGGCCAGGAGGGTGAGAGGAAAGGAAAAAGGATGAATGGGAAGAAGGAAAGGGGGGTTAGGTAGACGGGAGGGGCCAGGGTGGTGGGCGGGGCTAGTGCAGTGGGCACTAAGGTCGGGGGCGGGGTCAAGGCGAAGGGCGTGGCCAGGGTGGGTGGGCGGGGCTACAGTGGTGGGCGGGGCTAGTGCAGTGGGGACTAACGTCGGGGGCGGGGTCAAGGTGAAGGGCGTGGCCAGGGTGGTGGGCGGGGCTATGGTGGTGGGCGGGGCTAGTGCAGCAGGGACTAGAGATGCTGGAGAGGCAGGGCTTGCTCTCTCTTCTCGCCATCCCAGCAGTGAGGGCAGCCGCCCGGCCCACTGGGCCAAGGCGGTGGGAGGGTCAGGGTGGGCAGGCGGGGCTAGTGCTATGGGGACTAGGGTGGTGGGCGGGGACTAGGGCGGTGGGCGGGGCCCGGGCAGGAGCCAGCCGGATGGGCGACTAGAGATGCTGGAGGGACAGGGGTCGCTCCGGTCTCCCCATCCCAGCAGTGATGGCAGCCGCCCGGCCCGTGGGCTTCTCCGGTCCCTCACCTGGAGCCCCGATCGGCCGTGGTGCAGGCCCAGCGCCAGCCCCTGGCGGCCGCCCTCTCCCCTCCGCTCCAGGGCCACGCGAAGTTGCTGGCCGTCTACACTCGCGGTCAGCCCGGCCGCCAGCCTGGGTCCCGTGCTCTGGGTAGAAGCAAAGCCGTGGGTGTGCCTCAGACCCTCTGCCCCCGCGCCCCGCATGCGGGGCCGGGCCCAGCCCCCCGACCTACCTGGAAGTGCCCGGCGCCGTCCACGGAGAAGGGGAGGCCCCAGCGCCGGAGGCTGGGCACCGTGTGGCCGAGGCTGGCGCGGAGCCGGCTGCCCCCCGCGCCGGGAGCCGGGCCCTCCAGGCCGAGGGCAGCGTCCAGCTGACCTCCCGTGCTCCGCAGGGCCATGCGCACTGAGAGGTTGGAAGCCGCGTGGGTGTGTGACAGGAGCATCTCTGCCTCCGAGGGGAGTCCTGGGGGCCAGAGGAACCATGAAGATGGCGGAGCCGGGTCTACCCTCGATGGGAGTCAGAACGGGGGTCCCTGTCTCTGCCAGCCCACCTTCTCTCTGGAGGGTCTCCTGAGCCCTGAGGCGGATTCGGTCCCCCAGGTCCCACTGCCCCCAAATATACCAGGTCGAACCATATGAAATAGTCAACATTCAACCATTTCTGACCCACGAAAAGGTCAGTTTCCCCTGGTCCCACCTAAGCCATTTGGCCCTCCCCATCCCTCCTACCTGCCCCACTCAAGGTGCTGACGTTATGACTCAGGCTGCCTGAAAGCTGGCCGTGCCCAGGGCCCCAGGTGCAGGCCCCACCCAGCGCCAGGCTGCCAGCTTTGGCACGGAGACTGGCCTGGCCCCCACGGCTTCCTGGCTGAGCCTGCAGCCGCCCTCTCAGCCAGAGCTCCCCTGGCAAGGCCTGGCTGCTGTTCTGGGCGAGGATGCAGGTCACGCTGTGCACGCTGGTGCTGTTCCCTGCCTTCTCATGCTTGTCCCGCAGGAGGAAGCCCAGCACAGCTGAGTCAGCAGTGACTTTGATGGTACCTGCAGAGGATGGGAGAGAGGCCATACAGAGCAGGGGGTCAGCCCAGGAGACTGGGCTGCTGTGGGAAGAATGAAAAGGGTCGGAAGTTCCTAGATCGATGATGTTGTGATTCTAACGTCAGGAGGACACACCTGGGAAATGGACCCAATTAAATCAACTTCTTCCCAGCATGCTCTGAGGACCAAGCCAGCTAATTCACAAATAAAAGGGCTTTGGCCAAAAAGCAGCAAGCCCGGTAAGGGATGTCCATTAAGCCCAGCGCTCAATTCCTGCTCAGGAGAGTCAAAGACCACTTGTGGAACGGTCCCATTTTACAGACAACAAAACTGAGACCCAGGAAGCCTTGAGGATCCCAACCTGAGATCTGAGCGATGGAAACATTTCTTAGAGGTCTCTTCCAACCAAGCCAGCCCTGGGGGTCTAGCGGTTAAGATTCGGGGCTCTCAGCGCCCTAGCCCAGGTTCGTTTCCTGGTCTGGGAACCACACCACCCGTCTGTTGGAGGCTGTGTGTGGCTGTGATGCTGAAAGCTGTGCCACCAGTATTTCAAACACCAGCAGGGTCACCCCTGGTGGACAGGTTTCAGTGGAGCTTCCAGACTAAGACAGACTAGGAAGAAGGGCCTGGCCACCCACTTGCCAAAAAACTGGCCATGAAAACCCTGTGAACAGCAGTGGAGCATTGACTGATGGAGCACCGGAAGGTGAGAGGATGGTGCAAAAAGACCAGGCAGGGTGCTGCTCCGCTGTCCACAGGGTCGCTAGGAGTTGGAATCGTCTCCACGGCACTAACCACCGCTCTTCCATCCAGAGAAGATTCCACCCCTTGGGCCGGTCCCATGCACATGCGTAACCCAGGCACTTCATCAGAACCGTTTAGGTCTCCTGACCCCAACCAGGTTCTGTCGGGGCCTTGATGTGGTCTAAGTGTCCTTATACCTTCCCCTGTCATTCAAGGTTTGATGCAGGGGTCACCACCTCCAGGAAGCCTTCCCGGGCCCTTTGGCATCCCCAGGCTGGGTTAGACACCCTTGCTCTGTGTTTCCAGACATAGAACTCACCCCCAACTCTATCAAGAGTACAGAGCACTTTCCATACACATAGAACTTTCTCGCAGAATCTTGAAATCATCTTTTTACAAATCCCTTGGTTGTGGGGCCCTATGTCACCATGTCCTACAAGAGGTTAACCAGTTTTTTCATCTGGAAAATATGGATAACCAGAGTAAAACTTCACCAGATTACTGTGAAGATAAAATGAAATAATGTCATGGAACAGAACCGAGTCCAAGAATACACACATATGGGCAATTGATTTGCAACAAAGATGCAAAGGTCATTCAGTGGAGAAAAGATAGTCTTTGCAATAAGTGTGCAGAAACGATTGGAAATCCACATGTAACCATATCACCTTGACTGTTACCTGATCATCCACACAAGTTAATTCAAAATCACCACAGACCTAAATTTAAAACTTAAACCAGAAAGCTTCTAGGAAAAAAAAACACAAGAGAAAAATTTTGTGGCCTCGGTTTAGGCAAAGATTTCATCTATGACATCCAAAGCCGGCTTTTCCGATGGATGAAAAGAAAAGAAAAAAAATGATAAGTTGGACTTCATCAAAATTAAAAACCTCCACTGTTCAAAAGATGACATTAAAAAAAAATGAGAAGACGAGCCGTAGATCAGGAGAAGATATTGTCAGAACATATTTCTGATAAAGGGCTTATATAAATGATTCCCAAACTCAATAATACATAAACAGACAACTCCGTCTTTAAAATGGGCAAAAGCTTTGAATAGACACTTCACCAAAGAAGATTTACAACTGGCAAGTAAGCCTATGGAAAGACGTTCAGCAAAATTAGTTGTTGGGGAAATGCAAATTAAAACCAAAATGAGATACCACTAGAAATCAGTAAGAAAGACAAAATTCCTCCCAAAAAACTGAAAACTGACAATACCAATTGCGAGCAAGAAAAGCAGGCAATCAGAATTCTCACACGTTGCTGGTGGGAACGTAAAATGGTACAGCCACCTCGGAGACAGTCCGGCAGTTTCCTATAAAGTTAAACGGATCCTTGCCAGACAATCCTGCAATTCCGCTCCTTGGTATCCACCAAGAGAAATGAACCCATAAGTTCCTACAAAAACCTGTAAGCCAATGATTAGAGCAGCTTTACTCATGACTGGAAAATTCTGGAAATAACCCAAATGTCCTTCGACTGTGCGTGGATAAACGGCAGCACATCCATTTAACGGAATACTACTCAGCAATAAAAAGGAATAAACTGCAGATACGTGCCACCACTTGGGTGACTGTCAACCACATTAGGTTGGGCAGAAGACGCCATACTCGAAAGTTGACGTACTGTCTGATGCCATTCACGTGACATTCTGGAATCACCAAAATGACAGGGACAAACAGCTCAGTGGTTGCTGGGGACGGGGGTGCAGGCAAAGCTGACTACAATCAACAACAGAAGAACTTTCTGGGGAGATGGAAGCGTGCTGTATCAAGCCTGTGTTGGTGGGTACACAACTGTATGAGTTCATCAAAATTTAAAGGCTATTTTCCTGTATGTAAATTAGACCCCAAGAAATCATACCTCAATAATTGCCTTCACAAATGAAGCCATGTGTGTTAAGGATTAAGAGATCAGGAAGGGGATTTGTTACCCATCAGCTGAAAATAGTCAAATAGTAAACTTCAGAAAGACGAAGGGGTGGCCCTCAGTGTAACGCCAAGTAAACTTGACAAGAACAGTACTGTTGTGACATTTTTTACTTGATTGTGTTGAAATTTTTTTCAAACCTATGTCATATTTCATGAGGAAGTTTGGTTTTGCCACAATTTAACCAATTAGGGGTTAGAAGGGTCAGTGTCGATGTCACTATAAGACCAGAGAATGACAATATCCCCCAAGGTTGGTGGAAGAGCGGAGCCTTCAGCTTCTGACACAGCGGCCCTGGACGGACGTCCAGCCAGGGCACTGTAGTCAACAAGGCTTGAGTGAAGGACCCCTTTTTGTGTAACTCTGACTTTTGGAACCTTGTTAATGTTTCACATAATCAAAAAATAAATACATAAAATCAATATGGATGTGGGAAACCTAAAAATGGAATACAAACAGAAACCAGCGGACCGGAACGTATTTCAAACGATTAGCAGAATCACACGGGTGTGGGTGGGAGAAAACCCCAGCCCACTTTGAACACAGTGGCTGGATTTATGACCTTAGGATTTATGTCTAAACAAATACTGAATTCTAGTGCATAGGGTTTACTTTCTCCAGAGGTATAAGTTCATAATTTTGAAACCACTTTCTACATATTCCAGGGCTGAACGAACAAGTAAACACATTGTGGCTAACGAGTCAGGTTTCTCACTGTTGGAGAAGAGAATGAGAAATATGAACAGGGAAGAAACCAGAATGCGCCTTTTGACAATGGACTGGAATTGAGGACATCAGTATGAACTAATGGTTTTTGTTGTTGTTGTTGTTGTTGTTTTGAGGAAGATTAGCCCCGAGCTAACATCTGCTGCCAATCCTCCTCTTTTTTTTTTTTTTTTTTTGCTGAGGAAGATTGGCCCTGAGCAAACATCCGTGCCCATCCTCCTCTACTTTATATGTGGGACACCCACCACAGCATGGCTTGACAAGCAGTGCCATGTCCTCACCCGGGATCCGAACCAGTGAACCCTGGGCTGCAGAGGCAGAACATGCACACTTAACCGCTGTGCCACTGGGCCAGCCCCTGGACTAATGGTTTTAAATGTATCTATCTGTAGACAGGTAGATGTAGATACAGGTGTGTGTTTGTAAATACATCTATTTTCTAGGGGTGTCCACGGAGAGGCCCTAGAAGGACTGATACTCCAGCAGGAATAAACACACCAAGCAGCCAGATCTTAGTTTCTAAATACTATTTTGCACCCGAAGGAACCAGGAGTCCTTGGAGAAATAGCTTATTCCACATCAGGGAAAATACAAAATGGGACTGGAACATCTTTCTGGTCATAAAGGAAGGAAGTGCTCAAAGAATGATAGGGCACGTCAAAAGGATACGGGAGTTCCACTTCCATTAATGGTGGGGAAGCTTAACTGGACCACCCTGCCCAAGATGACAATTATGAACTCTGGACAGAATCTAAGAAACACCTATCTGGGGTGACTGGAGAGCGACCACAAAGAGGCAGACACTGGAGGGGAGTCAACACTTGGAGGAAACTAACACTAGGCGAGTTCCATGTTTTCACTCCGACAGAAATCTACAATCTTACTGATCAAACAACCAGAGAACAGAGGTCAAGGGGACGACAGCAAATAGAAAGTGAAGTGGGAACTTCCTGAAAGAGCCACCCAGGGGAAAACCCAAATTCTACCTATAAACTCTGTCCAAATTTTGGCTGATCCCTGAACTTCACATGGAGTTCACACAGAGTCCAAACAGCCCAGCTAAGATAAGAAAACGAAAGTGATGTCCGCTGTGGCCCCCCTGGGGGGGGGGCCAGAATTTGGATTCTGAGTCCAGCCAATGTAATTGCCAACTAAAATAAGCAAAAAAATTAATACTCCAGAGAAATACAAAAGAATTCAGGGTCTCTACATCATCCAAAATGTTCGGAATACAATCTCAGATTACTAGACATACAAAGAAGCAGGAAAAGTGACCCATTTTTAAGAGAAAAGGCAATCATCAATGGACATCAACCCCAAGATGACTAAGACACTGGAATTAGCAGACAAGAGCTTAAAAACAGCTCTTACAACTGTGCTCAAGAATATAAGGAAAATATTCTTGTATTGAACAAACAGATAGGAAATCCCAGCTGTAAAACAGCAACTATAAAAAGAACTTAATGGTGATTTTAGAATCAAAAAAATACAAAATCTGAGATGAAAAAAAGCTAATGGGCGGTCTAAAAAAATTTATTGGGTAGTGTCTGCAGAAGACAGAAGAAAGAGTCAGTGAACTGGAAGACAGGTCAAGAAATATCTGCAAAAAGAGAGGGAAAATACCTTAAAAAGTCAACAGAACTTCAGAGATCAAAGTTTTAAAACCTAAGCAATTGGAAATCCCAGGAGGAGAAGAAAGAGAGAATGGGAGAGAAAAAAATCTGTGAAGAAATAGTTTTCCAAATGTGTTAAGAGATAAACAGATGCATTTACAAAACAGGCTTCAAGAATGAAGGCAAAATAGGACATTTTCTGATAAATAAAAACTAGTAAGCTTGCACTACAAGAAATGCTAAAGGTGGTTCTTTAGGCCAAAGGGAAATGATACCAGAAAAAAGTTTTGATTTTTAGAAAGGAATGAAGAGCATCAAAAAGGATGAATATGCTGGTAGATATAAAAGGCTACTTTATTTCTCTTAATTTCTTTCAAATCAATACGACTGTTTAAAACAAAAATTATAATATTGTCTTTGGAGGTTTATGGTGTATGTAGATGCAATACCCAGGCCAACTACAGAAGACAGCATGGGGCACGACAAAATGCTGGGTTCTTACAACTTACATGAAGTGTCTCAATGTTAACTCTAAGTGAAGAGACATAAGTTAAAAGGGCAACAGATAAATTAAAACTGAGGTCTAAAAAGTTTTAAATTCATCCAAAAGAAGGCAAAAAAAAAAAAAAAGAACAGAGGAACAAAAAATATATGGGAAAACAGAAGACAACTAGCAAAATAGTAGACATAAGTCCAATCTCATCACTAATTACATTAAACGTAAACCAACTACATACTAAAATTAAAAGGCAGAGATTGTCAGACTGGATATAAAAGAAAAATCCAACTATATGTGAGCTATAAAAAACGTACCTGAAATATAAGGAAATAGATCTATTTAAAGAAATAGGATGGAAAAATATATACAATACAAATGCTAATTAAAAGGCAGAGTGGCAACATTAATATCAGATGAAATAGACTTCAAGACAGAGAGTCCTAGGAGAGAGAAACAGTACATTTCCTAATGATACCTGGGTCAGTTCATCAAGAAAGCATAGCGATCATCGATGCTTATGTACCTAACACCAGGGATGTCAACATACAGGAAGCAAAATGCACAAAATCAAAGGAAGAAATAAAGAAATCCACGATAATAGCTGGAGAGCTTAACACCCTTCTCTCATTAACTGATACAATAACAAGGCAAAAAGATCAGTGAGTGTATAGACCAGAAAGCACAAGCAAGCACCTTGACCTAACTGACATTTATGGACTATTATACCCAACAACAGAAGAATGTAAATTCTTTTAAAGTGCATAAGTTATGTTCACAAGCTAGATAATATACTGGTTTATAAAACAACTCACAACAAATTTTAAGACTGATCCTACAGGGAGCTCTTCTGACCACAATGAAATTAAATTTAATATCAAAAAGCTCTCTTGGAAAATCTCAAATATTTGGGAATCAAGCAACAAACTTCTAAATAATCCATGGGTCAAAGAAGAAAGCACAAGAGGAATCTGAAAATACTTCAAAATAAATGATAATGAAAATACAAGACCTTAGAACGTGTGGGATGAAGCTTAAGGAACACTCAAAGGAAAATACATAGCTTTATATGCTAATATTAGAAAAGAAAAAGACCCTAAAACTCAATGGCTTGAGGGTCCATCTTAAGAAACTAGGAAAAGAAGAGCAAAGTAAACCCAAATTAAGTGAAAGAAAGTAAATAATAGACATAAAGATTGAAATCAATGAAATCACAAAAAGGAGAGAAAATTAACAAAACCAAAAGTTGGTTCTTTGAAAGGATCAACAAAATTGATGAAATCCTAGTTAGACTAATAAAAAAGAGAGGAGAAATACAAATAACAACTATCAGGAATGAAGCAGGGTTATCCCCACAGACCCTGCACACATTAAAAGGATGATACAGACACAATGAACAACCTTATGCTAATAAACTTGATAACTTAGTTGAAATGGACCAACTCTTTGAAAAATATAACTTACCCAAACTGATATTTGATGAAATACAAAACCTGAATAGCTTTACACCGATTCATTTTCCAAAAGAATTTTCCCCAAAGAAAACTCCAGACGGCTTCCTGGTGGAGCCTATCGGACATTTCAGGGAGCGCGAACACCACTGTCACACAAACGCTTTCAGAAAATAGGAGAAAAGGAAATACTTCTCACCTTGTTTGATGAGGTCAGCGTGCAAAGGAAAAATGAAACCTAACCGTGGACCAACCTGGCAGACGCGACCTTGATCAAGCGATCAAAGCTAATGTCACCAATTTGGGGACAAACGGACATCAGGTCCCTCTGGATACAACGCCGCGTCACTTCTGTGGTATTTTGCCCATTTGCTTTCTTGAAAGTCGTCAAGGGGAAGCATCCGACAAACCCCAAATGAGGGATATCCTACAAAATGGCTGCCCTGCATCCTTCAAAAATGTAAATATCATGAAAGACAAAGAAACACTGAGAAACTGCTCCAGAATAAAAGAGGCTGAAGAAAAAAATACAAGGAAATGTAACACAGGATCCAGGATTTTCTTTTACTGTAAAAGACATTATTGGGACCAGTGGTAGGATTCAAATAAGGTCTGTAGACTAGATGACAGCATTGTATGAATGTTAATTTTCTGGGCCAGCCCCAGTGGCCACTCTACTTTGGTGGCCCAGGTTCGGATCCCAGGCACAGACCTACACCTCTCTGTTAATGGCCTTGCTGTGCTGGTGGCCCACATACAAAAAAATAGAGGAAGACTGGCACACATGTTAGCTCAGGGCGAATCTTCCTCAGCAAAAAAAAAAAAAAAAAAAAAAAAAAAGGGGTAATTTCCTGATTTTGATAACTGCATTGTGGAATGTAGGAGAATGTCTTTATTTTTAGGAAATAAACACTGAACTATTTAGAGCGGAAGATCCACCATGTCTGCAACTTAGTAAAATCGTTCAGGAATAAAATACATTTTTCATAGACAAACAAAAATGTTTTATACACACACATAAATGTATGTATAGAGAGAGACAGACAGAGACAGAAAGAGAGAGAGAACATGAGAATGAGAAAGGAATTGTGGTGAATTGTCAATAATTGGTGAAGCTGGGAAAAGGGCCTACGGATTCTTGGTACTATTCTTGCCATTTTTCTGTAAGCCTGAAATTATGTCAAAATAAAAAGTCTTAGAAAAAATATCCTTGGCGAACACTGCACTCAGTTCTCCCTCTTGGCTATTTCCAACGTCCATTAGCGTGTTAAAGGTTCTGACAAGTCCTGCACGAGGAAGCCTGTTTAGTTAGCGGAAGATTCGCTTTGTCAGAACGGGTATTAATTCCTGGCACAGGGGCACGGCCAGCGCGTGTGACACTGGCATGGAGCATCCGCGGACTTGAAAATGCACAGGATTGAATCTGCCCTTTGGTTCCACAGAGAGCGCTCGCCCAGGATCCCCACTGCCGTGCCCCGTGGCGCTCTGCTCACCCTCTCTGAGCGTCTCCATCAGCTTCAGCACGGCCCTGAGGGTCAGGAGGCGGGGCAGGGCCGCCCAGCCGGCCACCGTGTGCTGCGCCCGGCTCTGCAGCGTCAGGACCCGGCCTCGCCTGCGCTCCGCGGACGCCCTGAGGCTGAGCTCTGCCGCGTCCTGGTCCAGCAGCGCCCTGGACAGCAGCCAGATCCTAGGAGGGAAGGTGACGGGGTGACAAAGGGCGGCCTCCATCCCTGCAGGCAAATGGCATTGTTCCCCTTCAGATGAGCAGGCCAGCCGCAAGAGGCGGGTTTCTGAACCCCATTGTCCAGGCCCATCCCAGGACCGGACTGTCTTTACTGGGCCCTTCAGCCCACAGCCACGCAGGGTAATATGGGGTTTAGATCACGGGCTTCTGGGTCAGGGAAAGCCGGGTTTGAGTCCCAGTGCTGCTTCCAACTGTGTGGTCTTGGACAAGGACATAACCTCTCTGAGCCTCAGTTTCTTCTTCTGTAAAGTGGGGGATAAAGTGGAACTAGTGATACTGAGCTGAAATTGCTCACGAGCTACCCATGCGTGTTATTACAGGGAAGTATGAGAAAAGAAACAGCTCCGAGAAGTCTCCTTGGAGAGTTGGGGCAGGGGACACAGTCCCTATCACCCACACGGGATGTTCTTTATAGGGCACCCTGGGAGACACTTCCCTTGGGTATCAACACCAGGAACAAGATCAGCCATGCTTTCCTTGGTGCACATTCACACAAGTGTGTGAGTGTGTGTTTCCTTGGAGCCTTTGCAAATAACACCACTGGCTGGTTTCTCTTTTTGCATTGGCTACCAGGAAGCTCAGAGCCAAATCTTCAGCTCAGCTCTAGAAACTGTAGAGGACTTCACGGCATGCGTTTTCTTAACTGATGCCATTTTGAGCACCTTCTCATTTTTCTTTTCCCTTCACCCTAATTTCCTCGTGTATTTTTTAACATCTAGAACAAGTGTTGGGGGAAACTATGGGCCCTTCGGCCAAACCCAGCCCACCACCTGTTCAGTAAATAAAGTTTTCTTGAAGCACAGCCACACCTATTCATTTACAGGTTATCTGTGACACTTCTGGGCTACAACAGAGACCATTTGGCCCACAGATGGGAAAATATTTACATCGGGCCCTTTACTGAAAGTTTGCCAATTCCTGACCTAGGACAATACATATTTTTATAATCGGCCTCAAATCCTTTTTAGATTGGGGATAAGGATGGGCAGTCGGACAGACAGATGAACAGATGGATGTACAGACAGCTGGACATGGTGATCCGGGGACAGGGTTATCTAGGATCACGCCCCAAGTCTTGGGTCCCCTTGAATTCAAAAAAGCTGCCAACGCCGTGGCCGCCGAGGCCCAGTTTGTGCCAGAACGTGCGGCACTGGGCCTAGCCGCGATAATGCCAGCTGGGTAGGGGACATTGTCACTGGCCAGGCACTGGTTTGGAATTCACATGAGCTGTGCACTTAATCCTGGGACAACCCTAAGAAGCAGGTTGAGAAACTGAGGCACAGAAGGGAACAGTGGCTTGCCATCTTGCAAGTCAACTATGATGAATACTGCCATAACTGAAAAAAAAAAAAGGTAAAAGTGGAAAATTGAATGCTTCCTGCTTCCACTCCCTCGATGCCTTAAAACCAAGAATGGCACCACCGGGGGTAACTGCAGCCTGGTCTCAGAGGGACAGAAGACGGCACCTCTGAGTGGTGAGTTCCCGTGTCCCCGGATGCCAGCCCTTTGTCCTCAGAGGCCCCCTCCCCCTTGCAGGGCACCTGGGCACCGTCACCTGGCTGGGGCGACCTTGCCGGACAGCTGCAGCTGAACAGCCCCGGGGGCTCTGCAGGCCGCCTGGCGGAGGAGGACGCTCAGTCCCCAGCCCCGGCCGCTTCTCCGGGTGTCCTGGCTGGCGTCAGCCTCCAGTAGAACCAGCTCCCGGCCGGCCGTGTGCACAGACAGGGAGCCACCGAGGCTGCGCTCTCCATAACGCCTGGCGGCCGCCTGCACCTACAAGGAAGGAGGAGAGGGCTCAGAAGGGGAGGGGACAGGAAGGGTCTGTGGGAGCTGGTATGGGGGAGGGCCCCTTCCTCCAGGAAGCCTTCCTTGCCACTCCAGCTCTGAGCATCACCGAGCACAGCGGACAAGGACTCAGGAAGAGAAAAGAGACACAGGGAAGAACGGGGGACAGCCGGCTCTGACCCCGGCTCCTGGCCCAGGGACAGTCTCACCTTGTCCTTTCCACCACATGTGAAGTGGGAATATCCATCTTACGAATAGGGAAACTGAGGCTCAGAGAGGGGCACATAAGCAACCTGGGGCTGCCTGGCTCTAAACATCATGCTTATGCCTGAAGGGAAAGCAGGAGAGCCCTGTGCAACTCAATTACGGAAAAGGAGCCCCAAACAGTGTCCCCTGGGGCCCATAGGACCCCCCAGAAGCCCTGGTGGTCAAAGGGGAGCATGTCTGTTGCACAAGGCAGGGCCACACCAGGGGTCAGGCTGGAACGAAGTCTTGGCCAGTCTCACCCGGCGCTGGGGGGAGGAGTGGGGAGGGAGCAGGGAGGCCCACCAGCCCCCAGCTCTGCAGGACCTGAAGCCCCTTCCTCATCTGTGCCTCAGTTTCCCCATCTACAGGACAGAAACTTGTCTAGCCCAGTCTGCACATTACAATCATTCGGGAAGCTTTTGAAAGTATGTTTGGGGCCCGCCCGGTGGCCTAGTGGTTAGGTTCGCGCACTCTACTTCGGTGGCCCAGGGGAGTTTGCTGGTTCAGATCCTGGGCACGGACCTACACACGGCTCATCAAGCCATGCTGTGGTGGCATCCCACGTATGAAAAACAGAGGAAGACTGGCAACAGATGTTAGCTCAGGGCCAGTCTTCCTCAAGCAAAAAGAGGAAGATCGGCAACAGATGTTAGCTCAGGGCCAATATTCCTCACCAAAAAATTTAAAAAAATATGCCTGGTCCCTCCACAGATGAATTGATAAACTGTGGTACATCCAAACAATGGCATATTATCCAGTGATAAAAAGAAATGAGCTATCAAGCCATGAAAAGACAAAAAGGAACTAGAAATGCATGTTACTAAGTGAAAGAGGCCAGTCTGAAAAGTCTCCATACTGTATGATTCCAACTAGATGACACTCTGGAAAACGCAAAACTATGGAGACGGTAAAAGGCTCAGCAGTGGCCAGGGGTAAAGGCGGGGGGAGAGGTGAACAGGTGGAGCACAGGGGATTTTTAGGGCAGTGAAACAGCTCTGCATGATCCAGTAAAGGCAGATATATGACATCACGCATTTGGCAAAACCCATAAAAACATCCCACTCATCTGTCAGTGGCCATGCTGTGGCAGCAGCTCACATGAAAAAAAAAGAGAAAGATTGGCAACAGATGTTAGTTCAGGGCCAATCTCCCTCAGCAAAAAAAAAAAAAAAAAAAAAAAAAAGTATGCCTGAGACCCCTGACCCACACTCAGCATCTCCAGGCTGGGGTATGGGTATATTCTAAGGCCTTCCCAGGTGATTCCAACATGGAGCTCGGGCTGAGAATTCCTAGGCATCACCCATGTGTTCCCTGACTGGTCCCTGTGGGCCTGAGGGCCCCTGCAGAGTATGCGTTGTCAACAGGGGCAATATCGCCCCCAAATGCAAAAATTGGATCTTGGGGGTGTGAGTAAAAAAAAATTACCCTTTTATGCATAAATCGTAGATATGCATACAGCACGTAAAAAGGAATACAGTGTGTCTGTAGAATTAAAACTTCATAAAGTGAGCAATTAAGGAAAAAATATTTTAGAAGGCTCCCTAAAGGGGCGATCATGAAAATTAGGTTGGAAAACACCGGCGTAAAGAAACCTCAGGGAAATTTCAAGAGCAGGGACAGAGGTTGAGAAGGCCCAGCTCCTGCCCCGCCCCCAGCCCCCCCTCAAACACAGAGATAACGTGAACACGGGGTGCCGGTGCTTTAAAAAGCTGTCACAGAGTCTGAACTCGTTAGACGACGCAGCATCCAGACTTCTGGGGACCCACCCTCCTCTCCAAGGTGGGGCCGGGGGGTAGCTGGGCTCTGCAGCCAGACTGCCTAGGTTCCCATCCAAGATCCCCCGCTTATGGGCTCAGTGACCTTGTGCAAGTCACGTCCCCTCTCTCTGTCTCAGATTCTCATCTGCAAAATGGTACAACAGCATAAGACAAGGCGTCCACGAGAGGGTTTAGAACAGACCCAGCACGTGGGAAACCCTCCACAGACATCTGCCCCTGTGACAGCTGATCACAGTGACATCACGTCCTCAAACCCGAGGTGCCTGTGGCCCTCGGATGCACCACGATGTCAAGGACCGCAGGGAAATCGAAAGACTGCTGAGGAAACAGTGAACCAGTGTGGGCCTCAAGATGCAGCCTGAGTTCAGAGACGTCGCCACACGTGCATCTGAGAATTCTGTTCCCAGCAGTCAGAGCCCTTCTCAGGCTCCGTTCGAGTTTCCTTCCGAAACCCACCAGCCCAGTGCTGGGCGCAGAGAAGGCATCTAAAAATTGCTGTCAAATGCCGGCCTCTCACTGCTGGATTACCGTCTACACCTCCAACTCCCCGGCCCACCGCCTAATTCCTGTGCACACAGCACACATGGATTGCTCAGAGAAGCAATGCACATGGGGGGCTTGCCAAGGGCCCGGGCTCCGGGGGGGCGAGCACAGCCTTCCCACCTCGTCCTCTTTCTCCGCGCCTTTCTCTCCTCATAGCGTGAAATCCTCCAGGGTTTCTACCCGACCCCAGGCAAAACACCCTGGGGTCAGAAAAGGATCCTACGGCTTCTCCCAAACCCAAATTCAGGACATGGTCTGAGGACAATTCCGTTTCTCTCCAAGTTCGAGGGTGAAATGTGATCCTTTTCACACACACAACCCCCACCCCCCAGGGAGCTGAAAACCGTTCTCGTTCTCGCCTGGACAATGACTTCCAAATGACAGATCTGGAAACGTCCCTGCCATCTGTTCCTGATTCTGGAGGGGCCCGTCTGGCTAAGCTTAACATTGTGGGGGGGCCTCCTCCATCGCTCCTGCCTCCCTTCCTTCCGCCCATCTCCCAGCAAGCTGGCTGCTCAGAGACAAATTTGGCCGGCAGTTCGAGGTCATCCCGAAGGGACCACCGTCCGAACCTGTAAGTCTGGAGGAGATGTCAGTCCGTGGGGATGTCTGAGCTGGAAGAAAAACACCAAGTGGGAGTCAGATCCGTTCAGCTGGAGCGAGACCTGTTGGGAAGGGGGAGTGGGAGAAGGGGGGATCAGAGGGAGCAGTGGGGTGGGACAGAGAACCCCAGAAAATGGCTGGCTGGGCAGCCGAGCAGGGACAGGGCACCCCAGAGTTTGCCCAAAGCCCGGGTCCACCAGCAGATGCCAGAAACCGCCATCCCCCCTCGACGTTTCTCAGCCTTAATCTTTCTCGGGCTGCATTACTCGGAAGCTTGAGAAGCAAGGCCCCAGACACAGGGCTGGGGGGACAGCTCTGGGACCCCAGGCCCCTAATGGTACCTGTCATGCCCCCCATGTCCACCGCTGCCTTCTATTTGACCCTGACCACGAACAGGCACTGACTTTACAATGATCACCTCATTTAATCCTCACCCTGGCTCCCATAGGCTGGTATTACTATCCTCATTTCATAGCTGGAAAAACTAAAGCTCAGTGGGATTGAGTGATTTACCCAAGGTCACACAGCTAGTTGGCAATGGAGCCGGAATTTGAACCTAAAGGCTCCTTGGAGATGAGGACAGAAACACAGTCACCTGTGCAGCCCCAGTACACAGCACAGAGCCTGGCATGCGGCAGAGACACAATCCATACATGGTCAATGAATGAACAAATATACCTATAGTGGCTGCTATACAATCACCAAACTGCATTTCCTTTTCCTCTTGGGCATGCCACTAAAACTACATTTCCCAGCCTCCTCTGCAGCTGAAACTACATTTCCCAGCCTCCTCTGCAGCTGAGTGGGGTCATATGATGAGTTCTGACCAATGGAATCTTGGCCAGGAGTGGCACGAACTACTTATGAACCTGGTCCATGGAAACCTCCTGCATAATTCTCATCCTCTCTCTCCCCATGCACCAGCTGGGGCAGAGCCACAAGGTGGAGGGAACCTGGGTCCGTGAGTGACTGCATGGAGCAGAGCCACTCTGAACTATGACATAATCGGGGATTAAACTTTCACAGTCAAGCAAACTTTTAACAACAGTTGGGGCATCCTGACTAACCACACACATACTGCCAAAATAAGAGCCGTGCTGTCAGCCTTCGAGGGCCCCTGCCTCTTCCTCGGCCATCCCATACAGGACACCTGCACTCTAAGATTAAAACCCCTCCTCCCTCAGCAAGGAGGCAGAACTCAGCCTCCAGACCTGGGATGTGCTGTTGTGGTTGACGTCAGCCCTTGCGTCCACGCTGCCATCGAACGCTCCCTGGGGACTCCACCTGAAGACAATGTCCCCATCCAAACTCAGGGCCTGGGGGAACCTCAGCTGGGAAGAAGCAGACAGCATCCTTTACTCTCGCCACAGCTGAGCTCCGCTTGGAGGCCACAGACCAGTGTTTCCCCAACCCGGGGGCCCTACCTGGGAGGAGTGGGCGGCGTCCAGGGCCAGGCGGTGCCGGATGGCCCCACGCTGAGATCTGTCACGGTGCAGACCCTTTAGATGCAGCACAACTTTCTGGTCGACTTTCAAAGTGCCCTCGAACTCCCTGTTCTTCGCCTGGGTGTACAAGAACCGGCGGCCCTGAGAGAGGTTACTTCCCCACTCCAAGGGCCTGCAGAAGTCACCCTGGGAAGCCGGCAGTTAGAAGAAAGTGGTCCCAAGACGGACGGCTTAAAGCACAGTCCACACTGTTTCACGCACAGGGCGGGAAGTGGGAGCACGGGCACACGGGGTCTTTCAAACAGGGACAGCAAACTCCAGGGCCCACGGGCAGGGTCAGTGGGGTGGGCTCGAGGGGGCAAACTCGAGGGCCTGTGTCCCATTCAGAGGGGGTGCCCCGGTAGGAGCCTGTTCTGTTCACTGCTGTATTCCTGACACTCAGCACAGGTCCTGGCGCATAGTATGTGCTCAATAAATATCTGGACGAATGCAGAATCGCTAGTTACAGCCTCAAACCCCGACGCCAAAGCCATGCTGAGGTGGAAGGATGTTTTATTCCTAGTGAGGCGGGCAGGATGGTACCCACGCTCCCAAAGTGTCCACGTCCTAACCCTGGAACCTGTAAATACATTACCTTTCAGGGCAAAAGGGGCTGTGTAGTTAAGGGCCTTGAGATGGGGAGATTATCCTGGATTATGCAGGGGACCCAAGGTAACTGCCCGGTTCTCACAGGAGGGAGGCGGGAGGGCAGAGTCAGAGAGAAAGTGGAAGACGCTGCTCTGCTGGCTTTGAAGATGGAGAGCAGGACCAGGAACCAAGAAACGTGGGTAGCTCTTAGAAGCTACAAAAGGCAAGGAAGTGGATTCTCCCCTTGGCGCCTCTAGAAGGAATGTAACCTTGCCAACACCTTGATCTTAGCCAAGTGAAAACCATTTTGGACTTCTGATCTCCAGAAGGGTAAGATAAACCTGTGTTGTTTTAAGCCACGAAGTTCGTAGTCATTTGTTATAGCAGCCATAAGAAACTCATACACCTCGTTAACCACTTATTCACTCAGCAACCATGGAGCTTCAGCCACGTGCCAAGTATACATAGCAGGTTGCCATCTTTTCCCACCTGTGTTGGCTGAGAAGTTAAAAATGTCTGGTCACAGAATTTTTTTCTTTTTTTTAAAGATTGGCACCTGAGCTAACAACTGTTGCCAATCGTTTTTTTTTCTTTCTGCTTTATCTCCCCAAATCCCCCCCAGTACATAGTTGTATATCTTAGTTGCAGGTCCTTCTAGTTGTGGCATGTGGGATGCCGCCTCAACGTGGCCTGACGAGTGGTGCCATGTCGGCGCCCAGGATCCGAACCAGCGAAACCCTGGGCCGCCGACGCGGAGCGCGCAAACCTAACCACTCGGCCACGGGGCCGGCCCCCGCAGAATTTTTATTACTGGTGTACATCTTTAAAAGAATACATGGCTTTATTTTAGAACCAAGATGGAGGAGGAATAAAGATCCCAGAGAACAGAAAAATGGGTGTCCTTAAACAAAAATATGGTTTTAAAAAGAACAGCAGCCAAATTAAACCAAATGGAAAGGCCCCCATCTCCTTGGTTCTAGCCTGTTGTTGTCAGATGAGATTTTAGGCTCAGTGATTCAGATCTTCCGAGTTTTTTGTTTTTTTTTAATTAGAACCAGAAATCTGGGTTTCATCCCAAATCTTCTGATTTTATTGCTGACAACTAATTTTTTTTAAATGTACATGCGAAGCAGGCCAAACCAAACACACCTGCAGGTTGCGTGGGGCCCAGGGCGCCATTCTGCAATCTCCGGTTTAAAAACAGTCAACACCACTGGGAACATTTCTGCAGGTGTTTGGGGTGTTGGCCTGCCTTGTTTCCCCTCAAGGACTTGAGCTCCCAACCCTCTGGCAGCCATTCGCAGCCCGTCTAACTGGCGGGGAAGCGAGGCCCCAGAAGGACAGGTGGCCTGGCATCACCCTCCTGCCAACAGATTGTTCATAAACTGCGAGCAAGAAACCACCACCGCGTTCCTTGTCCGGGAGCTGGCACTCAGTCGGCGCTCAATACATGCTTGCTGGAGAATGGGCTATCTCCAGGAGCTTCTGCTCCTCGTGGGGTCAGGAAGGAGACGTGGAGGAGGGCCTGGGAAGCGTGTCTTAAGGACTCACGAGAGATGATGACATTACGCTTCGATTCTCACAGCCACCAAGTGAGAAATAAGCACGCCGTCTCCATTTTATAAACGAAACTGAGGTGCAGACATGAGCTAATTTGCTAAAAACACACAGGCAAAAACGAGTTGCACCCCCAGGAAGACTCACAGGGAGACCCTCCAAGTCAGGGCTCAGGAAACTACAGCCCGAGGGTGAACACGGCCTGTTTTTGTAAATAGGGTCGTCTTGGTTCAGGCTGCTATCACAAAAGCCCCCGAGACTGGGCAGTTTCAACAACAGACGTTTATCTCTCACGGTTCTGGAGGCCGGAAGCCCGGGGTCAGGGCGCCGGCACGGTCGGTCCCGGTGAGGGCCTGCCTCCCGGTTGGCGGGCGGCCGTCTTCTCGCTGTCCCCACGTGGCGGAGGGAGAAAGGGTTCGCTCTCTTCCTCTTCTTCCAAGAACACTGATCTCATCGTGGGGGCTCCACCCTCAGGACCCAATCACCTCCAAAGACCCCACGCCTCCAGATGCCATCACGTTAGGGCCTCGACATGTGAACCCGGGGGACACACACATCCCATGCAGAGTGTTATCGGAGCACAGCGACGCCCATTCATTTGCGGATTTTCTGGGTGTTTCTAGAGTCGAGTAGCTGCGACCAAGACCGCAGGGCCTACAAAGGCTGAAACAGTTATCTAGTCCTTCACAGAAGGAGTTAGTCCGCCCTGCCCTGGGTTGGGGACGTCATGGATTTTCAATAACACTGAGGTGACAACTATTCGTGAAGCGCCTACTATGCGCCAGGCCCCGTGGGCACCATGGGAAATACAGCAGACACGGTACCCATCACGGATCCTACAGACTGGCAGAGGGGACAGCGACTGGCCAAAGAACCACACCAAGACAGAACTGGGGTTCGTGACAGGTGCCAGAAGCAAGTGGTACGGGGTACGGAGGAGGTGTAATGGGGTGTGAGGTGGGCTGGGGGTCAGGGAAAGCTCCTCAGAAGAGATGATGCTGGAGCTGAACCCCAGAAGATGATGAGGGAGGGAGGGAGGGAAAGCTGAGTAGAGAGTGACAGCTCTGGGCACAGAGTACAAAGGTCCTGGGGCAGGAGGGAACCAGGCAAGGAAACGAAGGAGGCTGGGTGAGGTGAACGCGCGTCTCCGGTAAGGCTGGAGGGTCAGCCAGGCCAGAGGGTCAGGACTGGGGTCTGTATCCCAAGAGAGGCGCCGAGGATTTTTAAGCAATGGAGTGACGTGATTCTGTCGGCATGGTGGAAAGGCCCCCTTGGCTGTCAAGTAGACTGGAACAGCAGGGACAGAGTGGAACAGAAAACTCAGGCAGGAGAGTGTTTCGTTCATCCCGTGGAGAGATGACGGCAGCTTGAATGGGGGACCGCCGGGGCGGAAAGGTCTCTGGGGTTTTCCCACTTACGGCGCGTCGATTCCAAGCAAGCGCGCACCCTTCCAGGCTCCCGGGCACGGCCGAGCCGCTGTATGGGTGGGTCAGGCCCGCACAGACCTGCGAGGGACAGCCATACATGTGCGCACAGGCAGAGACGGGACGGGTGGGGGCCTCCCTCCCGCGCTCAGGCCCCTCCCCAGCTGCGCCCTGGAGCCCGCTCACATAGGGGTGTCCCGCCTCGTAGCCCAGGACAATGGTCTGCATGGTCTCTGCTCGGCCATCCAGGACAACCCTGGTCTCCAGGGAGTACCGCTGGTGCAGCTTCTCCGCCGTGAAGGTCTCCTGCACAAGGATGCTCTGTGGGATGCGTGGAGTCCAAGGGTGCCTGGCGTGGAGAGGGGAAATGGGCGACACCATTAAAGAGCTGGCGGGGTCGGGGGACAGCTGTGCCCTAGGGGCTCAGCCTGGGCTTGTCACTGTCTTGCAGAGTTAAGACTTTGCGACAGGGACGACAGGAACATCAGGCCACACGTCAGTCCTCCGTGTCACCATTTGCCAATCGACACCCGTTCACCATCTCGCCGTGCCCTTGCAACAACCCCGGGAGCTGGGCTCAGCTGGGGTCATCAGCACCATGTGGCAGCAGACACCCAAGGGACAGGCAGCACATGGGGTCTGGAGTCCAGGCTCTGCCTTTCACTAGCTGTGTGACCTCAGACAGCAAAGGACTTGATCGGCTTCTCTGTTCCTCAGTTTTCCCATCTGTAAAATGGGGGCTAAAATAACCACACCCATCGCACACGGTGGTTGGGATGGTTAGCGATAACGTGTGTGCAGCGAATACAAGCTTTCTGAGGGCCGGGATTCCTGTCCTTGTTATTGTCTGCTGTTTCCCACATGCCCAGAAAAGTACCTGGCTCATAGCAGGTGCCCGATAAATATAAATGAAATTAAAAAAATGACTGAGACCTTTGCAAAGGACAGCTGCCGTTACTTTTTGGCTATTACTGTTGTTTTGACAATAGATGACTACGCTCATCCAGCTGGTCAATACCCAGCCTGGGGTCCAAGCCAGGTCTGCTGGCTTCCAGGCCAGGGCGACAAGCCTCTGATTTCTGCTCCCATCGTAGCGCACCCATGCAAGGGGCTAGGGACGCGGGGGGCTTCCAAGGCGGGCAGCTCGTCTCGAGCACTGGGTTCTGCCAGGCCCTGCGGGTCAGCGTGGGCCTCTCCAGGCAGCACTGGACACCCGGTTCCCCCGGTGACCCTCAGGCTGGAGAGCAGAGGCTCGGGCAGGCACCGCACCTAAGGGGACTCGGCCTGGGGGAAGGGGCTGCAGGTACCTAAGGAGGAAGGTCCCCCGCTTCTGGTACGACACCCTGTCGCGCGTCAGCTCCTCCAGGTCGCCCTCCACCTGCAGGCCCCGAGGCTGGCCCCCAGCACTGGTCCCCAGAGCCGTCAGCGACACGTGGGTCTTCCGGGGCTGCAACGAGGACCAGGCCGATGGGGAGGGATGGCAGCAAGGACCAAGCTGCTGACATCCTGCCCTGGGGGGGCACAAGGGGCGGCTCCCACTGCCCACCCATTGCCCCCGGGAACGACCACCTGAGCAGGGCTGCTGAACCTGGCTGTGGCTTCCACCCCAGTCAGACCATAAGCTGGCGTGTCCCACCACCAGCTCAGCCCCAGTCTCATGAACGCCCTGGCTGCTGGTTCGCCATTTCAGCACACGGCCAGAGCTCCCCAGGTGCCCAGCCAGCAACGAGGAACTTGGGCTTCTGGCCCCAGGAGCCGAGCTTTGCTCTGGGGTCTGTGCTAATATGACCAGGGTCCCTTTTACAGATAAGGAAACTGAGGCTCAGGGAGGTCCCAGGTAATAGGCTGAGTTGGTGGACAAAGCCCTTCCCCATGCCAGGTGAGGGATCCGGGGTCCCTCGGGGATGGAGCCTCCAGCACCGGCCGCTGGACTCTCACCTGCTCCACGTGCCTGTAGGCTGCCGTTAGGTTCAGCTCCCGCTGGGGGCCATTCAACCAGCAGTGAAGGATCTTACGGTCCCGGCTGTTCTCAGCCCGGATCTCACTCTGCATGGCCGCACTCCAGGCTGTTTCGACTTCACTCCGGCTGCGGAAGAGGCTCCGTGCCAGGGCCGTCACCATGGAAACCTGCAGTGCGGCAGGAGACGGTGACCAAGGCCTCTGCACACCCTATTCCCTCACCTGGGGTTGTCTTTATACACAATTCCTACTTGGTGAACTCCTACTCATACTTCAAAACCCCTCCAATGCCATCCCTGCAAGGCCTTTCCTGACTGGTCCAGGCAGAATTGGTTGTTCCCTACAGGGTCACCTTGAGTGGACATAACTCCCTTCGTCCTCTCTCCCCTTTAGCTCCAGGAGGGACTATGATCTCACTGGGCCACTATTACTAGCGGGCAGGGTCTCTGTGCCCTGAGGAGCACTCGCCTGCCGGTGGCTTCTCTCCCTGCATCGTCAAGTGGTCTTCAGGCCTCAGAAGAGCTGGGCGTTCTTTTGCCTTGCCTTGGGGCTGGGGGAGGAGAGCACTTCAGCCTTGCGCTGGGCGGGACCCCTAGCCCCAGCTCAAGCCCACTAGAACTATCACGGTGCCTGTGTCCTGCCCGCCACTGTCCCTGTCCACACAGCTCACTCAGGGGCCTCACAAGGGAAGGTGATGGGGCCAAGATGCGGTTGGGTATGGTTGAACCTCCCACCAAATGCCTGAACTCCGTAACCCTCCTCCCCTATGTGACCGACCCTCGGTCTCCCCCTGAACCCGTGGGCCCCTGGCTGCTGGCTTCGCCATTTCGGCACATGGTACTTCCTTCTGCCCAGCTCCTTGGGCCAAACCCGGGGGTCATTAGTCTCTTCTCCTTTGTTCCCTCCCCACTGCCAATCCATCAGCAAATCCGTCAGCTCCACCTTCAAACCAGTTCTGGAATCTGGACACCTGACCCTACCTCTACTGCCACTGCCCGGCACGGCCCGTCATCACGCTCTCTGGCTGGGCCATCCGCGGGAGCTGGCTGGCTGACCCTGCCTCGCACTCCTGTCCTGGCTCCATCTGCCATACGGAGGCCTCCTCAGGTCCCTCTACTCGCCAGGAACACCCCGATCCCCCTGATTCTGACCTGGGACCACGGGGCCCCAGCCTCAGAGGGGACTGTGCTGTCCCCCAGACGGGCCCACTGAGCTGCCTCCTTCCAGGCCCAAGTCAGGGCTGGCCCACCCTGCGTCTGCACAGCATCCCAGCATGGGGAGAGGATTTATGCGCCAGGCTCCCTAGGGTGACACCAGGGAAGTCCTTCTCTAGTGATAAGGCTGGTTGGTTTTCTTCCAAACCCTGTTACGCGTCTGTGATCAAATACACGCTAAAAGGCAGACTTAATTACCCTGAGAAGTCTGTATAAAACTGACCTACAGCCTTTAAGTTTTCATTCTGGTTTTCAGGAAAAGCCCCAAGGTCTACTTGCTTCCAAGCTACCTTTCAACCTGCTTTCATATTTTGCTTTATCAGCTGCTAAGCAAGAAGATGGGAAAGCAAGAATGATTTTCGGGTCCGCTCTTCCAAATCCACCTGGCAACTATCTCTGAAGGTTGTAAACAGCAGGTGAGCCGAACTCCATACATCGGAGACCTGGTATCGGCCCACAGCCAGGTTTCCCCCGCTGCAGGGATGACTTGAGGGGCCGGCACCGCTCCTGGGCTGGGGGGTGGCTGGGGGCGGGGCCGAGCATGCGCACCCGGAGGTAAGTGGTAGCTGGGGTGTAGACGTGGATCTTGCCTTCCCTGTCGAGGCCCCGGCTCCTGCAGGCCACGTTCATCACCAGGTTCTTGAGAGTCCAGGCCTTGCCCAGCGTCAGCTCCAGGACAGCCTGGAACGTGGCCGGGTGGGGCCAGGACAGCCTGTGCACCGCAGAGACCGTCAGCCACGGACTGTCCAGGTTCAAGCCTCCTGCGAGGGGCCAAGAGGGAGAAGCCGGTATAAGGGGTATGAAGGGAGCTTCCGGCAGGTAGCAAGGGGCTCTGATGGCCTCAGCACAGCCCCCGTGGGCACATCTCAGGACTGGGAACGACTGGGATGGGGCGGGAGGGAACTTTCTAGAATGATGGTCATGTTCTGAATCTTGACCGTGGGCACCTGTCAAGACTCATCAATGGTCCCCCGGAGATGTGTGCATTTTGCTCTATTTAATGTTTAGAGGTGACATGCATCGATGTCTACAACTTACTTTGAACAGCATCAAAAAATAAGATGGATGGGTAAGTGGATAGATGCCTGATAAGACAAGTGGAGGAAAACGTTAATGGTAGGATCTGGGTTGAGAGGATGTTGGTGTTCACCGCATAATTCTATGCACTTTTCTGTATGTTTGAAAATTTCATCGTAACGTGTTGGAGAAAGGAAATGCTGGAAGGAGTTGGAGGGGGAACATTGGAGTGTGATAATAAAGCGCATGGCCTTTAGTCTTCCAAGCTGTGTGAGCTCCTTGAGGCTGGGCTGCCATCATCTGTCAAATGGGCACAACAGTACTGATCCCGGGTATGGGATCCATCAAGAAGACTAAAGGGCACAATCATCACCATCAATCAGCAAGAAGGTGACATTCAGCATAACCTTCTGCCCTTCCACCAGGAACTAAGCTAGGGCGCAGAACCCTCTCCTCCTTTGTAATGAATATTACGATTCGACAAGTATCACTCAAGACGTGGGATCTGGCAGTGAACAAGCAGTCGCGGCCGCTGCCTTCGTGGACCTTGTCGTCTGGGGGTGGCGGATGGGGGGAGGGACCGGTCCCGAGCAAATAAACACGGGTCATGAGACCTGAGTAGAAAATGCCGAGTGCTATGGAGGAAAATAAAGACGAATTCCCTGACGATCAGGCAGGTCAGCCATGGCTTCCATGAATATGTGACAGGTGAGCTGAGACCCAGATGAACGACAGTGGGAGGCTGTCACAGGGGAGGGCAGCCCCACCCTGCGCTGAAGGTGGGAGATTTACTGTCTGGGGAAACTGAGGCAGGGAGGCGCAGATGCAGGCAGGGCACAGAAAAAGCAGAGGGTGAGCGCGAAGTTGAGAAGGGGGAGACACTGAATAGAGCAGAGCCCAGTGACTGCCCGCTGTACCCGTCCACAGGCCATGCGAAGATTGTCCCACGGCAGCACAGAATGACGGGAAAAAAAAGATCCACAGATACAGGCTCTGGGGGTCCCCAAGGAGAGCCAGGTCCCCACCCGGCCGCTCGGCAGGGAAGCCCACCAACCAAGAAGTGCACCCCCGCCCTACACTTAGAGCCTCCTTCCACTCCGGTGCCAAGTGGCCAACTCCTCAACAGAAGCACAGCCCCACGTCCTGCCTGGCGTTTTGGGGAGACCCACTAATGGGAAATTCAGAAACAAAAAGAAATCAGGGAGAAGAAATCGAAGCACCCCCAATTCTATAACATAAGCTCTCAGAGAAGTAAGAAGAGAGGATGCATTCACAGAGCCAGGCGCTATCAGAAAAGAACTTTCTGGAACAAAAAAAGGGCTCTTGGAGATAATAAGATAGCCAACATTAAAATGTCAGTCAAAGGACTGGCAGATGAAGTGGAGGAAGCCAGCCCTCAAAACAGAACAAAAGGACAAAGAGATGGAAGAAGGGAAAGAAAAGAAAGAAAATGAGAGGTTCCATCTCTGAGGACCAACGTCAGACCAACGGGATTCCAGAACACAGAGGGAAGGAAATTATCAAAGAAAAGTGCCAAGACCCAAATTACGTGTTTCCATATTGAAAGGGCTGATGCTAAGTGCCCAGGACAATGGATGAGGGTAGGTACACTCCAGGGCTCGTCATGAGAAGATGTAAAGACAGTAGGAGTACAGACAAGCTCCCAAAAGCTACCAGACAGCGAGAAAAGGGGCACGTGCAAAAGAAGATGGATCAGAAATGGCGTCAGACCTCTCAACCAATTCGAGACAACGGTGGAGGGACGTCTTCAAAACCCCAAAGGGGAAACTAGAATTCTCTCCTCAGACGAATTACCCAGGTAGAAGGAAGCCAGTTTAAACATTCGGGGTTTCAAAATGTTTACATCCTGTTATGGGTTGATCTGTGTCCCTTGAAAAGATAGCAATTCCCAGCCCCCAGTAGGTCAGAATGCGACCTCATCTGGGAATGGGGTCATCACAGGTATAATTAGTAAGATGAGGTCGTACTGGAGTAGGGTGGGCCCTAAGCCCAGTAGGACTGGTGTCCTTACAAGAAGGGGGAAGTCTGGCCACAGGCACACACAGACACAGAACACCGTGTGACAACAGACAGAGATCGGGGTGGTGTAGCTGCAAACCAAGGAGCTCCAAGCATCAGTGGCCACCACCAGAAGCCAGGAAGAGGCAGGGAAGGATTCTACCCAGGGTCACAGAGGGAGGAGGGCCCTCTGACACCTTGATTTCAGAATTTCAGCCTCCAGATCTGTGCAAGAATACATTTCCATCGCTTTAAGCCACGCTGTTTGTGGTAATTTGTTAGAGCAGCTCTAGGAATCTCATACACCTCCCATGCACCTTCTCTCGGGAAGCTACTGGAAGACGTGCGCCATCAGAACAAAAGGGTAAACCAAGGAAGACGATGACATGAGTCCAAGAAACAGGGGCTGTGACCCAGAGGGGAGGAAGGGGGAATTCCCAGGATGAGGGTGGAGGGACCACAGCTGTGCACCTGGTCTGCCTTGGAGGAGGAGGACAGAGGCTCCAGGAAGAGGGTCTCCAGGAAAAATACGAGAACTAATTGAAGCTGATAAATAAGCTGATGAGCTCGACCTTTTGGAGAAAAGCTTTGCCCCACGGTGGAAGATTCTAGAAATAATTAGCAAGAGGAAAATAGAAAACTAATCAAACAGTGGAAAAAAAGGCAACCATAACTCCAGGAAAAACAAAAAGTTAGAATCGTAGAACACCATGTGTCTTGACTAGGAAGGAAATTTAAGAGTCACAAATTTGTAAACACTGAATATTAATGAAACGTGACTCTTTCAGGGGAATGGGAGGAATTAGATATTTGAAAAGGGTTGGTGTAAGACTTAAATTCTCATCCTGTCTAGTCAGACACTGACGGAGAATACATAAAAGAAAACTCAAGAAATAGTAGCATGATTATATTATTTTAAAAGATAGAAAGTATAACAAGAAACAGCTAAAAGAATTTATAGTGATTGCTGTTTTATGCAAAACTTGCGATAGGAAGACAGAAAGCAGAGAATTACTCTATTCCTTATAAACTTTTTTAAAGCTTTAAAAAATTTATTTTAAGTACACACATGAGTAGAGAGCATAAGATGATGAGCCCCCATGTAACACTCACCCACTTTCAACATTCACCAACTCATAGTTGAATTCACTTTTCAAACTATGTATTGCTTCAATAAAAATAAAAATTAATTCAAAAAATTAATTCAAGGATAAACTATGGTAAATCCACTTTTTTTTTTAAGTGAGAGAAAGAGCATTCCAAGGAGAAGGAACAGCAAGTGCAAAGGCCCTGAGGTACATTTGGGGAACAGAAAGGAGGCCAGTGGGGCTTCAGGATAACGCACACTGTGGAAAGTGGGGTAAGATAAGCTTGGACAGGTAGGCAGGGACCTGTCATGTGGAGCTCTGTTGGCGAGGGTGAGACACCAGGATATAATTATAAGTGTCACGGGCTACACTGAAGGTCTGAGTCGAGTTAGCCAGGCAATGAGAAGGGAAGGGTGTTCCAGGTAGCAGGCACGGCTTGAGCAAAGGCCTGGAGACCAGAAATCTTAACTGCTCGCCAAGGAGATTTCCTAGACGACACTCACCTTCCCACTTCCACAGGGTGGCCCGGGACGTGTCCTTCCACTGCAAGCCTGCCACGAAGGGCAGCCGCCCATTGCACTGCACCTTCAGGTATGTGCTGCTCTGCACGTGGGGCTGGCGGAGGCTGGAGTGGTGCAGCTGCATGCGGTAATCCACATGCCGCACGGGCACCTGCAGCACGAACTGAAGAAGACCCACACCTGAGATGCTAGCCAGGTCGGGCTGTTCCCCACCTAGAACATTCCACTGGCTCTCCACTACAGCCAGGGGTCGGCCGGAGTGCTCTGGCCATCAGAAACTGCCCCAGCCCATCCCCCAAAGAAACCCTGTGCCCGTCAGCAGTCCCTCTCTATTGCCCCCTCCGCACAGCCCCTGAAACCACTGATCTACCTTCTGTCTCTACGGATGTACCTATTCTGGGCTTTTCATAGAAACGGAATCATACAGTGTGTGGCCTTGGGGTCTGGCTTCTTTCACTTAGCACGATGTCTTCAAGGTTCATCCATGTTGTAGCCTGTGTCAGAACTTCCTTCCTTCTTCTTGCTGAATAATCTTCTATTGCGTGGGTACATCACATTTTACTTACCCACTCATCTGTTGATGAATGTTTGTTTTTATTTTTTTGGCTATTATGAATAACGCTGCTATAAATGTTCACGTTTTTTGTGGACACATGTCTTTAATTCTCTTCCAAACAGTCACAGCATTTTATGATCCCACCGATATATGAGGGTTCTGATTTCTCCACATCCTCACCAACACTTATTATTTGTCTGTCTTTTTAAATTTTAGCCACGGTAATAGGTGTGAAGTGGTATCTCATGGTGGTTTTGATTTGCATTTCCCTAGAGACTAATGATGTCGAGCATCTTTTCATGTGCTTATGGCCATTTGTATACCTTTTTTGGAGAAATATCTATTCAAATTCTTGATCTTTTTATTATTGAATTGTAAGAGCTCTTTATATATTCTGGATACCAATCCTGTATCCGATACATGATTTACAAATGTTCTCTACCATTCTGTGGGCTATTTCGCTTTCTTATTGGTGTCCTATGAAGCATGAGCATTTTTAATTTTGATGAAGTCCAAAGCATCTATTTTTCTTGTTATTACTTATATTTTCAGTGTCATATCTCAGAAACCCTTGCCTCATCCAAGGTCAGGAAGATTTACTGTAATGTTTTCTTCTAAGTGTTTTATAGTTCTTAACTTTAGGTCTGTGATCTATTTTGAGTTCGTTTTTATATATGGTGTGAGGTAAGGGTCCGACTTCATTCCCGTGCACATGGATCTCCAGTTGGCCCAGTACCATTTGTTGAAAAGACTATTCTTCCCCATCTGCAAGTGTCTGGGCATCCTTGTCAAAAATCAATTGACTGTAAACATAAGGATTTATTTCTGGTCTCCTAATACTACTCCATTGGTCTATATGTCTATTTTATGCCAGTACCACACTGTCTTAATTACTGTAGCTTTGCAGTAAGTTTTGAAATTGGGACAGAATGAGTCCTCCAACTTTGTTCTTCTTTTTCAAGACTGTTTTGGCTGTTCTGGGTTCCTTGCAATTCCATGTGAATTTTAGGATCAGCTTGTCAACTTCTGCCAAAAAGACAGCTCAGGTTTTTGTAGGGACAGATTTAAGGAATTTTGAATCAATTTGGGAAGTACTGTCATCTTGAAATTGAATTTTCCAATCCAAGAACATGGATGTCTTCCCATTTATTTACGTTTTTAAAAATTTCTTTCCATAATGTTTGGTCATTTTCAGAGTATTAGTTTTACATTCTTTTGTTAAATTTATTCCTAAGTATTTACTCTTTTTGATGCTATCGTAAATGGAATTCTCTTCTTCATTTCATTTTCAAATTTTTCATTGCTAATGTAACACAACTAATTTTTGTGTATTGATCTCATATCCTGCGACTTTGGTGAACTCATTTATTAGCTCTGATAGGAATTTTCGTGGATTCTTCAGAGTTTTCTAAATACAAGATCACGTCATCTGTAAATAGAGATACAAGCATACCCCCAGATATGCAGGTTCGGCTCCAGACCACCACAATAAAGCAAATATCGCAATAAAGCAAGTCACACGAATTTTCTGGTTTCCCATTGCATATAAAAGTTATGTTTACTCTACACTGTAGTCTATTAAGCGTGAAATCGCTTTATCCAGGAAAAAAAAGTACATACTTTAATTAAAAAATACTTTATTGCCAAGAAAATGCTAACCATCACCTGAGCCTTCAGTGAGCTGTAATCTTTTTGCTGGTGGAGGGTCTCGCAAAAAAGCCAATATCTGTGGGGAGCAATAAAGTGGGGTGCAATAAAATGAGGCATTTGTGCCTGTGGCTTTACTTCTCCCATTCTGGATGCCTGAGGTTTGCAAAGAGGCAAAGTGGAATTTAAACCCAAAATTCTGCCACCTAGTCGCTGTGAGACCTCAGACAAGTCCATTTACCCAATTGCTCGTCTGGAAAATGCGGACAGATAATGCTTACCTCACAGGGATGAAATGAGATAATACAAACGAAGTGTCAGACACATGGTCTGGCAACAAAAAAAAGGCTCATCACTGCTCGCTCTGCCCTTCCTGTCCTGCTCACTGTCAGATTCTTAAGGATGTTTAAGAAGATTAAGATTATTTTATTCATATTTGTCTCCCAGACCTAGCGTGGTGCCTGCCACACTTGCATTGATGCTGTCACAGGTCTCCAATTTCTTCACTAAAACCCTGGGGGGCACGGGTTTTCTAGAAATAAGAAATGTTCACATTTTAGAATTGTCCTATGACACATCTACGGCAGTTATATAAAGAACTCCTACCAATCAATAAAAAACTCAAGTATTCTAATTTTTTTCCAAACGTCAAACGATATGAAAAAGCAGTTCACAGAAAGGTTAACGCAACGGCAGAATAAATACACAAAAAGATGGAGCCCGGCCTCATGAAGTAATCAGGGAAGTGCAAATTCAAACAACAAGACACCATTTCCACCCATATCGGCAATATTTTGCAGATGGTGAAACTCGAGTGTTGGTGAGAATATGGAAACCGCTTCTCTCGGACGTGGCTGGGAGGTGGGTGATGGGGGCAGACATTTTGGAGGGCAAATTGGCAAAAGCCAGCAAATTACAAATGCACCAATTCCGTAACCCAGCAGTTCCACATTGTGACAGCTGCCCTGGAGACCTTGTCACACGTGCACCCAGGGAGACATGCCCAAGGATGTTCAGGCATACATTAGAAACCACAAGAGTGAAACAGCCAAAGAAAATGCACGATAGCCACATATGGAACACGATGCAGGTGTTTAAAAGAATAAGGTAGATCTCTATAAAACAACCAGAAACATTCTCCAGGATCCATTGCCAAAGGATGCACAGCAAGCCTCACCAAACAGAACTAAGTGTTTGTGATGGGTCCACAGAGCAAGCAAATAGGAAAATTGCTCTTCTCCAGTGCCCCAGACTATAACCGTGGTTCCCTCCGGGCAGTGGCAGAGGGACCAGGATCAGGGATGGTAACTGGAAAGGAATTTTAGCCTTATTTTAAATGTCATACATATATTTTTTTTCAGAAGGAGGATTTATTCATGTCGTATTGGTATCACTTAAAAGCAATTTAATACTTAGGAATGAAGTTAACCAAGAGGGCAGATGACTTGCACGGTGAAAACTACAAAATGTTGCTGAAAGAAATGAAAGGGGGCACAAACAAATGGAGACAGCCCATGTTCATGGATTGGAAGCCTTAATATTGTTAAGACATCAATACTACCCAAAGCAATCTACAGACTTAACACAATCCTTATTAAACCCCAGTGGTATTTTTTAGGGGGACAGAAATAGAAAAAGCCATCCTAAAATTCATATGGAATCTCAAGGGACCCCAAATAGCCAAAACAATCTTGAAAAAGAAGAACAAAGTTGGGGGGTCTCACAAAGATACAGTAATCAAAACAGTATGGTAGTGACATAAAGACAGACACACAGACCAATGGAACAGAACAGATTGCCCAGAAATAAACTCACACATGCATGCGCAAATGATTTTCAACAAGGGCGACAAGCCTTTTCAACGGGGGAAAGGACAGTCTTTTCAACAAATGGTGCTGGGAAAACTGGATATCCACGTGCAAAAGAATGAATTTGGACCCTTATCTTATACCATATACAAAATTTAACTCAAAATAGATGAAATATTCTCAAACTCTTAGAAGAAAACACAGTATTTAAAAGCTTCATGACATTGGATTTGATGATGATTATTTCAATGTGACACCTAAAACATAGGGAACAAATGTAAAAATAGACCAGGGCTGGCCCTGTGGCCTAGTGGTTAAGTTCAGTGCGCTCTGCTTTGGCAGCCCAGGTTCGGTTCCTGGGCGTGGACCTACACCACTCATCAGCAGCCATGCTGTGGCGGAGACCCACATCCAAAGAGGAAGACTGGTGCAGATGTTAGCTCAGGGCCAGTCTTCCTCAGGAAAAAAAAAAAAGAAGTAAAAATAGACAAATTGGACTATACCGAAATTAAAAACTTTTGTGCATCAAAGGATGCTATCCATAGAATGAAAAGCCAACACAAGGAATGGGAGAAAATATTTGTAAATCATATATCTGATAAGGGGTTAACATCCAGAATATATAAAGAACTCCCACAACTCAACAACAACAATAAAACAAACAACCTGATTCAAAAATGGGCAAAAGACTGAAATAGCCATTTCTCCAAAGAAGACATACAGATGCCCAATAAGCACGTGAAAAGATGCTCAACATCATTAATCATCAGGGAAACGCAAATCGAAGATACGAGATACCACCTCATAGCGATTAGGATGGCTACTATCAAAAAAAACCCCAGAAGTTATAATAACAAGTGTTGGTGAGAATGTGGAGAAATTGGAACCCTTGTGCACTGACGGTGACACTGTAAAATGGTGCAGACACTATGGAAAACAGGAGGCAGTTGCTAAAAATGTCAAGCACAGAATCACTACTTGATCCAGCACGTCTGCTTCTGGGCACACACCCAAAAGAAATGAAAGCAGGGACTCAAACAGGCGTTTGCACACCCGTGTTCACAGCACCGTTATTCACAAGAGCCCAAAGGGGAAGCCAAGTGCCATCGGTGAATGACCGGATGAACACAACGCGGTCCATCCACACAACGGAGTGTCCTTCAGCCTTAACAAGGGAGGAAATTCTGTCGTGTGCTGCCAGCTGGATGGACCCGGGGGACGTGATGCTAAGTGAAATACACCAGTCACGGAAAGACAGACACTGCCTGATTCCAGTCCTCCGAGGCACCCAGTCACACTCCTCAGGGACAGAAAGCCGAATGGCGACTTCCAGGGACTTGGAGCGAGAGGGAACAGAGAGTCAGTGATCCACGGGAACAGAGTTTCAGCTTCACAAGATGAAAAAGTTCTGGAGGCGGCTGGTGGCAGTGATCACACGACAACGGGAATGTGCTTAATGCCACTGAACGGTACACCCCAAAGTGATGAAAATGGTCAATTTTATGTTATATATGTTTTACCATAATTAAAAAGTTTTTTAAACAATTTAAAAGTAAACACACAAAGCTAAGCGTGTGCCTTCTAAGAGCACATCGCCCGTTCAGGGGCTAAGGGCTTGGTTATTCCTGACTTACCAGAAACGGCTACCCCTCCAGTAAAGCCTGGAAGTGAACTCGTTTCCAAAATGCACTTTTTACAGATGGAAATCTGTGCTTTTACAGTTGGAATCTTGTTTCCCAAGCCCTTTGCAGACAACAGATTGCAAACAGCCTTGCAGACGAGCCCTCTTACAAACGGCCCCTTAGCAGTCCTTGGGACTCCCAGGGATGTGGGGGCTGGAGATGCAAAAGGTAAGGTGACTAGCCTGAGGCTTTATTTATTTATTTATTTATTTTTTTGCTGAGGAAGATTGGCCCTGAGCTAACATCCATTGCCAATCTTCCCCTTTTTGCTTGAGAAGATTCACCTGAGCTAACATCTGTGCCAGTCTTCCTCTATTTTGTATGTGGGTCACCACCACAGTGTGGCTACTGACGAGTGGTGTAGGGAACTAAACCCAGGCCACCAAAGCCAAGCACCAAACTTAACCACTAGGCCACGGGGCTGGCCCCAAGCCTGAGTTTTGGCTGCCTGTGTCCTTGCGATCAAGGCCTGAAGAGACACTGGGCGGGGGGGGGGGGCGGGGGGGGTAGGTTTTTGCGTTGCCCAGCTGCCCCTGCACTCTGAACTCTGGCCTGCAGAGGTCGGGCTCACCTCCATGAAGTAGCTGCTCAGGGCCGGGCCGGAGTCGTTCTGGAAGGTCTGGCTGAGGCGGACTCGCCTCTTATTGCTGCTCTCGCCCCACTGCTTCCCGTAGCTCACCTCCAGCTGCGAGTACAGGCGGCCCGGGCCATCCTCATGCCGGAGCTGGACCTGGGGACACACCCCACCAGGGAGACCCCCGAGGAAGACTTGTCTGCGTCCTCACCACCACCCGCCCGGGGAGCAGGCTTCTCTGGGGAGGCAGTTCCAGAGGAGGTGCGGGTTTGATTGCAATGATTTTGATTTTGTAAAGTATCGCCTTGGAACGCGATTCGCCTTCGAGACTGCGTTTCTGGTGCCCCTTAATTTCTGAGCCCCAGGTGAGTGCTTCTCCCTGCTCCAGGCCCCATAAGGAGCGAAAGAGCCAGGAGCCGGGGGAGGATGACTCCTGACCTGCTTCACAGAAACCCAAGAGCCCCTGATCCCCACTCTCCTGGGCAGCCTCCGGCTCCCTGGACAGAACCCGAGCGGATCAGGCTTTCACCCCTGAGGCTTCCTGCTGCCTTCTCCTACCTCTGAACCACAGGCTCATCATTTATTCATTCATAGAACACAATTTTCCAAGTACCAAGTAGGTACTAAGTGCAGCACTGGGCACCACATACCCAGGAATGAAGGAACCAGAAGACCCCGCTCTCGTGGGGGCAACGACCCAGCGGGAGAGGCAAACTTGAAACAAGTAAATTAACAAAGGAGCAGCCGCTCCTCCCTTCTCCTCACCCCGCCAGCCACTCTGGTGAACTGCCAGGTCCTTAACCGCTCCATTTTCCCTCCTGCCCCAGGACCTTTGCACCTGCTGCTCTCTCTGCTTGCAGCATGCTTCCAGGGGAACAGAACTGTCCCATGTTTTAATTTCCAGCTTAAAATTTATTTCTCCCAAAGAAGGTTTCCCTGGTGCCCGTGCAAACTAGATTCCCCTCTGTTATGCTCTCAGCCTCTGCCCCTTTACCATGCGTGGGCAGTTAAGTCTCCCTTGATTTGGACTGTCTTTCATTCTGCCCCTACCCAGCAACAGGATGGCAGAAACGAAGTTCTGCCTTGTGCGCAGCTCTCCCCACGGTGCAGACAGTAGGTGTTTAATAAAGACTAACTGAACAAATGGATGGAAAACTGAGACCGACGTTCCAGTTCCAGATCCGCTCCCGTCCGTGACCTGGAGCAAATCCGTCTCTTCGAGGACGCGTTCAGGGTGCTCAGCCCACCACCTCCCTGACCCGGGGCTCCCTCCAGACTCCCCGCCCGCCCTGGGCACCCACCTTGTGGCTGAACACCGGGAGCTGTGTGCAGTGGAGCTCGTGGTCCAGCTCCAGCTGGTAGGCGCCCTCCGGGCTGCTCTCCGCCCGCAGCTTCTGGCCGGTGCTGCACTCCTGAGCCGGCTGCTTCGCCTGACCTACGCGGGGCGACCCAGAGACCCCTGCCCTTCCTCCGCCAGGCAGCCCTCCCTCCCCGTTCCAAGGACAGGAGTGTTCAGCCCAGCCTCAGTCCATCCCCCAGGATCCACCCCACCTAAGGTCACTCAGTGGGACCTGCTGATGGGGAGGTTTTAAGAGACAGGTTTCTGTCCCCCTGAACACAGGCACGTGCGTGCGCACACACTTTTATTGTAATGAGCAGGTGCTCAGTGCCATTCAGAGCCGATGGAATGAACAACTGGCTAAGGAGCGATGCGGTGAGGCCAGAACACCCAAGGTGACAGTGGTCCCTTCACCCTCGGAGCCACAGCTCCAGCAGATGGTGATCCTGCCACCTCCCGCCGTGCCCCCCGCACATGGTGCCGTACCCAGGAGGCCGTACTTGACGCTCAGGGAGCTGGTCCAGAGGCCGCCCCGCTGCCGCAGGAGGCCCCCGGCGCGCAGCCCCACGAGCCCCGGCACGAAGAGCTCGCCGCCCAGGGTCACCACCTGCAGCCTGTCCTCTGCCTTCTTCTCCAGCAGCGCTGTGGGGAAAGCGGGCAGGGAGGGGACGGGCATGGTGGTTCCTGGAGGGTGGTCCATGCATTGGAGGGGGTCTCAGGGGGGTCATACGGAAGCCGTGAGCAGACACAGAGGCTGGAGTTTTCCTTAGATGGGATGTTAACGTTGGCAGGTTCAGGGCACAGGAACGACAAGTGGGGCACTCAGCCCGCCTCCCGGAGCACCCGGCCATGGAGAAGGTGTGGCAGGAAGGGGTCCCTCCTCCTACCTGACAGGTGGGCCTGGTCCCTCAGCAGGTTGTTCAGGAACACGGAAAATGCCAACTTGCTCCCCGCCTGCCGGCTGAGGTTCCCGGCGATGACCACGGGGCTGCCCGCTGTCACCAGCTTCACCTCCAGCTGGGCCTCGAACCGCTGGGCCTCCTTGCCCGCCGCTGGCCGCAGGTCGCTCCAGCCCTGGAAAGGCCCCAGCATCACCTAAGGGGACGGGCTCGGCCAGCAGGCGTGGTCCCCACCACAGGAACTGGGGCCGGACAGAAGGCAGGGGACGGAGTCCAGCTAACGGCCTTCTAGGCCGATCCTTCTCCAATTTCTTAAACTTGATGTTTTTCAAACTATTACGAATCCAGACGGAAGGCTAAGGGACTCTTTGTCTCGCCCTCTCATTCCTCCCTCGTCCAGTCCATCAGGGACCCTGGTCAGCTCTCCCTGCGGAATATTTGGGGAGCCGACCACTTTGGCCACCTCCACACTGCCCGGCTCAAGCCCTGGTCATCGTGCCTGCATCACTGCGACATCGTCCTCCCGGCTCTCCCGCTCCCGCCCTGGCCCGCCATCTGTTCACCCGGCAACCGCGCGACCCCTTTGCGTCATGCAGGGTCACGCACGCCCATCTTTCTCAGGGGAAAAGCCACTGTCCTCGTGGAGACCAGCAAGGCCAAGACTTTCTCTGGAGGTCAGTGGTGCAGCCCCGGCCAGCAAAGGCAGAGCCGCCCGCAGGGGGACACTGGCAGAGGGGACGCAGGAACGCTCGTCTTTGATGGTCCCTGCCGACTGCAGACCAAGCCAACAGCACTCTCTGTTGGCCGCCAGCTGATCTGTTTACCCAAAAGGTGTAAAAACAGCCTCACTGTTCCCAGACTGTCCGCTACTTTGTGCTCTCTCATAAATCCTGTTTTTGCCTTTGCTCCTTGACAACAGTCACAAATCACTGTCTTCTGATTACTGTTCGGCAAGGTCTTACACGATCTGTCCTTCCACCTCTGTTCCCTTTGCTATTCTGCTCCAACCACCGGGGCCTTCATGCTATGCTTCTAACACGCCAGGCACATTCTCTCCTCAGGACCTTTGCACATGCCGTGCCCTTTACCCGGAATGCCCTCCCTCCACAGAACCACATGGCTCTCTTCTGCACATCCTTCACGTCTTTGCCACAAGTTATCTTCTCCATCAGGTTTGTCAGCCTATTAAAACTGAAGCCGACCCCAGACCATTCCTCTCACGTAACTTCAGACCCCTGTACCCAGCTCAATGATTCCCTTTTCTAATAGCACTTACACCCCCCTATCACCGTGCAGGTTGCTTATTCATTTTACTTACTGTCTCTCCCACGAGAATGCAAGCTTGAAGGGGAGAGAATTTTCTGTGTGTGTGTCTTCCATCGAGCTGTCTTCCCAGACCCGGCACCCTGTAGGTGCTTGGTAAAATATGATTGAATAAATGAATAAAGACACTGAAAAATACGGGCCGCGTCCTCCTCCTTGGTGTCCCGTCTCCTTCACGGGGAACAACTGTGCCCCACTTCTTGTGCATCTTCAGGAGACAGCACGGGCCTCCATGAGTCTGTCTGCACGTGTGCGAGGGTGTACGTGTGTGCACACGAGCACACATATGCGCGCTCCCCCTTACGTGAAAACAGAGGCAGGCTCTCCGCTCTGCTCTGCTTCTCTCACTTAACCGTGTGTCTTGGCGACGCTTTTCTCGGGTCTCTATCCGAGGCTGAGGGGCGGTGGCCACAGCACAGCCTGTGAATAGGGTGCCTAGAATTTCTCACCCAAACCAGGACACTTAACAGTGGGAGAGAACACTAGTCATCATTGCACTGGGTCAGCGGGTGTAAACCGGGCTCTCCAGGGAACCAGGAGCTCGGGACGCCCGTCACTGCCCCCCGGGCGGGGTGGGGGGCGCCGAAACCCAGCAGTCGCCCCCTTGCCATCCTGAAACCCCATGAACTCTGACGTGAGTTGAACCCCGCTTTGCTGGCTTATGTTCCTGAGCTCATGTGCCTCAGTTTCCTTATTTCACACGAGTTTAAAAGGAGGACTGAAGGAGGGACCCTGGGCCCAAGGCCACCTGCATTCCCCGCTCCCAGAACAGGCTTTAGAAAGTTTCGGAGGCCCAGCTGTTCCGGCAGGCGGGCCTGCGGGGAGGGGCCGTCAGCTCTTGTGCGTCTAGCCGACAGCTGGAGTCTCCAGGGCCCCGGGGGCTCTGAAATGATCGGGCAGCTGGGGCTTTAGGAGGAGACGCTCTCCTCTCCCCGACACTTGGCCGCCTCCCCGCCCGGGCCGGAAGCCCATCTGGGAGCCCAGAGCGTGTTTACGCAGCAAAAATTCCAGCCCCAGCTCCAGATTCTCAAGTCTGGAGCTGTCTGAATGGACACGGGAAACCGAGGCAGGATGGCCAGACTCAAAGCCCAAGGCGCCCGGAGGTCCTGCCGGGCAGGAGTGAGTGTAAAGCTGCCGGTTTCACCCCTTGGGGAGTCCCAGACCCTCTTGAGCATCGCACGGAAAGTCTCAATTCTCCCCCACAAGGCAGGACAGACACAAAACTTCATAGGATTGCAAGGACCTCAGCGGACCCACCGAGTCCCAGCCAGGCGCCCAGCTGAGAACCTCGAAAAGTACCGGCTGAGAGACAATCGCTCTGCTCTGCTCTAGAATTCACCCCGCAGACATAGGGGCGCTCAGGGCTGTGCACGGACAAGACCAAAACCCTGGGGAGAACGCAGAGCCCTTCGCTACGGAACCAGCTAAATAAATTCCCTCCATTGACGATCGCGCAGCCGTTCACAACACATGGACACACGTTCATTTTCAGAAAGGTTGGGGGGGTGGAAATATATGGACACCTATTTGCGGACTGTGGGCATGGATTTTCTCTGGGAGGAACCACAAAACGTCAGCAGCGGCTGGCTTTGGGGCGGGGCGCAAGGGAGAGGGTTTAACTCTTTGCCCATGCTGACCAAGAGAACTTTCTGCAATGATGGAGAAATTCGTGGAAAGTGGCTAGTGCCACTCAGGAACCGCCTCTCTCATTTTCTTTACTTCTAATTCCTTTAGACACAGCAGACAGTCAGTTCTAGAACCTCTCATATCTTTTGAACCTTGAATCATTGAAAGGTGTTACCTATTTTCTCCTTTTTTTTTTTTTGAGGAAGATTAGCCCTGAGCTAACATCTACTGCCAATCCTTTTTTTTTTTTTTTTTTTTGCTGAGGAAGACTGGCCCTGAGCTAACATCCATCCCATCTTCCTCTACTTTATATGTGGGATGCCTGCCACAGCATGGCTTGACAAGCGGTGCCATGTCCGCACCCGGGATCCGAACCGGTGAACCCTGGGCCACCGAAGCGGAACGTGCGCACTTAACCACTGCGCCACCGGGCCGGCCCCCCTATTTTCTTTTTTAACACAATAAAATTTAAATTGTACCAGCACACGCTGGTACAAAAAGTTTGCCAAGATACATTTTGGCATAAAACTAACAGCAAAGAGAGAACAAAGAAAAGTGTAGGACCTTTTCATGGAAAACAAATGAACAGAAACTAAACTCAAAACTAAGAGGTTTTGCAAATCTACCGTATTATGGGCAGAACTATGGCCCACCCAAAAGCTGTTAAGTCCTCGCCCTCAGACCTGTGAACGTGACCTTGTCTGGAAACAGGGTCTTTGCAGGAGGTCAAGTTAAGACGAGGTCCTGAGGGTGGGTCCCGACCCAGTGTCACTGGTGTCCTTACGAAAAGGGGAAATTGGGACACAGAGACCTCCAGAGGGAAGACAACGTGAAGACACAGAGAGAAGACAGTGTCGACAAGCCAAGGAGGGCCAGAATCTTCCAGAAATGAGGACGGGGCCGGAACAGATCCTCCCTCCCTGCCCTCGGAAGGAGCCACCCCCGCCCACACCGTGATTCTGGACTTCAGCCTCCAGAACCACGAGAGAGACATTTCTGTCATTGAAACCCCCTAGTTTGGGGCGCTCTGTTACCCAGCTGGGGGACACGAATACAGATTTCCTGGTGTGTGCACTGACACTTCCGGAAATTGGGGGACAGACATGCTTTAACTTGCCATTTTATACTTTACTCTGAATTTTTAAAGCACGTTCCTGTGTTCACTAATATCATCAATCTTTGACATCAATGGTGGTGAGATTTGAGCCCGTTTTTTCTTCTTTATACCTTTCTGGCTGACGAGAAGTCACAAATGTTATTGCTTGGGGGCAGGGAAAGAATCGCTAGAACTCCAAAGGAGGTGGCGATTATTAAGCTGGGGCTCTGGGACGGGAGGGGGGGGGTGCAAATGCCCGGGAAGGTGGCGGGCGCCACACAGGTGACCGAGGACATGGAGCCAACCTTGACATAGTAGACGTCCCTGTCATCCAGTATCAGCTCCAGGTGACCCACGCGGCCGCTGTGGAGCGTCTCCATCTTTCCTGGGGGACAAAACAAGAATTCAGAGACCGGGGCTCAACGTCCTGGCATTCACCGGAGGACGCCCCACTCATTTCCCATCTCTGAGCCCGTCAACACGGCTGGACTTAGTGCTGACCCCAGAGGTCGCTGGGGGATCCACGAGTGAGCAGGCAGCAGGGGCCCGGCCCTGGGTCTGGCACCCAGCGAGGGGCCCTGTCATTACCGTCCAGCTCGAGCTTCTTCCTGGGGTGGAGAAGCTTCAGCCGGAACTTCCCCTGGGGCCAGCTGTAGCTGAGGTCCAGCGCAACATCCCTGGGCACGTGGGACCCGGGCGTGCCCATGAAGAGGTGGGCGGATGCTTCCTGAGGGAGCCAGCTGTCCTTCTGGAAACACAGTGGACTCTTCAAGGTCATGAACCCCATCGTGCTCATGGGGTCCCTACTCTTCCTGAGAGAGGACCCCTGCCTCCACTGTTCAAACACGTGAGTTCTTTTTTTTTTCTTTTTTGGTGAGGAAGATTAGCCCTGAGCTAACATCTGCTGCCAATCCTCCTCTTTTTTGTTTTTTGCTGAGAAAGACTGGCCCTGAGCTAACATCCGTGCCCATCTTCCTCTACTTTATATGTGGGATGCCTACCACAGCATGGCTTGACAAGCGGTGCCATGTCTGCACCCGGGATCCAAACCGGCAAACCCTGGGCTGCCAAGAAGCAGAACGTGCTAACTTAACCACTGCACCACCGGGCCGGCCCCAAACACGTGAGTTCTTATGCTCATCCTTGACCTCGCGAGACAAGAACCAAACCAGGAATTTGGGGGATCCAAAAATAGTATCCTGGAGAGGACCAGGGCCCTGCAGGACCCAGGACCACGGCGACAGGGTCTTGATTTGTTCAGTAAATAGCCGGGAGTGAAGCCAGGCGTGCACGCGGCATTGGCGCCCTGCCCAGCTCCCCTCGGTCCCTTAACCAGCTCTGCCTGCTCGTCTCCCAGCTTTTGCACGCTTTGCTGTGAGGGCCTGGCACCTGGGGCCTCCAGAACATCGCTCGTGGCACAGGAGTGAAGAGCATCCAGCTCTTAGCCTCGAGGGAATCAAGCTCTGAGACAGAACGCCTGCTCCGGGGCTCCCCAGGGATCAGGCCGAGGCTGCCACTTCACCCCACAGCACCCCCTGCTCAGCTTCTTCCCTTTCCCTGTCCTAATTTCTCCTCCTGGAGTCTTTTCTTGTTTTTCTTTTTTTCTTGAGGAAGATTGGCCCTCAGCTAACATTGTTGCCAATCTTCCTCTTTTTTCCCTTGAGGAAGATTAGGCCTGACCTAACATCTGTGCCAATCCTCCACTATTTCATATGTGAGTTGCCGCCACAGCATGGCTGACAAGTGGTGTAGGTCCACGCCTGGGATCTCAACCCAGGAACCCAGGCCACCCAAGTGGAATGTACGAACTTAACCACTCGGCCACAGGGCCGGCCCCTGGAGCCTTTTCTCAATCAATCACTCTTGCGCGAATCCTCAGCTCGGGTCCGCTCCTGGGAAAACAGCCTAAGACACAAGCCCCGTTTAACATCCTGCAGTAACACACCTCCACTCGCACCAATGAATGTTCACTACCGTGTGCGAGGCCCGGCTGCAGGCACAGGGAGGACGACGGAGCGTCAGATACACAAAGTCCCACCCTCACGGGGCCCACGCTCCAGACAGGGAGGCACAGGACCACCAGACACAAAGGTACATAAGACGGCAGCTGGTGATGGGGACCCGGCTGACAAATGCAGGGGGTGAGGGGCCCTGGCAGGGTGTCAGGGAAGGTGCCTCTGAGGAGGGGCATTCAAGGAGACGAAGAAAGCGAGGGAGGGAGTCAAGTGGACGTCTGGGAAGGTGCTCCAGGCAGGGGAAACAGTGCAAAGGCCCTGGGGCAGCAATGAGCTTGGCATTAAAAAAGGAGGTCAGTGTGTCTGGAGAGCAGTGAGCTTGGTAAATAGTTGGGGAAACGGGGAGGAGAGGCTGGCATGGCTGGATCACGGGGGGCCCGTCGGTCAGGGCGTCTGGCACCTACTCAGAGCGATGGGGGCCATTGGAGAGTTCCCAGCAGAGGAGACATGATCTGTGGGGATTTTGGAAAGTCCGTCTGGCTGCCGGTGGAGAACAGATGGTGAGGAGACAAGAGTGGGAGCAGGGGACCAGACAGGAGGCTGGTGAGGACTCATTCTGTGCTAGGCGCTGGGGTCACGGGGGTGAGAAAAGCAGGCACTGGATCTGTCCCCAGGAACTGAGTGACAGGTGGGGAAGACAGACACAAGCGACTAACTTCCGTTAACGAACATACAAGTGATCTAAAGGGGAGGAGCATCAACTTTAGAGCGAGTAAAAGAGGAGCATGACTACTTTGGGGTAATCAGGGCAGGCTGCACTGAGGAGGTGACCCTTGAACTGAGATATGAAGACTGATTCAGAGTTAATTAGTCATAGAGCCCCAAAACAGAGGATCAGCATGTGCAAGGGTCCTGTGGCAGGATGGAGCCCACAGCAGGAGCAGCCCAGCCCAACAGGTCCAGAGGGGAGACCCCTGTCTTTATGAGGGAGCCCCAAGGCTGATCCCTGGGGAGCCCCACAGTCTGGCTGGGTCAGAAGGAGCAATTCCACAGGGCCTACCTGGGGGTGGACGGTATAGGCGGCTTCCAGCAGATACTGTTGGAGCCCGCGGTCCTGCTTCTTCAGCGTCACCGCCGCAGACACGGGCACTGAGAGCAGGTGGGGCTGACCAGCTGCCGGCCAGGCCACTTCCGTGCACAGCTGCCAGCCCCAGGTGTGGGCCACTGCGGAGACAGGCGAGCAGCAGCATGGGGCCAGGGGTCTCCAGGCGGGCCCGCGGCTGCTCATGCCAAAAGGACAGAGCCGCTCTCTTTTCTTTAGGGAAACAGTACTGTGTAGACATTAGACATAGGAGGCCATGCTGTGTAGACAAGTGTTTCCCAGCCTCAGCGCTACTGACCGACTGGGCCGGGTCATCCTTTGTTGGGGGCTGTCCCGTGACTGCAGGATATCGGGCAGCACCTCTGAACTCCACCCCCTAGATGTCAGCAGCATCCCCCACGCTAGTCATGACCATCAAAAGCATCTCCAGACGTTGCTAAAGATCCCCAGCGCCGCCACTTCCCAGCTCTGCAACCTTGGGCAAATTACTTAACATCTCTGTGCCTCGGTGTTTCTTATCTGTAAACTGGGACGGATCGCAGCCCCTGCCTCCTGGTGTGACCGTGAGGAGGGCCAGGTCCTTAAGGGTTTGGGACAGGCGGGGCCTCAAGTAAGACATTCACCTAAATAAGCCCGTCCCCGCCTTACTCAAAAACGACCACAGGATCCGCGGCTCCCTGGCACATTTCCGCCCCATCTTTTTTGAATTTTGTTGCCTTTGCCCCCATGTTCTCATCCAAGACTTTCCTGTTATTAAAATACCTCCTTCTCTATAGGGTTTTAAAGTGACCGGACACCTCGATCGTTTACTAAACCAGGAGGTGGCAAACTTTTTCTGTCAATGGCCGGAGAGTGAACTGCGCAGCCCTGTGGCTGCAGGACCAAGGCAGCCCCAGGCGGACGAGCGGCCGTGGCTGCGAACCGAAGACACTTTCTTTCTGGACCCCGAAACAGGAATTTCACGGATTTTTCACATTATGGAATTTTCTTCTTCCGATTACTTTTTCAAGTGACACTTGAAAATGTGAACGTCTCCTCTTGGCTCACGGACCCCCGTACGGAGCCATGCGCCCCTGTCGGATAATTGAGCAGCTTCCTGTTTTTCCCTCTTGTAAGTAATGATGCCGTGAACGTCACAGTGCGCGGGCATTTTAAAGCAGCTTAGGTTTCTTCTCACGGGGTGGCATTCCAGAAGCAGAATCAGCGAGTTAAGGGTATAAACTCGGGAATCTGGAGCCGCCCCCGGGATGCCCATCTTGGGACCATGACCGGAGGCCTGGCTTGCTGCCTACCTTCCTTGTGGGTACAGGATCGGGCCTCGGAAGGGCCGGGAACGTGACCGAGGGTCCGTGCGCCATCCGCAGTGACGAGGTACAGCTTAGAGCTGGGCGGGAAGAGGACAGTCCCAACAAGTCATTTCCACGCACTCGTCAGACAGATACGCCTTGAGCTGCCAGAGCACTGGGGCCAATTCCACCACCAACAGGACAGGCCTTGGGGGAGCTCACACTGTGTCGGGGGAGACACTCCACGAACACAGAGGGTGACAAGCCCTGTGAAAAACTTAAACAGGGGATGGCATGGGCATAGGGTCTGTCTTGGGGACAGGGCTGGGCCTTCTTTAGCTGGGGGTGGGGAGCTCTCTGCAGAGGTAATATTTGAGCAGAGACTCAAAGCATGAGAAAGAGCCAGCATTCCAGACAGAGGGAACAGCAAGTGCAAAGGCCCTGGGGTGGGAATGAAGCGGCCTCTTTAGGAGCTCAGAAAGAAGGGTGGTGTGAGGCGGTCAGGGTAGAGGAAGGGGAAGCCAGGGGCAGGAAGTAGCATCAGGAGACAGGTGAGAGAGGTGGGCAGGGCCCCCACCGGGCTGGACAATCGTGTTGACCTAGAAGCAAGTGAGGGGTTTTAAACAGGTAGGGGGTGTGACAGGTCTTAACGGACATTTTAAAGGACCCCACTGGCTGCTGCTGGGAGAAGAGCCTGGAGGGCAGGCGTGGGGTGTGGGGGACAACAGGGAAGGAAGCAGGTGGGGGCGGGTGTAGCCTGTCTTCACCCCTGTTTCCTCTGAAATTACTGCTCCAGGGGCCAGGGACAAGCAGGCCCAAGAGGGACCCCTCTAGGGAGCTGAGGAGTATGGTAGCTCCCCACCCCACCCCTTGGCCACCCCCAGTCCCCATCACAGACACACCACCCCACATGACACACGCATACACACACGTGTGCACACAGACACACAGTTACAGACACACAGGACACGCACAGACACCCCCCACTCACATGCACACACTGTCACAAACATGCCCACAGATACACATATTCACACGCACAGACTCACAGGCACACCCTTACGCACACACATGGTCATGCAACACACACACACACAGGGGATCAAGCACACGCACTCACACACACGCACACAGCCCTCAGGCCTCACTCACGCACACTCACGCGCACTCCGGCTCCCTCTGCTGGCACGGGACGCCCACCTGAAGCTGAGCAGCTCCACGGCCTCCTCCTCGGGCATGTTCAGGTGCACCTTGAGGTCCCGGCCCCTTCTCGCCTGGACCCCGCCGTCCAGGCTGGCCGTGCCACGGACGCCGGTCACCCACCTCAGCCCGGCCTGCCCCAGGGCGCCCGCCGTGCCCATCTGAGCCGAGATCTGGAGCAGGGCGCTGGGGAGTGGCACATGCCAGCTGCACCCTGCAGGCCCGGGGACCGCAAACCCGGTGCCCACCCGCCCGCCACCTCCAGTCAGACTGTGCCCTGCGGTCCTGAGCTGGAGCGGCCCCTCCACTGCGACCCCTGCTGACCACGCGCTCCACGTGTGCCAAGCACGCTACACGTATCGCCCATCCTCTCCTCGCCAGCCGTGGCCCCTTTTTATAGACGGGGAAACTGAGGCTTGGAGAGGTGAGACCACTTGCTCAGGTCCCATAGCTGGGATGTGGGACAGCCAGGACTGGAACCCTGTGCATTGAGCCCAAGCCCAGGGTCTCCACGTCAAAAAGCAGCCAGCACGGCACACCCACGCCCCCCGCATCAGACCCAGAAACCAAGGACAGGCCGGCTGAGTGGCTGGGGACAGTTGCCCAGCGGGCCCGTGACAGGCTCTGCAGTCGAATGAGCATCGCCCAGACCCCACTCAGACTCGTCCGTGCCGTGCAGCCCTGAGTCTGCTTCCTCCCCCCGTCAGGGGGAATAAGAAAAGTGTCCACTGTGTGGGCGGCTGTGTGGGTCCCGTGGGGTCCCTCGCATCTTACACGCTCCTCCCTCCTTCCCTCCTCCTCTCCCCTCGGAGCCAGAGTGAGGCGGAGGGAAGAGCATGTGCTGTGACACGAGACCAGAATCCCAGCCGCCTCACGCTGCTGTGTGACCTTGGGCAGGTGACCTGGCCTCCCTAAGCCTCAGTCTTCCGCCCTGTAAAGTGGGCATAACCGCCCGGCATCTCTTCATGGTGTCTTGGCACAAAAACCCCTCAATCGACAGGCGCTGTGTGATGAGGGATCCCCTCCAGCCCATGCTGACGCCCCCACTCGCTGCAGCGCCCCCCACCCCACCACCTCCCCCAGCTCCGAGGGGCCAGCTACCTGGGCTTGACATAACCATTCACAGAGAAATCCGAGAGGCGCTGGAAGTCGGCGGTCCCTCGGACCCGGACACTGATGGCGGCGGAGGTGTTCAGGGCCAGCCGGGCAGGGAGGCCAGACATGGTGGGGAAGGTGAGCTCCTCCAAGAGTAGGTTCAGTCTCCGGTTCACTTGCACCTCCTGCCCCTGCAGCCAACGAGCCATAACAGTGTACGTGACAGGCCCCGCTACAGGCCAGGGGCACCAAGCGCCGAGCACCGAGCATGGAGCAAGCACTGAGCACCCAGCACCAAGCACCCAGCACTCAGCATGGAGCACTGAGCACCCAGCACCCAGCTGGAGCACCCAGCACCGAGCACTGAGCGTGTGCAACCTCACGTAGTCCTCACACAACCCTCAGAGGGCCATTACCATCATCCCCAGTTTCCAGATGAGAAAACTGAGCCCACAAACAGACAAAATAAACCCAGCCAAGTCCACATAGCTAGACACAGGCCCAGCTGGGGTTTGAACTCAGACAGTTTACTACGGGAAAAGGTCAGAGGTCAGGGAGAGCCAGGTAAGGAGAGGCATGGGCCCGGCAGGTGGTACAGAACACCTAGTCTGGGCCAGGCGCATTCTAAACACTTTGTTGCATTTTTACTGCTTGAAGCCACTTGATTCAACAGCTCTATGAAGTAGATATTATCATTATATCATCCCCATCGCACAGATGCAGAAACTGAGGCCACGACAAGTTGAACGCCTTGATCGTGGGCGGCCTGGCTCCACACTCCTTGCTCTGAAGTGCTCTCCCCACAGTGCTCAGAGGAAGCAGCCCGGGCGGCAGGGCAGGGAGGGGTGGGGCCCGGCCCGAGGCACCTTCAGAAGCCTGATGGCCAGCTCAGCCAGGCTCAGGGACCGGCGTCTGGTGGGACTCCCCGTCTCCCCGCAGTCGACAAAGCTCAGCTCGTGCCCGAACACCTTCATGCTCAGCTCACAGCGCAGCGCCCGCCGCTCCCCGCGCCTCTGGGCCACCTGCGACCAGGAAGGGGTCTGGGTGAGGCAGGCAGGGCGCCTGGACGCTGAGACGGGGAGGGGGGCCTGGAGAGCAAGGCCAAGGACTGGTGGGGTCCGGAACAGGGCCTGCAAATTCGTGCCCGCAGGCAGAATCCGCGATGTGTTTTCTCTGAGCTGCACAGCATGCCCGGTGCAGAGTGTGTGTGTGTGTGTGTGTGTGTGAATAAACTTTCTGTTCTGGAATGATTTCAGATACACAGAAAAGTTGCAAGGTTAGCACAGAGAGCTTCCACATACCCCCCACCCTGCTTCTTCCATCCTTAAGATCTTACATTGCCGGGGTGCACGGGGAAAACTAATGCTGGCACGTTACTATGAACTAAACTCCAGACTTTATTCGATTTTGCCAGTTTTTCCATGCGAGTCCTCTTTCTATTCCAGGATCCAATCCAGGTACCACGTTGCATTTATTTGCACGTCCCTTCAGTCTCCTCCGGTCTGTGACCGTTTCTCAGCCTTTCTGTGGATTCCATGCAGTGCGAATTTTTTTAATTGAATTTGTTTCTAACATTTAAAAATTGGGAGATTTTTATACAAAATCCAGACCTCCACCTTCTCGAAAAAGAGAAATATTGGCCTGCGTCCCTCCCCCGACCCACAAGGGGCAACAAGGGGCCAGAGCTGAGCACTGGCTGCCGCTTTTAGCTGAGACATGTGTTTCTCCTGTCTGCCATAGTCCCCACCACTCCCTATTGTCTCTCCAACACTGAGGCCAAGTTTTGTTGCCATTCATCACCGTGCTTGTGCAAAAGAGATCTTGGGATGTGAGGTTCTATCAAAAGTGAGAAAATCACAGAGCAAAGGGATTGCGGATTCTAAGAAAAAATGTTTATACTCAGCCCACCACCCTCACTCAAGTTACTTACTGGCCCGAGATCTAGTCCAAAAGACTTGTAAGGGCAGGAACCACATCCTCACTATCTTTGTGTTCCCGGGCCCTGGGTTCACACGTGGTGGTTGGTAAACATGTGAACAAACTCCCCAGCCACCCGCCTTGACCACCCTCAGATGCAGGCGGCAACAAAACCCAAAAGCCATTAAAAGTAGACTGGATAAGGGAGACGTGATATGGAACAGCACCCAGCGAGGAGAAGAAGCTAATAGTAAGGACAAACAGCAACGTTGATGGATCTCCCAGACAACGTCTAAGTAAGAGAAGCCAGATGTCAAAAACAGGACACGAGTAGTATCGCTCACACGTGCCAAAAGATGGAAACAACCCTAATGTCAATCAGTGGATAAAGGGACAAACACCGTGTGGTCTGTCCACACGATGGAATGTTACTCAAAAAGGAATGGAGAGGGGCCGGCCTGGTGGCGCAGCGCTTAGGAGCACATGTTCTGCTTCAGCAGCCCGGGGTTCGCCGGTTCGGATCCCGGGTGAGGACATGGCACCGCTTGGCAAGCCATGCTGTGGTAGGCGTCCCACATATAAAGTAGAGGAAGATGGGCACGGATGTTAGCTCAGGGCCAGTCTTCCTCAGCACAAAGAGGAGGACTGGCAGCAGATGTTAGTTCAGGGCTGACCTTCCTCAAAAATAAAAATAATAATAATAAAAGGAATAGAGAACTGGGACATGTTCCAACACAGAGGAACCTCAAAAGCTTGTGTAAGTGGAAGAAGCCAGACGTAAAAGGCCGCATAGTGTATAATTCCATTTATATGGAACATCCAGAATGGAGAAATCTACAGGAGCAGAGAACAGATTAGTGGCCGTCAGGGGCTGGCTGGCGGGGTAGGCGAATGGGGAGGGACTGCTGACGGCGGGCATGGGGTCTCCTTCGGGGTGACGAAAGTGTTTCAGAACAAGACAGAGGTGACGGCTGCACAACCTTGTGAATGCACATTACTGAATCGTACACTTTAAAACGGCTAATTTCATGTTATGTGGATTTCACCTCTTTTTTTTTTTAAGAGTATGTGGTAAATGACTCCATCAATACAAAGTTCATGAGAGGAACTGGGTGTGACTTCTGCTGCCAACCAGACTGGAGGAACAGGGACTGGATTGACCTTCCCATGTTGAAAAACTGGAAACCCAGATGAAATCATGTAAACACAAGTTCCTGAGACATCAGACGACAGGTAACGCAAGACAATGAACCGGACGCATGGGAAACCAGCGAGGGGAGCCCCGGCTTTCCGCCTGGAGAGAGTCCAGCCTGAGGGGCGGGGGAAGGGGGAGGAGAGCATGGCAACCTCTGGAGCTGGGGAGCTGGGAGCCCAAGGTGGCCGGACCTCACAGGACAGAGCACGGGACAGGACAGAGCCGTGCAGAGAGAGCGCTGGAGACCCACAGCGGGTCCTAAGAATCTCTGGGACATTGCACTGGGCAAAGATTTCTTAGACCTAATGCCCAAAGCACTGGGCATAAAAGACATTGATAAACTTGACTTTACCTGAATCAAGAACTTCTGCTCTTCAAAACAGACCACTAAGAGAGTACAAAGACCACACAATACACTGGGAGAAAATATTTGCAAGCCACATATCAGATAAAGGATTTGTTTGCCGAACAGATAAAGAGTTCTCAAAACTCAATAATAAGAAACCAATCTAACACAAATATGTATATATATTTGAACACACACTTCACCAAAGACGTGTGGATGACAGATAAACACATGAAAAGACGCTCAGCATCATCAGTCATGAGGGAAACGCACATGAAGCCACAAGATACTACCACACACTATTAGAATGGCAAAAATTAGAAAGTCTAACCATACTCAGTGTTGGCGAGGTCGTGGAGGAACTAGGACTCTCAGACGCTGCTGAGAGGATGCAAAATGGTGCAACCCCTTTGAAAAAACAGACTAGCAATCTGTTAAAAAATCAAGCACACAACTACCATACAATCCACCAGTCCCATTCTCAGATATTTGCACAAGAGAACTGAAAACCTATGTTCACAGGAAGCCTTGTACACAATGTTCACAGCAGCTCGGTGTGTAACAGCCCCAAACTGAAAACAACACAAATGCCCATTGACAGGTGAATGGATGGACGCACGGTGGTACTTCCATACGATGGGGCGCTACTCAGCAATAAAAAGAAAGAAACTCTTAGCACGTCCGGCAACATGGATGAATCTCAAAATAATCATGCTGAATGAAAGCGGCTGCCAAAAAAGACTATATGCTTAAAAAAAAACGCTGCATGATTCCACTAATGGAACATTCTGGAAAATGTCAACTGACTTATAGCAAGGGAAAGCCTATCAGTGGTTCCTGGGGACGGGGAAGAGAAGGGGGAAGGGATTATTAAGGAGCATAAGAAACTTCTCGGGGTGATGGATACGTTCATTAGCCCTATTACGGTGACGGTGTCATGGACCTGTGCATATGTCAGAACTTATCAAATTGTACGCTTTAAACGCACACTGTTTATTGTAGGTCAATTATCCCTCAACAAAGCTGATTTTTAAAAAGTAAAATTAACCGATGCCGTTAGAAGTCAGACTGTGATTACCCTTGGTTGGGGGGTAAACTAGAACGTGGGGAGGGGGGCCTCTGGGGTGCTGGTAGCGGTCTGGGCGCTGGTTACAAGGATGCGTCCCGTTGGTGGAAACGCACTGAGCCGCACACTTACAACTTGGGCATTTTGCCATATGTGTGTGATGCTTCAACAAACAGTTGTTCAAAAGAAGGCAGGCTAGGGGCCGGCCAGGTGGCGCAGCAGTTAAGTTCACATGTTCCACTTCGGTGGCCCGGGGTTCGCCTGTTCGGATCCCCGGTGTGGACATGGCACCGCTTGGCATGCCACGCTGTGGCAGGCATCCCACATAGAAAATAGAGGAAGATGGGCACAGACGTTAGGTCAGGGCCAGTCTTCCTCAGCAAAAAGTGGAGGATTGGCAGCAGATGTTAGCTCAGGGCTAATGTTCCTCAAAAAAAAAAAAAAAGAAGGCAAGCTAACAGCTGGCTGCTCAGATCTGGACCAACAGCTGGTTTCTGCAAGACTAGGAGGGCAAGGTCAGAGCTCACGGACACCTGAGTCCCCAGTCCACAAGCCCAAGCCGGCGCCTGACTGTGAAGGGGGTGGAAGCCGGGTGGGTGTGGGCACTGCCCTTACCTTCTGCTGCAGGTCTCTCATCTTTCTGGATCTTTCTCCTGGACAGTCAGGGCTGGCTGCCTGTGCTGTGGGCCCTGGTTCTGGCTCGGGGGGCTTCTCCGGGTGGGCCTCTCTCTCCTCCTCCTGCCCCCAGAAGGACTTCAGACCAAACAGCTTGCCGGCGATTTCTTCGGCATTTTCCAGCCGGAGCCCCAGCTGGGAAGGGAAGTCAGGGGTTCAGGGAGGAGTGACTCGGTCACATGAGTGATCACGAGCTGCGGGGCTGGGGGCTTGTACAGAGCACCCCAGGCCCCCCAGGGTCCACCCAGGCCCAAGGAAAGGGGCACAACCTCAGGAAATCAACCAGCACCACATCAGCTTGACAAATGCCACACAGTGAGAATCCCCACCGATTCTTTAAGGCCGCCTCCAGGAAGCCTTCCTTGAATTGCCGAGTCACTCCCTTCCCATAATCCCCCCACACGCAGCCAAAGTGATCATTCGTTCCTCCAAGTGTTGAGCACACAACTCCAAGGTCACACTCAGGCTAATCTGCGTGTCTGTCTCCCTCGCAAGACACTGAGCTTCATGAGGGCAGGGACCACGTCTCAGTCACTAGGCACACTCAAGGCCTGTGTAATGGGTAATTTTGTGTCAGTTTGATGGGGCCACAGGGTGCCCAGATATTTGGTTACACACTATTTTGGGTTTTTCTGCGAGAGTGTTTTTGGATGACTTTAATATTTAAATCAATAGACTGAGCCAAGCAGATTGCCCTCCACAAAGTGGGTGGGCCTCATCCAATCAGTTGAAGGACTGAACAAAACAAAAGTCTCATCCTTCCTCCAAATACGAGGAAATTCCTCCCACCTGACTGCCTTCAGCCTGGACAGACGGGAACTACACCTTCGGCTCTCCTGGGTCTGCAGCTTGCTGGACGCAGATCTCAGGGCCTGTCGGCCTCCATGATCCTATTGGTTCTGTTTCTCTGGAGAACCCTGACTAAGACCCCTGACCTGGATGGTCTCAAAATTTGATGGATGAATGAAGGAGTCCTTCCTTCCGTCCTGCCTTCCTTCCACCTAGCCATCTGCTCACTTGTTCTCTCATGCTTCCCATCCATCCACCCAACCATGCGTCCTTTTATCCTTCCGGACTCCTCTCCTTCTTCCCATCTATTCTGCCCTCCACCCTTCCATCCAGACATCTCTGAGAGCATTTGGAGAGAAATCACCAGAGGGGGATTTGGCAGACACGAGCCCACGCACCCAGCTGGCAAAGTTTGGGTGACAGGTTTCCTATTCTCCATCAGTTAGAAAGGGTTGGGACAGGGCGCAGAGCTCTCCCCATCAGACAGGCTCCAGGGACTGGGGGAAAGAGATGGAAGCACCCCAAGGAGATCCATTACTTTAAAGGATACTGGACATATGACCTCAAGAGAGTCTCTCTTCCATTGCTGCCCTCCACAATCCACCTTCCACACAAGAGCCAGAACTCTCAAATCACATCCCGTCACTCCCCAGCTTACAATTCTGCGACGTGGCCCTGCTCCCTCCCTGCCCCCCATCCAACCACTCTCCTCACTTTCCCTACTCTACTTCTCTTCCTTGAACACACCAAGCCCTTTCTCCTCCCAGGACCTTTGCACATGCTGGTCTTATTCATCCTTCCAGTCTCAGCTCAAACTTCACCTCCCTAAACACACGACTTAGAGTTGCCATTGTTTTATCAATGTGTTTACTCAGTTCTTATCTGTCCACCTCTCTGGGCTGTGAGCACCAAGAGGGCAGGGATGACGTCTCTCTCATTCATCGTCATCTTCTCAGAGCCCAGCACAGTGCCTGGCACATGTCAGGTAGAGGACAGATATTTGTGCAATGGATGGCAGGTGGATAAATCGATGGATGGATGTCGATGGACATGGATGGATAGATGGATGAAAAGATGGATAGATGAGTGGGAGAACAGATGAAGAGATGGGTGGGTGCATAAATAGGCAGATGGATAGATGGGTGGGGGAGAGGGCAGATCAAGAGATGGGCAGAAGAGTACATGAATGGATGGATGAGAAGAATAGAAGGATGGATGGATGGACAGATGTATAGATGTATGGATGAGTATGTGGATGGATAGGCGGGTATACGTACGGATGGGTGGGTGTATGCACAGGTGGGTGAGTACGTAGGTGGATAGATGGATAGAAGGATGGATGGATGGGTGGATGACTGAGAGAACGGATGAATAGATGGGTGGGTGAGAAGACAGATTGAAAGATGGGTGGGAGGGTACGTAAATGGATGGATGGATGGATGATGGATGGGTGGATTAATAGACGGATGGATGGATGGATAGAAGGATAAAGGTGAATGGAGACATGAATAGACATGTGAATGAGTGGATGACCGGGAGAACAGATGGGCAGGTGAAAGGGTAGATGGAGAGATGGATGGGAAAGTATGTAGATGGATGAGAGGGAGGGAGAGAAGGAGGGATGGGGTGGAGGTTAGTAAACGGATATACGGAGGGGTAGATGGGTGAGTGAATAGATGGGTGGATGAGCAGAAAAATGGGTGGGTAGGCGGATGGAGGGGGCTAGGAGTAAAAGATGTGAGAGTGGACCAATAAAGACAAGAGGTGACGGAGGGAAAAATGGAGAGATGGGATAACATCTGGCCTCAAGTCCAGGAGAGGCCCTGAGGAGCGTGAAGCAAGGTCCCCTCTTACCTCCAGGAGGTTGAAGGCACGACCAAGGGCGTGGACAGTCAGGTTGGCCGTGGCAGAACGGGGGAGGAAGGAGGCCGGAGAGAAGAGAAGGGTCCCCTCCATGTTGGCTCCCAGGCTGCCAGATGCTAGGAGAAGAGAGAGAGAATGGGTATATCCTGCACCCCTCACAGGGCAGGGTCTGGCCACGGAGGGGCCGTAACCTGAGACCCAGTCGGACACGTGGGGCATCCTCTCAGCCAGGATGGCGGGCTCAGCCTTAAGCCTCATCAAGGGCAGAGGGAAGGTCAGGACAGAAGAGTCACAAATGTACCCACACCTGCCAATCAGCGGAGAGGGGGCAGCCAGGGCACCCACTCCCCACCCCCAGGCTTCGTGGAGTGGCTGAGCTGGTCTAGGTGCCTGAGCTAGAATGGGGCTCCCTTTTTGACTCAATCACAACGAGGAGACGGCATTCTCAGTGGGTGCCAATCTCCCTTTTTAACCCAGGGAGAAACAGCCCTCAAATTCACAGGGACAGCATCTATGAGAATTCACGAACAGCACTGCATCGTCACTGTATTTCCTTTGACGATTCCCTTCTTTTTACAGAGTTAAACGGCTTTTCTATTAACGGCAGTGGGAGAAAGTTTCCTTTTAAATAGGTGTAAGTTAAAAAGAACCAGGTTAGAGAAAAGATGGAAGTATTCCATCGAATGCTACGAAATGGCTGATATTTAACCATTTTTGACCTCTTCCAACAAAACCGCCAGGTGCTACAGGGCTAGAGCAGAAAATCCAGCAGGTGGCATGTAAATATTTGACATTTGGGGACCGGCATCCTGATCCACAGGTGCTCAGGCGTCAGCGCTCCCAGATCCCTATGCCTTTGTGGCCCCAGAGCGGAAGACCGGCTTCCCAGGAGGGCCACACCTGAGCGGAAAGTGATGTCAGAATAGGATGAGTGTCTCCAGGTCTCCAGACGGAACTCCCGGCTGACGATGTCCTCGGGGAGGGCCCGTCGGAAGGCCTGTTTCAGGGGGTCGTCCGTTTCCAGCAGCTGCAGGAGGTGACTCCACACAAAGGAGCCCACTGGAGTCGGGTCACAGCCAGCAGGAAGAGGAGGGGAGGGGCTTAGTGAGGGATGGGCCCGGAGCTGTCACAGCCCAGAGACAAGACCCTCCCTCCCCCGAGCCCCCATCCCGGGTCCTCCTCTTTGAAAGACAGTAGCAAACAGCAATGCTTTGAAGGAACTTGGAAATCTAACCTATGCACGGAGCTCTGATGTGCTTTCTGGAAGACAAAGGGAGGGATGGCGGGGAAAGACCTTGCTTGAAAGTCAGCCCCAACTCTGAATCCCAGGTCCCCTATGTGTGAGCTGTGTGACCTTGGGCTAGTCACTCCACCTCTCTGAGCCTTAGTTTCCTCATATGTAAAATGAACTAACAACCTATCTCCCAGGGCTGAGAAAAATCTGTGATAGGGACGCTCTCAGGATCTCTGGATGCTCCTGAACCCCTGCACCCACCAGCCCCAACTCCCCGACCCCCACCTGCCGCCGCTCACCCTGGGTAGATCGCTCGCCTGCCTGGGTGCGCCGCACCAGGGCAAACAGCTCCTCTCCGGGGCACCTCATCAGGGCCAGGTAGGCGTTGATGCGGATCTCGGCGTCCTCCTCGGGGCTTTGGTACAGGCGGGCGAGCGCGGATCGCTGGCTCCGGCAGAGGGAAGGCCATCACCCAGGGCCCACCCGCTCCACCAGGACCGCACGGCTCCTGCCCTGCCTGGGCCCCAGCAGTGGCTCTGCCGCCTTGCCCCAGCTCTGCTGACATCTCCACGGCTCCCCGACACTCCTCGCCCCGGGGCCCGGTTGTGGGAGGGGGAGGCTCCCCGCTCACTGCTGACCCCCGGTCCTCCCGCAGCCCCAGCCCAGAGCCTCGTCCATTTCATGTAACAAGTGGGCGCGGCTGCATGTCAATAAAACTTTATTTACAAAAGTGCCTGACACACGGCGGGTATCACCAAAGGGCTTGGCTTCCGGCTCCCTTACCAAGCAAGCCGCCTCCCCCAGCCCGGGCCTCTCTCCCTCAGCACCTGCCGGTTTCCTCCATCGCACAGCCGTCCGCCCATGCACTCATGCAATATTTACTGAGCGCCTACTATGCGCCCCGCACTGTGCTAGGTGCTGGTGACAGTTGTGAGCAAGACAAACCCAGCACCCGTCCACCTGAAGCTTATGCTCTAGGTCAGAGAGACAGATGGTAAACAAGGTTGATGTATGAAATATAGAGTCTGTTGGGTGGGACCAAGTGCTAAAGAGGGAAGAATAAAATGGGGAAGCGGGAGGCGTGGTGGGGGGGTGGGGGGGGGGACCTGAGAGGTTCCATTTCAGGTGAAACAGCCAAGGAGGAGCCCACGGTGGAAGTGATTTTTAAGTAAAGACCTGCAGGAGGTGAAGGAGTGAAGCCTGGGGATATTTAGGGGAAAGGCATTCCAGGAATGGAGAACAGCACGTGCAAAGGGCCTGAGGCAGACAACAGGGAGACCCGGGGGTGGGGGTTGGGGGGCGAGGGAATTAGGACATGAAGTCGAGAGGTGCCAGTGGGCCAGCAGTCAGATCCCATAGGGCCCGGGTGGTCCCTGTAAGGACTCTGGCTTTGACACTAAGGAGAGAGGAGCCACTGGTCCAGGGATCCGCGATCTTTTTCCATAAAGGGACAGATACTAAGTTTTTTGGCTTTGCGGGCCAAGCAGTCTCTCCTGCAACGACTCAACTCTGCAGTGGTAGCAAGAACGCAGCCCAACACAGTTTCACACAGAGAAACAGGCAGCAAGCTGGCGGGAGCGATGGGCCTCAGCTTGCCAAGCCCCAAACCACGGGGTCTGCAGCCCAGGATGGCTTCTCCATGGTTTGCAATCGTCTGCTCATCTGTGTATTTATCTGATGAATATCTGCCTCCCACTCCAGACACAGGCTCCATGAGAACAGAGACCTGGGGTCACCTCGTCACACCAGCGCCCGGCACACAGTAGGTGTCAGGAAATACGTGAGGAAAGAACGACCAAATGAAGAAGGGAATCCGCAGACACTGGTTGGAGACCCACTACCGCCCACCGCAAGCCCAGGGAAACAGCACGTGGGGGCTCACGTCCGCAGAGCAGGGGACCCTCCGGAAGGCCTGGATGGCTGCCAGCCGGACCTCAGGGGGGCGGCTCCGCAGGGACGCACAGGCGCTCAGCGAGGGGGTGAGGGCGGTGGCTGCCAGGCCGGCATTGCCGACTGCCTTCAGCACGAGCCGGAGCTGAAACCAGAAGGCAGTGGGGCCTGGAGGTTGGCGTGGGGGGTGGCACCCGGCCCCTCCCGCTCAGCCTCCAGCTCATCCCCTTGGCACAGGCCCCACAGCAAGGGGCCGCGCCCAGGATACTGGCCGTCCTCACCTGGTCAGCGTCTGAGGGCTCCTGGAAGGCACAGTCTGCACCCAGCGCCTCTCCCAGGATGCTCACGAGGGAGCCAACGCCTGGCAGCTGCCCGCAGGGCCCATCCAGGGTGGCACAGACGCTGTGCACCAGGGCTGAGAGGCCAAGGAAGGTGCTGGGGCTGGCCCCCGGGGTCTGCAGCAGCGGCTGGGGACAGAAACCGGCCCCCACCCCCGCCAAGAAGGCCGGTGAGGGGTCCTCCAGAGGAGAGCTGGGCCCTGCCACCCAACCAGGTCAGCTTCCCCCACCAGCGTCACCAGCCTCCCGTTTAGCATCTCTCCGGGAGGAAGAGGGACGGAGGTGGCGGCTGGAGGGGGCTCCGAGACCACCACACCGCCCGCTTGCCAGCTGGGGCGACTGGCACCATGAGGACCTGGGGAGGGCTGGGGGGCACCCCTCCTGCTGGCAGTGGCCTTGCTCTTCCATCAGGGTCTCGATAGGAATTGGGCAAAAAAGGTGGAAAGGGGAAAGGACTCGCTCTGAGCACTTAGACATTTTGTTCTTAACAGAGGCGGCTCTGCATCTAATCGGAAAGACCCAAAAGGGCAGCGCACGGCCAGTGGTACTGGGGCAAACGGCAGCAACCGCCCCGCCCACCTGCCCAGCCAGGGACAACACACAGCCCCCACGCGCAGCGCTCGCCAGCGTCCGCAGCCGAAGTGTTCCCGCCACGGCGGTGCCAGCAGCTCGGTGCACGAGGAGCCCAGAGGGATGGCGTGTGGCGGGTGGCGGCAGGCACACGGTGCCGTGGCGGGTCCACACACAGACACTGCCAACACAAAGAAGCCGGAGGGCGTGGACACGGGGCAGCGGAGCAGGACAGCTGGGAACAAGGATCTGTTACCTTTGTTTGCGTAGCGTTTCTCTAATTGCACGCTTCTATCGTTGAATCTTTCACAAAGGCTGTGTTTATCCACCAGCTCTGAAACTGCCCCCGAATCAGGACTCCCTCGTCCCGCCCGATCCCAAAGCACCTGCTGGGGCCCCTGAGTCCGGCTCCCTGAGGAGCAGGAGGAGACCCCAGCCCTCCTTTGGGGGTCAGACGGCTCTACCCGCCCAGCTCCACCAGGGCCGTCTCCTCCAGGGTCCTCGCAGTGGCGGTGACCAGACCAGTCTTGGTGGGACTAGGGTCATTCCAGCTCTTTGGCAGAGCCTGAAGGCGGCACTCAGCCACCCCACCCCCGGGACACTGGAAGGCAAAGGGGCGGGGGTGGGTGGGGGACACTGAGGAAAAGGGAGCGCTGGCTCCAGGCCTCTTGAAGGAAAAGGAGAAAGATGTGTTTAATTAACAACACTTAGACGGACTCCCTATGTACAGGCTCTGCTGTAAATCACTTGCTTTAATCCTGAGACACAGAGAGGTTAAGTAACTTGCCTGAGGTCACCCAGCCAGGAGATGGTGGAGCCAGGACTTAACCCTGGAGGGTCCAGCCCCCAGGCCAGGCGCTACCCCCACACTCACAGCTTCTCAAAATGCAAAGCCTGGGCTCCCTCATGAAAACCAGGCCCCAGACGCTGGACCCTCTAGATCCTTCCACACATGCCACCCCAGAGCAGGGCCCGCCCGGCAGCTGGAGGGAAACACGATCACAGCACCAGCTCTGTCCTTCCGTTGGATCCGTGGTTCTCAGCCGGGCCTGTGTGCCCACACGCGGGTGTCCACGCAGGTGTCTGCGTGTGCGTCTCGGGGTTCGTGTGCTTTAGAATCTCAGTGTGTGTGTGTGTGTGCATTCCCATGTCGGTGTGTGTGTGTGTCTGTGTGCATGCACATCCCAGTATATGTGCATGTCCTGGTGCACGTGTCCCCATGCACATGTGTGCACATGCCTAAGTGTGTCCCAGTGTGTGTGTACATGTGTACTGCCAGAGCATGTGTCCCCGTGTGTGTCCATGCATGTCCCAGGGTGTATATGTACACATGGCCCAGGGTATCCTGGTGTGTATGTGTGTGTCCAGGTGTGGGTGTCCCAGTGTGTGTGGATGTGCATATGTGACATGTCTGTGTGTACATCTACACCCCCAGGATATGTGTGTGAGTCCTGGTGTGTGTGTCTCAGTGTGGGTGCGTGTGCATGTGTCCCCGTGTGGGTGTCATCAGGGTCCATGTGTGTGAGTCCTGGTGCATGTGCATCTCCATGTGTGTTTTCTTTGTGAAAGGAGGGGACACGTGTGGCTTGGACAAGCACCTCCAGTGTTATTCTAGATTTGGCGAATGAAAACACAGCCTGTTTTCTTAATACAGAGGAGGGAAAGGGGCTTGGCTGGGTGGGCAGGGGTTATGAAAAAACGGAGGGAAGCCACTCAGACACCCGGAGGACGACTCCCGTCGCCCCAAGGGCAGGCTAGGGCCACTCGGCTCCGTGGGAGCTGCAGGCCTGGACAGTGGGCCAGCGTGGCCTGGGCCCCGGGAGGGTCCAGACAGTCACAACCCTGTTCCGTGATGGCTGCCCTGGGGGTCTGCCCAGCACCGCCAGCTTCCTCGATTTCACAAGAACCAAAACGCCAGATTTTTATGCAAAAATCCCTAACTTAAACAGTTTTGGTTACATTTCAATTAAAAGTCTGTCTAAAACTTTCCCTTTTTTTTTTTTTTAATTTTTAAAGATGGACAAAATTATCCGCAAGCCCATGACCATCAGACAAGTGACTTCGGTTTTCCAGGGGCCACTGACGCTCACGCATCCGGCCCCCTTCCCACTCCTTGACTCCAAGCCAACCCTCCCCGAGAGATTACACGGCAAAGCTGGTGAAGAAAACTCCGGAAGCTGCCGGACCTTTGGGAGGGAAACGCCCGCTGGAAAGACGGATGAGCCGGCTTGACCAAACCTAAGACTTCCGCTCTTCAAAGGACACCACTGAGAAAGGAGACGGCCCGGTAAGGAAAGAGAACAAAGTCCGGCACACACATGTACGCACACACGTGTACACACGCACGCATGTACGTGCATGGACAAGTCTCATGGAGAACGTGGGAGAAAGAAACCAGACTCCAGGGTGCACATGAGTCCAGGGGTGTGAATGTCAGAAGCAGGCAAGACTGAGTGATGGCCTTGGGGTCACTGACTGGGAAGGGCACCGGGGAGCCTCCTGGGAGCCAGGAATGTCCCGTATCTCGCTCTGGGGGTGGTTACACGGGCACACACGGGTGTAAAAACGTCAGCCTGGACCCTGGAGTGTAGTGTGGGCTCCTGAATGTGTAGTTTCAAGTGTAATTAAACACACACCCACCAGCCGCAGTGTGGAGCCTGGGCAGGACCCTGGGACAGACAGGACCGCAGTGGGAAAGGGCTGGGGTCTGGCCAGTGCCAGTTTCTTAGCTGTAACAAAGACATCCTGGTGATGGGAGATGCTAATAATGGGGGAGGCTGGGGGCGGGGTATTCAGGAAGAATCTGTACTGTCTTTGCAACTTCTCTAGCGTGTGCTCACCCCCACCCCCTGCTGGTGACCTCTGATCCCTGGCCACTACCAGTCTGGGACGACAGGGTAAGGAATGATAAGTGACAGCACCCCCAGGGAAGCAAGGACATGCCCTGTAGTCCAAGGGAAGGGGAGAGAGCTGTGTCCCCCTGGGCAAGCTCCTCAGCCTCCTTGGGCCTCAGTTTCCCCATCTGTAAGATGGGAGTAATAAGAGCACCTACTTCGTAGAGGCATCTCGAGGGTTAAACAAGGTTCCAGGTGTTGTCAGAAATCCTCAGCCCGGTTTCCCACGCCTTCCTAACCTCAGGACTCATTAAATATGTTTGTTTACAATAACGACAACAGCTCCGACTCCGTGCCAGACACCCAGAGAACTGCCTTGCCTGCAGCATCTCATTCCTCACCACGAGCCTAGTGGGGAGGCACTGTTCCCTCCCCATCTTCCAGATCAGAAAACAGGCTCAGAGAGGTTGAGTCACTCGCCCAGGATCACACAGCTGGGAGGCACATTGCTGAGACTCAACCCCAGGTCTCTCTGACCAGCCTCCACTGGCCCCACAAGGGGCTGGCACAAAGTCTAGATGAGCGCAGGTCAGCCGCCACACGGGGAAGGGACAACACGGGGGCTGGGGTGGGGTGCAGGGGCTCACCAGCAGCATGTGGACCATGGCATCCGTGGGCTGCGGGATGAAGGCCAGCGACCAGAGCCACGCCTCCACCTCGTCTGCCTCCACCTCCCCCGCCGCGATGAGCTCCACCATGAGACCCACGCAGGGCTCGGTGCCACAGGAGGGCAGGGCGTCCACCAGCGGCTGCCTGAGGTCACGAGAGGCCCGAGGGACGTCACCCACATGTCCTGAGCGCCTTCCGCCCCCTCTCGCGGCAGCCTCGGGTCAGCCCGGGAGCAATCTGAGGCTCAGAGAGGCACAGCAGGGATGTGTCCACACTCACACACCTCGGGGGGTGGGCCGAGCTGAGCCTGGGTTCTCAGGGCCCAGGGGACCCCAGTAGCCCAGTCTCAACTCCTGCCACTCTGCCCACCCAGGAAAACGGCGGATTTGGGACACGTGAGTCCCTGCCCACAGCTCTGCTGAAACCCAGCCCAGGCCCCGAGCAGGGCCGACAACCCTCTGCCCTGAACAGGAACCCACAACTGGCAAGTTGCCTCTAGTGAAAACCTCCCACGCTCTCTGCAGGATGTATCTTTTTCTTCTCTTTTTCTTTTTTGCAGGGGAAGAGATGGCAGCAAAGTTGAAAAGCTCAGTAAGGTTTTCGACCTTTGTACCACGGTGGGTCTGAACAGAGAAATGATGAGCAAACACCAGGGTCCCGAGGCCACAGTGGGAATCGGAGGCCCCTGCAGCTGGGGCCACACGAGCCAGCGGGGCTAAAGAGACAGGTGGACTGGGCTCCTCAACCCGTCAGCCCCGATGAGTCGGCCACGGACCCCACCTTCATCCCGACCCTCACCATCTGCCCATGAACAGTCTCCAGCCCCAATTTGCTGATCCGTAAAACAGGCACGCTGATGACTGGACCGGCCCCAGGATGCCCGGGGGTCCCCAGGAACACACAGGCCACGTCGTCTGAGCAACGTCCTGCTGTGGCTCCCATCCCCTCGCCCTCATATTTCCTCTCATTTCCTTACAGATTTGGACCCTGGGGGACCAGGCTCTGGGCAGTGGCAGAGGAAGACATGAGGGCAACAGACTCTATCAGGAGAGTCAGACCTCTTGGAAACTTCTAGATTTAGGAAGGGCCTCCCCACCTCTCTGACTCCCCAGCGACAGGCGAGACACAGGGGCTTGTGGGAAAATGCAGACGGACAAGGAGGGTGTGTCACCAGGGCAAGAGGCAGCTCCTTAAGACAGGGAGGCCCCTCCCTACATCAAACATAATGAAAATGTCCCCAAATCAAATAATTTACAATTAAGCCCATAAGAATTGGATGGAGCAGCACAGGCCGCCTGGGTTCAAATTCCAGCTCTGCTGTGTGACTTTGGGCAAGTTTCCTAACTGCTCTGTGCCTCGATTGCCTTCTGTAACCCTAAGGTAGAAATACTAAAACCACCTACCCCCCAGGGTCCTTGTGAGGATTAAAGGAGCCATTATGGACAAAGGGCTCAAAAAGGATCTTTGCATTAGCTATTATGTTTAGCAGTCATTCGATTAAACATTGGGTAATGCTGATTTTGCAGGGGTTTTTCCTTTCCGATTTCAGAGCTGATAAAATATTTTTCAGGTCTCAAAATATTTATAAGAGGCTTGAAAAGCTCACAGGCCTGAAGTTGCATCTCCGGGGCCTGGTAAGTGAGGGGCTGGACTCTGAGACGGAACCCCGAGCTCTCCCTGCCCCCCGCACAGCCCTGAGCCCTTGGTGCTGGTTTCTTGGAGGTTCCCCTCCATGCCGCCCGGGTCTCTCTGCACCCCTTGCTGGCCCCACATTTAGCAGGGTCACAGGGGGTGGATCCCAGCCTTGCCCCACACCCCCACCCCCTCAGAAGGGTACCGGGCGCATTGGAATGTTAATTCCAGCTCTCACACGAGCATCCCCGTCTGAGGGAGAGAACAATGGCCGTCTTTATACCCCAGGCCCCTCAGCTTCTAGACTCCAAGAAGGCCTGGGCCCCCGTGGGAACCTCCGAGCTCCCCACTTAATCGCCTTCCTGGCAGATGTCCCCAGACTGTAGGACTAGCCAGTATCACGGGGATGAAATGAGACATCAGCCTCCACCCTTCAATGAGGACATGGGAAGAGACCACCCAGCCCCACCGGGACCCCCAGCCAGCTCCCAGTCCAGCCCTGTCCGACCCGGGGAGGGCCCCTTACCAGTTGCCGTGGCATTTAAAGGAAGAATGTCGCCAGAGTTCCATCAGCGCTTCCAGGGTGAGGCCCTGGAGCTGGGACACCAGAGTCAGGAGCAGCTCTGCGGCCTGGGGGTCAGAGGGGGCAGCGTGAGAGGCCCAGCAGCGTGGGGGCCCCAGGGTCATCGCGTCCATCCCCCCGCCTCCAGACACGGCTGCAGGGGAAGCAGGAGGGAGGCTGGGAGCTTCGCCCTAAGGTGCCACAGACGCGGAGAGATGGGGCCACAGGTCTGGGCTGCTCCCCGCTGAGTCCCAAGCCCCGTTAGGCACCTGCTAGGGGCCAGGGCTGCGCTGGGGGCCAGAGGTGTGGTGGGGAGACGCAGACACGGCATGTGCAGTCGAGGCCTTCCCGCTCTAATAAAAGCAGCACAAACATTCACCGTGATTCTAATCTAATTATCACAACGCGTCTTAGCACAGTTCACACGGTTAGCGAGGTGGCTGTCTTTCCCAATAATTTTAATGAAAAAACATGCAGACGCTTCGCAGAATCGCACATCAATGGCTCGCAATTTTAGTCCTTTGTCTGCAGGCCTGACCAGCACAGTCGCCAGGTGTCCAAAAACTCACCAAGAAATCAAGGGCTCGGCTCAGAGCCCGCCCCCCTCGGGTTTGGAGAGAACCGGGCTTTGGGACACCGGTGCCCCTTCCGTCTCAGGCTCCTTGCCTCGGCCTGAAGGCAAAGCCACAGAAAGTGCCACCAAGTGCTGGATTCCCGCTGGCAGTCCCCACGCGTCCGGGCTGGGCCAAGGCCAGGCCTGAAGCCCCTCTTCCTCCCACTGTCCCCAGCCAGGGGTCCGCGGGTGCTGGCACTGCGTGCCTGGCCTTGGGCCTCCTCTGCCCTGAGCCGTGGGGACTGAGTACCCACACACACAGCTTGACCTCAGCAAGATGCCCCTCTCTGGCCAGCTTGGCCCACCCACGCCTCCGCCAGGGTCCGGGCAGCATTCCCACAATGTGGCTTCTGTTGGTGAAGCTGTGGTGACCCTGAGCTCTGCCTTTACTCCCGGTGCAGGACACACAAGCCAGCCCCTTGTGCCGGCTGACCGCTGTTGGCCTCGAAGACTCTCTGTCGACCCCATTTGGGGTGGTTCCCCTGGGGAATCTGGTTCCAGGCCCGCCACCTGCCTTTGGGACGGGCTCAGCTCCATCTCCCTCCGGCTAGTGGCTGCCGTTCCCCCGCGAGTCCCTGGGTGCAGACACGTGTGCTTTTAAGAGCTCTGGCAATGTGCACACCCTGTGCCTGGCTGGGGAGGGCCGGGCGTCCTCCCTGGAGCTCTCCTGCTGCTCCCTCCGGCCACACGCGTTGGCTTCGGGACCAGCTTTCCAGAGCCAGGCACGGCAGGAGGACACCGGAGGCTCATCCTGGTTTCCCCTCCAGCAGGAAGAGGAGACATTCAAAAGGAGAAAAGAGGCGGGGACTTGAAGGAAGGGGACCAAGAGAAATAAGTCCTAGGGACGTGACGGATGCACAATGAGCGTAGGTACCACTGCTGGACGATACAGAGGAAAGCCGCTAAGAGCAAACCCTGAGTTCTCATCAAAAAGACAAGGAGAGAGAGGCTGGAGCCAGGAAGGCTGTGGGGCGGAAGAAAGAGCGCGTAAGGCTCCCGCCCCCCGAGTGAGAAGCCCGTCACCTCCATCGCCACTAACAACAACGACGGGCAATGATAATAATAACAACAGCAGCAAGCACAATACCGCCACTGGTTCCTTAGTGGGCGCCTTGTTCCAAGCACGTCTCAGACATCGCCTCTCGTGACCCTCACACACCCCACGAGGAGCGGCTGTCACCACCCCCACTCGACAGAGAAGGAAGGTGACACTGGGAGCACATCCGTCAGGGGCCAGCGGCCTCCCGGCGACTAAGCGGCAGGGTCGAGACTGGAACCCAGGCTGTGCAGCTCCTAGACCCACACTCTGAACCAGCGTCCCACACTCAAGGGCATAAGCAAGAGAGAAAGCCCCGACGTGTAGCGTTTGCCAATTTCCACGCTGTAGACACGCCCAGCACGGCCCATTTCCAGGGTCCGCGTGCTGTCACCGAGCACAGAGCTGGGAAGAGCAATGCAGAAGCATATCATGGGTTGGATTCCCACCAAGCAGCCACAGTAAATACAACAACCTCGAGGGCAGAGATAACAGTAACGTGGAGTAAAGTGACCAGGTACTGACTAGCAAGGGTGTCAACTCGCCACCTGGGTTTCTAGGATGATTCATTTTAATGGTAACATGGGATAATTTCATTGTTAGCAATGTCTGTGTTTAACAACCAGCCTGCAGGACTCCTGGAAATCTAGCCATCAGCTCTGGCTCACCGCTGTCTACACCGTCTCTAAAACGCTTGGCTGTACACAGTCGGCGTTTAATAAATGCCTGTGACTTGGGTTCTCTATTCTTAGAATATCGGATGGTGGTCATGAGCTGGGCCCCCTCTGGGGCGTCCTCCCTGGCAGCCCCGGAGGTGTGGGGTCTACCCAGATGGATCACCTGCTCCTCTCCCAGCCTTCTTTCTCCTTCCCTCAATTGATGCCCTTGGCCACCCCAGCTCACGGCGCCCCCGCCCACCCACCCCCGTGTCGAAACTCTGGGCCCCTCTGTGGAGGTCAGGCTGGGGAATTTGCTGTCTACTGAGCACTGAGTCCTGCTTTTGTTTCCAGACTGGAAACCAACCTTGTCTCCTGCCCACCAACAACGGGGAGGGTGGAGGCGTTCCCAGCTGAAGGCCAGGGTCGGTCCCCCGGGCAACCAGGCGGGCCCTCAGCCCTCCGGGGGGCCCAGGAGCTGCTTGATGTGCACTGAGACATCCCACAAAAGCCACTTTCAGGAGCAAGGTCCTCAGCAATCCACCCCCAGCCCAGGGGACCTCCGTGGCGGGAACAATTGACTTCCTTTTCATGCTATAAATACAGGACAGCTGCCCTGTGCTCTCTGGGGCTGGCACTGCCAGTCTCCAGAGGGGAGACACAGGCCCACAGCACGCCCTGCACTGAGCCGCCTCTGCCAGGGGAAACGCCGTCAGGGGGTCAGAGGTGCTCCGGGGGCCTGACGAGAGGAAGCGGGCCTGTCCTGTGGCTTCCCAGCATTTCACGAGGTTGGGTAGGGCAATGGTTAGAACACAGGCCGTAGATCAGTTCCCAACATCTGGCAACATCTGGAGACACTTTGGGTTGTCACAACCGGGTTGGGGGGGGATGCTGGCATCGAGTGAGCAGAGGCCAGGCATGCCGCTGAATATCCTGCAATGCACAGGACAACCTCGGCAATAAAGAATGATCTGGCCCGGGGGGACGCCACTGCCAGGATGAGAAACCCTGCGAGGGGCCAGGCTGCCCCAGTTTACAGCCAGTTCTGTCACATACTAGCTGGTGGCTTGGAGCACATTTCCCAAAGCCGGGAAACCTCCATTTCATCATCTGTAAAATGAGGATGATGCTACGAATTTTACTGAGAGGACTCCATAACACAAGTGAGGCTCTTAGCTTATTGCCTGGGCACACCGTAAGTGCTCAATAAAATTGTGGTGGGCTGAGTGGCGGCCCCTGAAAGATACGTCCACGTCCCAGCTCCCAGAACCTGTGAAGGTGGCCCTTATTTGGATAAAGAGGTCTTTGCAGATGTAATTAAGACTCTGGAGACGAGAGCATCCTGCATGATCTGGGTGGGTCCCAAGCCAATGACAGGCGTCCTTATGAGAGAGAGAAGAGAAGGTAGTGTGAAGATGGATGGGACACGGGAGCACGCGGCCACAAGCCCAGGGATGCTGATGGTCACCGGAAGCTGGGAGAGGTGAGGAATGGTCTTCCCCGGAACCCCTGGAGGGAGCCTGCCCGGCGGCACCTTGATTTTGGACTTCTGGTCTCCAGAAGTCTGCGAGAATAAATATCTATGGGTTTGTTTTTTTTTTTTGAGGAAGATCAGCCCTGAGCTAACATCTGCTGCCAATCCTCCTCTTTTTGCTGAGGAAGACTGGCCCTGAGCTAACATCTGTGCCCATCTTCCTCTACTTTATACGTGGGACGCCTGACACAGCGTGGTGTGCCAAGCGGTGCCATGTCCGCACCCGGGATCTGAACCAGCGAACCCCGGGCCACCAAAGTGGAACGTGCACACTTAACCACTGCGCCACTGGGCCAGCCCCAATATCTATGGTTTTAAGCACACGGTTTGTGGTCATTTGTTAGGACAGCCCTGAGAAACTAACGTAACAATGTATCTAGTGTTATTATTACTATGGTACAGCCCAGCTCAACGTGAGAGAGCGTCCACACTCTTCCACAAGCCTGTACTGAGCTCAGCGCGTTCCCCCGCTGGGTGTAACGGGGATGAAGGCAGCCTGGGACCCTGGCTCTCGGGATGGGGAGGCGGAAACAGAGAGTAAACAGGAGAGCACGTCAGCTTGTGGTTATCCACAAAAGAAAAGAAAACCAGAGTGACGAGGCAGAGAGGGTCGGAGCCAGGTGGCCGCTTGATGGTCGGGGCAGGGCCCTCCGGGAAGGGACACTGGGGCACGCGCCGTGGCCTCCCTCCGCTGACCACCCCCCAGAGCCACATGCTGACACCACATCTCCTCCAGGTCTTTATTCAACGTCACCTCCTCAGGACAGCCTTACTGGGCCGTCCATCATTTAAAACTGCCTCCCGCGCCAGCCCCACCCGCTCCCTCACCCCCGCTTCCCTGCCTTGTCTCCTTAGCCCTCTGGACTCAGGACGTTCAGCTCACCCACATTTCTGGGCGTCCCTGCTAAGTGCCCCAGGTGACCCTGTTTCCTGCAGTCAAGCAGGACACGGGGGGTCTGCGCCATCTCAGCCCAGACCCCCAGAAACCGAGGCGGACTAACCCCAGCCTGGATGCCTCAGATCTCTACGTGCCTGGAATGTTCTGGAAGTCATCCTGACCAGCTGGCCCCTGCTGGTCCTCACTGCCTATCTCCAGCGGGGCTGGCCTGCCTCTCCGCGA